TCTCTCTCTCTCTCTCTCTCTCTCTCTCTCTCTCTCTCTCTCTCTCTCTCTCTCTCTCTCTCCCCACAGCGTGCATGCGGGGCAGTATTAAGTTAGAAGCTCTATTTTAAAGGTCTCTCCCTCTCTCCCTCTTTCTCTCTCTCCTCCTCTCTCTCATCTCTTCCCTGAGACAGAAAAAAACATGCTGACCACAAGTATGATTAAATAAAAAAAAAAAAGTCAAGATTTCTGAATGCTATTCCACCATGTCTAGATGCAAGATTCAGACTAGAGAACAAGCTTGACTGTCAATCAATCCTGGTGCAGAAAAGGGGCCTAAAAATAAACTAGGATGTGCTGGTTTAGGTGCAAATGACTTAAGTAGCTTTAGGGTGAGCTAAAAGCTTATTCTTAAGCCGGGCGTTGGTGGCGCACGCCTTTAATCCCAGCACTTGGGAGGCAGAGGCAGGCGGATCTTTGTGAGTTCGAGACCAGCCTGGTCTACAAGAGCTAGTTCCAGGACAGCCTCCAAAGCCACAGAGAAACCCTGTCTCGAAAAACCAAAAAAAAAAATAAATAAAAATAAAAATAAAAATAAATAAAAGCTTATTCTTCCAATTGCAGTATAGACTCATCATAAAGCTATAGCCAAAATAAGAGTGGGTTAGACTAGAAAATCTCTTTGACCTTTTTTCTTCTTTCTGCTCTGTCATCCTACCAGTCTTCAGACACTGGCTCCCAACCCAGCAGCTGTGGTGCTGTAGGAAGGAGGGAGCTACACCTTCCATACTCTGTAGACACCTCCCCTCCCCCACACTCTGTGCCACACCTAGCTGCAAGGGATGCTAAGAAACGCAGGCCTTAAGCAATCTAGAGCTAAGGTTCCAGTTACTGTGGAAGATGGGACAAGGGGCTCTAAATGACATCTAACAATGTCTGACACTCTCACGGAATAGCATAGGTAGGTTGGGGAAGTCCTGTGTATATGTCAATAAAGCACTGTTGGCCAATAGGGAAGCAAGATAGGTGGGACTAGGAGTCCAGGAGGACTCTGGGAAGGAGAAACACAGGGAGTCAAGATGTAACCGCCATGGGGTAGGAAGCCTGGAAACTTCTCCAGTAAGAGAAATGCTTAGATTAACAATTATGGGATAAATACTTAAGTCAGAGCTAGCCAGGAGGAAACAAGCAAGGCCAACAGCTTCATAATTAACATAGCCTCCTGTGTGTTTATTTGGGACTCATGCGACTCTAGAATCAGTCTGGCGGAAAGGCTTCTCTTTACATAGGTACATTATTTAAAATTCTGACCGACTCCCTGCTGCCCAAGGACCAGTCAAACCTTCAGTTATCAGAATACCCAGCGATGTCTCTCCCCCCCAAACCACTCAGTGGCAAGTAATCTTACCTGACTGGCCTCCCAAAACTGACCCCCTGAATTTCTTCTCTATCCCCAGATGGCTACCCACACTTCTGCTTCAGCACCCACAGGGCAGAGGTATCCCACTCCTGATGGGGTATGTCCTTCTGTGTATATGTTTTCTCTTATTGGTTGGTGAATAAAACACTGCGTGGCTAGTGGCCAGGCAGGAGGGATAGGCGGGGCTACCAGAAAAGGAGAATTCTGGGAGGTGTAGGCAGAGAGGAGTCTCGATGTGAGCCCAGGGAAGAGAGGACACATTCTCCAGTAAGCCAGGTCCACATGGAAATGCATAGATTAATACTAATGGGTTAATCATTAAGACAGAGCTGGCCAACAAGAAGCCCTAGCCACCAGCCAACAGTTTCATAATTTATATAGCATCCGTGTGTTCATTTGGGGCAAGGCGGCTGCGGAACTGGACAGGAAATCCCATTAACACACTCCTGACCAGTTCATTATGTTTCTTGCCATGAGAAAAAGTATTTGTAGTGACCTTTAGTGTGGAAATATTAAGCCACACAAAATAGGGATGTCCTGTGATAGTCTATTGAAAGAAAAATCGCTTACATGAAAAGCCAAGAAAGTTGAGAACCAAAGGTCCTCACGCTGTTCTCCAGGCCGAAACCCAAAGAGAAAGAGTCTCCTCCTCCTAGCTCTTTTATCTCCCCCCGCCTTATGTTCTACATACCTGTGACCACACCCAAACGGGCATTGTCAATGCTACGGGCACATAGATCTCTCCCTACAGACCTGGCCTGTAGATGTCCCTCCTGCACCTACCTTCTGGCTACTCAAGTCCCTCTCATGCTGGAAGTCTAGGAAGCAGCCACCTGAGTCCTCTCCTCCATGCCCACTGACCTGTAGCCTTGGACAGACTGGACTTCTGTGAGGTTAGGAACCAGATGGATCTGATGCAGTAGGAGCAGAGTCCAGGAGACCAGAGTCCTGTGTGTCCCCCTGTGTGCCTGAGGCCACACAAGACTCTCTTCTCTGCAGGTTCAGCCTTCTCCTACCAAATCCAAACAAAGTTAGTCATGGTCATGTGGGCCCCAGAATGCAGGAAAGGGGCTGCCTAGACCCCTGTGGGGCATCAGAGGATCTCTCAAGAATTTCCCCCACATGTATTCAAAGGAAATAACCCAGAAAACACAAGGGTCTCTGGCCTGCCTCCATGTTTGGCGACTACCTCAGTTTTCAGCTTGCTTCCCACCAAGACTATATAAAAAAATCTGCTGGAATCAAGCTATCTGATCCCCAAGGGAACCTCATGGTCCCCACCAAAGAAGGGACGCTGGAGAAAGAGAGAGAGAGACAGAGAGAGACAGAGAGAGACAGAGAGAGAGAGAGAGAGAGAGACAGAGAGAGAGAGAGAGAGAGAGAGAGAGAGAGAGAGAGAGAGAGAACCCCAGGGCTGCCATGCTGCAAAGAAAGTCTACCTGGGTGGGCCAGGGACTAACTGGCCCTGGGTGACAGCCCTGGGGAGCTTTTGCGCTCCTGGGAGGTCTTTGTATCTGGGATGCAGAGCCAGGCAAGGCACCACTTGTTGTGGGGAGGGCGTGGAGGCCGGGCTCCTCACAGGACCAAAGAGCTCAGGATCATATCCATTTCCAGGCCCTGGCAATGAGGCAGGGCAGGGGGGCTTAGCCATTCACAGGAAAGTCAAGCCTCCTTGTGAAACCACAACAGACCACATTCTGTGGAGGAGGGGAGAGCCAGCACTGCTGGTGGCTGGAAGGGAAGATGCCTTAAAGAGAGACCACACAGAAATCCTTCCAGGGTGTGTAACCTTCTGTGATCCCTCTAAAGGGGGGAAACCGAGGCAGCAACCCTGCCTTTCCCCCACAGAGCAATCGCTGCTCAGAGAGCAAGCCTCCTGCTCGACAAGGCTGCCCCTGTCTCCGGGGCAATGTGTTCCAAAAAGATCACTTTCCTATCTGCAAAAACCACCATGGGGGGGGGGGGTGGAAGGCCCATAAAAACTATGAGAGAAGGTGGGGCGGCTTTCTATTTTTCCAACTCAACCTTCTTTTTTTTAACATTATTTACTTGTGTGTTTGTTTGTTTGTTTGTTTGGGGGGGTATGCATGCGGAGGTCAGAGAGTAACTTTCTGGAGTGAGTCCTCCACCCCCATCCCATGGGTTCCTGGGATCAAACTCAGGCCCACAGTCTTCTCAGCAAGCCCTTAACCCCTGAGCCATCTTGTCAGCCCCCGACAGACAGACATCTTACTAGTACAGACAGACGCCTTGCTGTGTTTTTGAACTATTTATGGGTGGTTGTGGAAGATTAATACAGTCGGACATTTAGCAAGACAGGTCATATGCACAGACTGGGCAGGCCTGGGGAAAACGCTTTGTTGAGCAATACCTCCCCCCTGTGACCGATCTTCACTCACACTCTGGGTTGGGGGGGGCGCTGCCTGATGGCCTGGGTTAGTGCATGACTTGTTCGCCTTGTACCTCTTAACGCTCTTGTCCGCCTGAGGGGGAACATTCATGTGAAGTATCGTTTCTGAGCGGGAAGGAGTTTGATTTAAGGGCACTGTCATCAGATATTCACCACAGAGTTCACAGTAGCACTCAACGAAACGCGGGCTTGCTGATGTGATGACAGCTTCACTCCATCCCGGCTCTCACCCCCAGCCCCAGGAGCCGGAGCCGGGCAAGGTCCAAGGACTCCAAGTGTAAATTCCTCCCCACCTGGAAATCCTACCTGACGGCTGTGCTCTGCAGTCACAAGAGACGCTGGCTGCTCAAAGCCTTTGTGGGGTCTCTGAGACTGTCTGTGGGGAAAGTGACACACAACTCAGTGTAGGATGTGTCATTCTGGACCGGGATCCTCAGGTCCACCATGTGTCACCTGACTGGACGGCCATTCATCCCCTCTATGTGCCATGCCCTGGGCTGGGACTCCAGCCTCTGGCTGCACATCTGAGGTCCTTGCACAGGCAGCAGCAGGCACACCTGGGACCTCTCAGTCCTGCAGCAGATTGTGTGTTTTATGTATGGGTCCTCTGCCTCCATGGACGTCTGACACCAGAAGAGGGCATCGGCTGACAGATGGCTGTCAGCCACCACGTGGCTGCTGGGAATTGAACTCAGACCCTCGGGGAAAGCAGCCAGTGCTCTTAACCGCTGAACCATCCCTCCAGCCCTTCCCGCTGGATCTTGACACAGAAAGTTGTTTGTTTTTGTTCTGTGTTGTGTTTTTGTTTGTTTCTGCTGAGGGGCCTCTGATGGGCTCTTGGGAATTAGACATTGGTAACTCCAGCTCCATCACCATAAATACATAAATAAATAAATCTTTAAAAAAAAAAAAAAAAAGAACCGGGCTGGAGAGATGGCTCAGAGTTTAAGAGCACTGGTTGTTCTTCCAAAGGTCCTGAGTTCAATTCCCAGCAACCACATGGTGGTTCAAAACCATCGGTAGTGAGATCTGGCACCCCCTTCTGGACTGCAGGCGTACATGCAGACAGAACACTACATAATAAATAAATCTTAAAAAAAAAAAAAAGAACCAAGTTGAAAACGAAATACATTTTCCTTCCTGAGTATCCTACAGTGCCTCCCAGTAGGATGCTTTGCAAACCATACTCACCCGCCACTATAGCTTCTCTCTTCAAAATCTGTTACCCCATCCTTGGTCATTTTCCCAGCGGTTTGAGATGACTGTCTTTCAGAAGTGTGGTGTGGGGGGGGGCTGGAGAGACGGCTCAGAGGCTAAGAGCACTGGCTGCTCTTCCGAAGGTCCTAAGTTCAATTCAGGGTGGTTCACGACCATATATAACAGGATCTGATGCCCTCTTCTGGCACGCATGCGTACATGTCAACGGAGCGCTCACACATTTAAAAATAATTAACTAATTAATTAAAATGAAGTATGGCGAGTTCATGCTTGTTTCCTGCTGAAGGAAATCACCTGACTTCCTCGCAGTGCCAGGCTCTCAGGACTGAGGCCCTCGGGCCCAACGATGTAGAGAACGGAACGCCACTGGAGGACTCAGTCTGTGAAGTGGGTGAGTCAGCTCTGTACTCAGGCGAGCTAGCTCTGACTGCTGTGTGGGAAACCATGGAGAGTTCCTGGTAGGATGCTTTTAATAACAGATCACAGGAAACAGAATGAATTCCAAAGACAATGGAGGGGATTTGTCATCGGGTGACTGCTGGAAAGTGACATTGACATGCAGCTTAGGCAGGGTCTCCCATCTCTAAGACTACAGGTCTGAGGTGCCACATGGCAGTGGAATGGCCGGTCACTGGTACCCAAGCTCTAGACATCCTCAGTCGCACCTAAAACAAAGTAGGTACTTTTCTGTCACTACGACAAACTTCCTCAAGTATTTATCTGGGCCCGTGGCTTGGTTCAGTCCATCGTGATGGGAAGGACAGCGGAACAGGTATGATGGGGACTGGTCACATTGAAGTTAACAGTCAGGAAGTTGAAAAGAGGTGAGCGCTTGTCCTAGGGTTACCATTGCTGTGGCGAAACACCATGACCAAAAAGCAAGTCGGGGAGGAAAGGGTTTGATCGGCTCACACTTCCACGGCACCGTTCATTCATGAAGGGAGCCAGGGCAGGAACTCAAACAGGGCAGGCACCGGAAGGCAGGAGCTGATGCAGAGGCTGTGGAGGGGTGCTGCTCACTGGCTTGCCCATCATGGCTTGCTCAGCCTGCTTCCTTATAGAATCCAGAACCGACAGCCCAGCGATGGTACCACCAACCGTGGACTAGGCCCTCACCCATCAATCACTAATTAAGAAAATGCCTTACACGTTTGGCTGTAGCCTGATCTTACGGAGGCATTTTCCCAGCTGAAGCTTCCTTCTCTCAAAAGCTTTCGTCAAGCTCAGAAGACAGCAGCCAGCACAGCACTATGTCAAGTTGTGTTGGGAGCATTACGAAACAAAATATGGAGATGTGGGGCACTAATGCGCCCCTGCGTGAATGAGCATTCACGGGCATAGCCATGTCTGAGTCCAGATGTTGTCGCTCGAGGTATCAACCGCAGCTTCCCTGTCCTGCATGACTGCAGCCGGAGACTGTCCCTCACGGAGACACCCCTTACAGAATTAACTAGCCCACCCCCTCATTCAGCTGTCTGTAATAAAAGTGCTGAGGTTCTGGGCTGCTGGTACATCTCCATCAGGGTGAACAGCCCACCCAACCCTAGCTTTTCTGTGTCTATCATTTCTTCATTCTCCATTGCTTCAGTCGGATCAGTTCCAAAGCTGTGCAGGTTGCTGGCAAAAGTACGTACAAATGTATCAAATGTAAATACTTTGTAGACTAAAACTTACATCCTAGCTACCCAAAGGAAACAATGAGGTTCAGGTGACTCGCTAGAGGCTCGCCTGCTAACAGGGACCAGATTAGGGGTTAGCATGCCTGAGTCTAGCTGTGGCTTCATGCGCTACGTGACAAGACTGAACCACAGGGAGGTATAGCCGTGGGTTGCCTCACCCGGCCGTCATGTGACAGTATATGCCTGGTCTTATTATGCTGTTTGGCTCATGTCCATGGGAGGCTGGCTCTTTTCTGAGGGGAGATGAAGGAAGGGAGAGTGAGCCTGGGGGAGAGGAGAGGTGGGGAAGAGAGACTGGGTGTTGGGGAGGGAGGGGAAATTGCAGTTGGGATGTTACATAAGACAGAAGAATTTTGGAAAGGGTGACTGAGCAAGCCAGGGTAGTGAGGCAATAAGCAGCGTTCCTCCGTTCCTCTGTGACCTCTGCTTCAATCTCCTGCCTTGGTTTCTTACCTTGGTGTCCTCCGGTGATGGAGTGTGACTGACGTGTAAGCCCAATAAATCCTCCCCTCTCCCACGTTGCTTTTGTCCACGGTGTTAAAAACAGCAACAGAGGAGGCTGGAGAGATGGCTCAGCAGTTAAGAGCACTGTCTGCTCTTCCAGGGGTTGAATTCCCAGCAACCACATAGTGGCTCACAGCCATCTGTAATGAGATCTGGTGCCCTCTTCTGGCCTGCAGGCATACCACGAAGGCAGAACACTGTATACATAATAAATGCATCTTTTTAAAAAAATCAGCAACAGAAGCCAAACTAATACAGAAATGCAACAAAGTTCAGCAGTTTCGACTATTTCGACAACCGCAAATTGCCAGATATCCCCACCTACCCCCAGTAACTTTGCGGAGGTGGATGCAGATTTTTTTATTCCACTCTTAATTACCAATATTAGCTCTTATAGCACCTGTCAGCATAGCATACAAAACACGCAAATATGTCTACGAGCATATACTATAGAATGAGTATCAGTTAAAGAGGCTGTAGCGGAGGTTAAAACATTTCAGAAGGGGGCTGGAAGTCCGTGTTGGTAAGATAATGAACTGACTCAGCGCTGGGAGGGGCTACTGTGGGTCTGAGAATAGGAAATAGGAGGTTCGGGTCCAGGTCCAGACAGGCAAACAGGCACACATCCAGGCCGTCGAGCATGCCCCATCAATAGCTGGGGCCAGAGCTGAGCTGAAGCTCCAAGGAGAGTCAGGAGCTTCCTGTCTGTCCCTGACACACACTGGGTGTCAGGTAGTCGGGGTTATGCCATCCTACTATTAGGTGTCCATCTTTGTATGGGGTGCAGTGGAGGGAGTTACTCTTTTTTTCTATCTGGCATGTCTATTGAGTTCTTGGGCCTGGTTTTCTTGATATGATTCTGATATATCCCTCCCCTCCTATCTTTCCCCATGTCCCTACAGTCCTAACTCACCCCACTATACCCCAGTAGGAAGATGACCCCCTTTCTATTCTTAGGAATAAGTCATTTATTAGTGCATGATACATGGGTAGCGCCTTGCAGATGGTGCAGCTTGTGGTCCACGCAGGGTCTTCAGTCATCATCCTCCCTCAGAATGGAGTCAAAGCTGCTTGCGAGATGGCAAGGCACAGCCTGAAAACAACTGTTTCATACAATCTGGACTCAGAGTAGGGCGTAGCCTGATCTCAGTAGGTCCCCTAGTTATACAAGCAAGTTAGGCTTGGCATCAAAAACTTTGAAAGTAAAGGCTGGGGTGCGGCCCTTCCCTGCACCTGGAAAGTCTGGACTCTGAGGAAGGCTGGAGGCAAGATGATCAGGGGCAGTACAGCAACCTCAAAGAGCGGCCGCAGGGCAAGTGGGTAGAGGTTTCTAGGACAGGAAGAGGGCGTGTTGGCTGATGAAGCGCAGAAAGGCAGAGTGGAGATTCAGCCAAAACTACCACAGCACCCTTGGAGCATTCGGATACAAGTTGGGACACGCCCAGCATCGGTCTCTCTGTGCACCAATCACCACGGGTCCTTGGACAGTCTCACATTGCGTTATGAAGAGCCTGGCTTACACCCAGCCTTCTGACCACTGGAGAACATGCATCAGAATTCCTGAGTTCTCCAGGCCAGGGCAGCATCTGACAGTCACGTGGCAACAGGAGAAGCAGGTAGGTAGTTTATCGGTGACGTTAGAGCCCCTGCCCCTGGCTACATGGGAACGCTGCAACTCGGAGCACTTGCCAAGCGAGGCCATCGTGAGGGGACTCCGCACCCAACCATGGCCTAGCCTGAGAGGACAGAGGTGTGCTGTGCCATGTTTCACCTGCACCAGGGTCATGCCATGAACTATCTCAGGGATGGTACCCAGGGCTGCTGCCTGGTAGACAGGATGGGCCAGATGCCTGCTCAGTCTGGGGTCCTTTTGCCCAGGTTCATGTCTCCTGAACCCAGGGGCATTCTGGACCAAAACCAGCAATCCAACCTCTGCTGAGCCAGCAGAGAAACCAGCCTGGCCGCCAGCCCATCAGAGAACAGTTCTTCCGGGCTGTGTAGGAACACAGTGCTGTCAAATGTATCAACCAGACCTAGTAGCTGAACCCACTGGAGTCTAACTAGCTATGGAGGGTAGACACTACATATCCTGAGTCTGCCTCAGTGGCCCTTCAGAAACTTCTGGCCAGGCCTCTAAGACTGGTGGGCAAGCTGAACTCTTGGAAGGCAGGCTTTCAAGTACCACTGTACTAACATGCAACTAACTCTGCTGCTGGCTCTGATTTTCGGTTTGTCTGTCTTCAGGACCCATCTGCCATGTGCACTCGCTTGACCTGACCTGACCTGACCTGTTTCTGGGCCAGGAACCTGGGACTCTGTGAACAAGCTCTGCAGAGCCTTCTGCCACAGATTGGAAGTTGACAGAGCAGTCCAGAGGGTCAGATGCAGAGAGACCATAAAATACGCAGGGCAAGCTGGGCAGTGGTGGTGCACACCTTTAATCCCAATGCTCGGGAGGCAGAGGCAGACGGATCTCTGTGAGTCCGAGACCAGCCTGGTCTACAGTCGCTAGTTCCAGGACAGCTTCCAAAGCCAGAGAAACCCTGCCTTGAAAAACCAAAAATTAAAAAAAAGAAAAGAAAAACAAAATACACAGGACACAAAGTGGTTTGAAGACACATCAGTCGGCATCATTTGATTGGCCAGAGAGGTCACATTTCTCTTTCACTTAGAGCAAATATGAGACCTTGTTAACTCAGCACCAATTTTTATTCACAGAATAACCAAAAACTACAGGATCACAGATGCCCAGATCTTTCCTATGCAAGGACCAACATCCACAGGTACTAAATTCTTTGTACCTAACTGTACTTTCCAATATTATTACAACCTGTTGATTGTATAGAGGTTTTCAAAAATTTATATTGCCTTTAAAAGGAAGGGAGAGGAAAGAAAGGACAGAGAAAGGGAGAACAGGAGGGAGGGAGGGAAGGAGGTGGGGAGCACTGCTTGCTCTTGCAGAAGTTCGGGGTTCAGTTCCTGGCACCCACAGAGGCTCACAACCATCAGTAACTTCAGTTTCCTGGATCTGACACTCTGTTCAGGCCTCTGTAGACACTGCATACACACAGAACACAAACATACATGCAGAAGAAATACTCATATACGTAAAACAAGAAGTATTTAAAAAATATTTTAAAGAAAGAAAATGACCAAACGATAGTCCCACCTACTAGATAACACACACAAAAGAGTAGTGGCCCACTAATATTTCAGTTGTAGACATGTATCATTAAGAAAAAACAAATTTACAATTGTTTTTAAATTTTTATTGTGTTTATCACACCCCCTACCCAGAGTTAAGTACAAAACAGTAGTGGCTGCCCCTGGAACGGTCAGGTTGCGGTCAAGCCTCATCACCTTGCGGTCACGTGTAAATGTTGCTCTGAATCTCATTTGTTGTCATCAGTTTCTTCAGTATTTCTGTGCTTTCGGGAACGTTCTGGGAAGAGAAGAAAGGCTGTCACCAGATGCACTCACAGCAGAGAATGGCACAAGCCTGAGCTGCCGTTCCCCTGGCTCTCAGCAAAAGAAAGAGCGCCCTGAAGATCTGCCCAGACGGCCTGGCCTGTGGTGTGCCTGTGAGAGCCTGTCTGACTGATATGGAGGAGAACCAGCTCACCACGGGCAGCTCTGCTCCCTGGACAGGTGCTCTGGGCTGCACCAGGAAGAGAGCTGAGCATAAGTCTGTGGGTGAGGCGACAGCCCGCATCACTCCATGATTTCTGCTTCAGTCCCTCCTGAGTTCCCGCCCTGACTTCCCTCCACGATGGGCAGGGGCCGGAATCATAAGCCTCGGAAACCCTTCTTCCCAAAGTTGCTCTTGGTCAGAATATTTTATCACAGTAACAGGAATCAAACAAGAACACCTTTCCCTTGGCCAAAGCCTCCAACTCTGCTGACCTTCAACACACCACCCCTCACGCTCTCCTCACACCCTGCACTCTGTCCCTGCCCGCTCCTCACCACTAACATCACCCACCTCCTGAAGCCAGTTACAGGGCCTCTCTCAGGAGCCTTTCCTAAGGGTGACTTCCTGTCCCTCCACGCATCACAAGCCAGCACCCCCAGCTATCTGTGGAGCTACCTGATGGGGACGTCCTTCCGTATACCTGTTTCTCTTATAGGTCGATGAATAGAGCACTGCTTGGCCAACAGCCAGTAGAGGCAGGGAGATAGGCGGGGCTAGGAGAAGGCTGGGGGAGAGGTGCTCAAGAGACACCATACAGTGGAAGAAGGAGATAGAGGTCCTGACCCTTCTCTATAAGACCACACTGAAATACTTAGATTAATAGAAATGGGTTAATAATCAGGACAGAGCTAGACAATAAGAAGCCCTAGCCATCAGCCAACAGTTTCATAATTAGTATGGCATCTGTGTGTTTATTTGGGGCTGAAGGGTGGCGGGACCTGGCGGGACCAGAAACCTCCAGCAACAGCTACCCCAGGTGAAGGCCACAAAACAAGGTTCCAACAACTCCCTTAAGCCAAGCATTAACTCAGGCCCGCTGCGTTTAGTCCTTAAGATGATGGCACTGAGGTGGACGGTGGTAGCACACGCCTTTAGTCCCAGCAATCAGGAGGCAGAGGCAGGAGGATCTCTATGAGTTCAAGGCCAGCCTGGTCTACAGAGTGAGTCCCAGGACAGGTCCAAAGCTACAGAGAAACCCTGTCTTGAAAAACAAAAAACTAAAAACAACAAACAAACAAAAAAGATGGCCCTGAGGTAGTCAGGGAGATGGCTCAGTTGAGGTGTCCTGAGAACATGAGGACCTGAGTTGAGGTCCCCAAAGCCCATGAAAAAACCAGGCCCCTGACAAGCACCTGTGACCGCAGCGCTGAGAAGCAGGACTCCTGAGAAGCACAGGTGAGTCAGCCTGGCCTATCCACAAGTTCCAGGTCTCAAAGATCAAGATAAAGGGCAGATACTGGAAACGTTAAAAAGTGATTTAAACTAAAAGTGTATTTCAAGTAGATATGACCAATGGGTTTTTAACCTCAAAACAAGTCTAGATGTTTATTGAGAAGACCATCCAAAATGAAACAAATAGCCCTTGCCTGCCCTCAGGGACACAGCCGGCTGGACACACAAACCCACTAAAGAGAAGATAATTCGAAACAACTTAACAGCACTTAGCGCTCTTGCAGAGGACCTGGGCTCATTTCCCAGCACCCAGATCAGAGGCTCACAACAATCTGTAACTTCAGCTCCAGGATCCAGTGCACTCTGGCCTCCACAGGTACTTGCATGCCCGTGGCACACATAAACTCCCACAGGCACACACATAAATTAAAAACAGTAAATCAATCTTTTAAAAATAAATAATAAATTAACTACTTGCAGGAACTTGCTGTAGAATATTATTTTAAGGTGTGTTACATTTGTTTATGCTGTGGAACATTTGTTTAATGATGCAAAGATGTGTTGCATTTTTGTTTAACTCTGTGCAGATGTGTTACGTTACCTGTCTGAAACACCTGACTGGTATAATAAGAAAGAGCTAAACAGCCAATAGCGAGGCAGGAGAAACGACAGGCAAGGCTGGCAGGAAGTAAAGAGGAGGAGAAATCTGGGAAGGAGGGAAGGAGGGAGGGAGGGAGGGAGGGGTGAGAAGAGAAGGGGCCAGCCATGGAGTAAGAGCGAAAGATAACAGAAGTAGGAAAAGGAAAAAGCCCAGAGGAAGAAGGTAGACAGGGTACTTTAAGTTAAGGAAAGCTGGCCAGAAACAAGCCAAGCCAAGGCTGCGCATTTACAAGTAAGAATAAGCCTCCATGTGTGATTTATTTAGGAGGTGGGTGGCGGACCCCCAAAAGAGCAAAGAGTAAAATCAACCAACAGGAATGTCTCAAGCAGTACCTACCTACCTACCCCCCCCTCTCTCTCCCTCCCTCCCTCCCCCCCTCTCCCTCTCCCCAAGCACCGAGAGGTGACCACAGTGCAGGAGTTTACACCAGGACCAAGGCAGTCACCACGGCACAGCCGATCCCCAGCGCCGCACCAGGAAGCTCAGGGCTGGGTGCCCTGCAGCCCCTCCATCGTCCACTTCACTGTGACAGCTTGGCGACCAGTGGGGGAGCACGGCGCCTTACCTTCACCAAGCACTCCAAGCTGCTGGAAGACAGCACAGGCTTAAAAGCTTCCACGGTGACCAGGTCCAACTTCATCACATCCGTGTAGCACAGATACAGAACCGCCGGGATTTTCCACACTTGGCAGTAGCTCAGAACTACAACACACAAAGAAAGACGCTGGCTTTCTGCGACGTACTTTTTACGGAAACTCTCAAATAGTGAGAGCTGATCTGAAAAAGTCAACTTTCTGCCCTTTAATCAAGGCATCCTCGGCCATGCTGACCCACTTTATTATCTTTATTTTGCATTTCCTAAACATCCTATCACAACTGTAAAGTCATGTATTAGAATACTTGCCACTTTGGGGAGGTACATACATACAAAGAGTAATATATAATGCACACTGAACTCATGATACTTTTCTCATGCTAGTAACTATAACACAAAAAGCAAAGCATTGTGTTGAAAAATGCATTTAAGAAAGAGTACATACTATGAAATACGAACCACTGAAAACAAGTACCCATTTATTCCAACATAATATGCGTGAACAGCAGTGTGACAGTTACTAGTGTCAACCTGACAGGGACTAGAATTACCCAGGAGACACTCCTCTGGAACGTCTGTGGGGTTATTCATTAGGTTAACTGAGGTGGGCAGGCCCACCTTAACTGTGGGTGCCATGGTTCCAAAGGCTGGGGTTTGAACTAAATAGAAAGGAGAGAGGGAGCAAAGCATGAGCATTCATCATGTTCTACTTCCTGACAGATGTAATGAGGCCAGTGGCCTCAGCTCCTGCCGCCATGATGGAATGCGCCATCAACTGTGTGTGAGCAGAACAATCCTTCTTCCCGTAAACCACTTCTGCTGGTATTTTGTCACAAGAGAAGAAACTCATAAGCGGCATGATAGAAAACCAAGAGTAACAACCAACCCAGGCAGTAGTGATGCACACCTCTAATCCCAGCACTCAGGGGGCAGAGGCAGGAGGATCTCTAAATTTGAGACCAGCCTGGTGTACAGAGCAAGTTCCAGGACAGTCAGGACTACACCGAGAAACCCTGTCTCTAAAAACCAAAACTCAAAACCAAAAGAATAACAACCAGCCTTCAACATCCCAAAGCTTCTTACTTGGATAATTAAAATTGCCAGTTTCCACATACCAACAATCTGCATCTGACACTGGGTTCCACCCTGAGATTGCAGAATCCCAAACAGAAAAGAACCATGGGCACACAACACAACAGCAAGAATCTAAGCTGCTGTCACAACTGAGCATCCCACACGTGCAAGTACAGACGCAAAGGACAGCAGCAAGGAACTGCTATCCTTCAAAAAGTTTACCAGGAGAAGCAAAAGTCATCAACAGAGCCGGTGGCAACTTTTGGTCCCACCTGCTGCAGGCAGGTCATGCACAATGTTCGGCTGTTCCAGCAGGGGGCAGCAGACAGGGTCCTTGAACTTCTGAGTTTTTAGGGCTCTCAGGAAAGGAGAAGGAAGGCTGCAGGTAGACTCAGAGGTTTTATACTCTGTGACGTGTCGGCACGTGAGAACCGTTACCTGCATGTTCCTCCTGGGTCGGGAGCCAAAGACCTAGGAGAACACGGATTTTATGTTAAACTTAGTCTCTCCTCACCAGAAACACTGACTCACCAGACCGGGTGCAGAGTGCGCGCCCCTGTGACTGTGGCTCTGAGGCCTAGCTAAACAACCTCCCAAGTCGTTCTCTCGTCTCTGAACTGAGGGTGGCACTGACAAAGGACCCCGTGACGTAAACTAGTGCAGAGATCATGGGTCAGAGCAAAAGTAGTGGCCCCGGGACTGTCACCTGGGTAAAGTCACAAGAGCACACTCAGCATCCCTCCCCTCCCCTGCCACGCAGGACACCTGAGCCAGGAGTCTTAGGCAACTCAATTTTGGTGTTACTACAACTGTAGGCTCTCAACCTCCCACTGCCGTGTGTGGATCTCACAGGTCATCACGGATTCTTCTATCTCTTACTTAAATTCATGGCAAAAACAAAAACAAAAACAATGAAAGCATCTTTTTTTTTAAAGGAAGGATTTCTAAGATACTATATTTGCTTAAACTATTTTCTTTTTTTTTTTTTTAACTTCTTTTCCTCTATTTTATCTGTCTGTCTGCCTCTTAAGTAGACAATGCTGGGTCTCAAGCTCATGGCCCTCCTACGTTGGCCTCCCCAAAGCTGGCTTTACACGAGCTGTGGTTTTTTTTTTTTTTTTTTTTTTTTTTTTTGGTTTTTCGAGACAGGGTTTCTCTGTAGCTTTGGAGGCTGTCCTGGAACTCACTTTGTAGACCAGGCTGGCCTCGAACTCACAGAGATCCACCTGCCGCTGTGTTTTAAATAAGCAAGGTACTCCACGGCCTCATGGATCTGAACACGTGCTCTCCAGTTGGCAGTGATATCTGGGGAGGCTACAGAGCATTCAGGAGGGGGCGCAGCCTTGGGGGAGGTGTGTCCCTGGGACAGGCTTTGATGGGCTACGGTTGGCCCCAAGTCCTACTTGCTGTGTACCTCCTGTGTGAGGATAAAAATGTGACCAGCCAACCTCCTGCTCCTGCCACCATGCCTTTCTGCTGCCACGAGTTTCCCGCCAGGAGAGACTTTATCCTCTGGAAGCGTAAAACTAAATAAACCATTTTCTTCACCACTTTGCTTTTCCTTGATGTATTTTTTCACAACAACAACAAAAAAAAAGTGACTAATACAAGTGTGTGCCATCGTGTCTGACTTGTCTGAAATACTTGATGAAATGAGAAAGTGGCTAGAGCCAATAATAACAGGAACGCGGAAGTTCTTTATCAGGTATCACAAATGGTTCACACGATTAATTTCACTACAACATGACTTGTAAATAAATACTAGAAACGTTACCTCTTACAAACTTGTTACTGTGCATGTCCATAATTTAACTTCCTTCCTGTAATAGTTCTGGTCTGAACCCAGAGTATGTGGCGACTGTCAGATTGTATCATTATGAGGATTTGGCTCATAATACAAGTGTTTACAAACTCACAAGCAAGTGTCTACAAAGAATATTACTAAGAACAAGATTGACTAAAAACTTTGCTTTCACCCTCAAGTGGCAGCAGATGCCTACAATCTCAGTACTCAGGCTGGAACAGAAGAATTCTAGTTCAGGGCCAGCCTGGGCTACTGAGCAAGAATCTCAAAAAAGAAAATAAAGTAAAAACAAAACAACAATAAAAAAAAACTTTTCTTTAAAAAAAAGTGTAAGCTGTGGACTAGAAAGATAGCTCAGATTTTCAGAGCACTTGTTCTTGCAGAGAACCTGGGTTTGGTTCCCAGGACCGAGATGGCAACTCAACCATTAGTGACTACAGTTCCAGGGGATCTGATGCCCTCATACACATAAAATAGCCTTATTTAAGAGTGCTGAATCTTGGACTGAAGAGATGGCTCAGAGGTTAAGAGCACTGACTGCTTTTCCAGAGGTCCTGAGTTCAATTCCCAGCAACCACATGGTGGCTCACAGCCACCTGTAATAGGATCTGATGCCCTCTTTTGGCCTCCAGGAATACATGCAGAGCACTCATATTCATAAAATACAAATACAATAAAATCTTTTTTTTTAAGTGCCTAATTTTGTATCTCTTCAAGTCTTGAATATGTTCATTTTTTCCTACAGTACATGGGTAGTATTTTTTTTATATAACCAGCATCCTGCACAACTAAAAGGTAAAATTAAACACTTCAATCTTCTCCCCAGAAAAATATGCCATGTACCCTGAGTATACACATGTAATCAAAGAACAGTATGCAGAGCTTTGCAAACAACCCTTGCCTTAATGCAGCGCAATGATAACTTACTGAACGTCTTCAAGAGGGCCAACTGCTTTGAACAGGCACACACAGACACTCAAGTTAGACTCACTGGAGGTAACAACAGGCCACACATGGGGCTTTCTTCCTCTTTACCTTTTCCAGCCACTGGAACTGTTGGTCTTCAGCGATGTAGCAACTACACTGACACAGAAAGACCTGGAAGGGGAATGTCAAGAGATCTCACGTGAGACGCAGACACATCTGGCCCTGCCGCCATGTGAGATGTAGACACATCATCTGGCCCTGCCGCCATATGAGACGCAGACACATCTGGCCCTGCCACCATGTGAGATGTAGACACATCTGGCCCTGCCGCCACGTGAGTGGCACCGTGTAAGTAAGTGCCAGTGGCTGGCACCGCTCTGTGGAGCCACGGTTCCCCAAAGGCCCGTGTGTTCACTTAAAGCGCCCCGAGTCTTCAGGTCATTAGCAGCAAGCCCTTGAAGGAGACTTTGGCACTATCTCCTCCTCTTTCACCTCCCGGCCTTGTATTCAGATGTGCTGCTCCTGCACAACCCCGCCATAAAGCGCCACCCCGCCCCACCCAGCAGCACTGAAAGCTAAGGGTCTGCCCCAGTCGGGCACTGGAACGTGGGAATCTCCAGGCCCAAATCTACCTTTCCTTCCTGTAAGCTGAGTACTTCAGGCATCTGTTACAGCAAGAGAAGATAACACAGAAGTTTATCATTTTGCCAACTCTAAGAGTTAGGCCTAAAATCTAGTCAGACCGTTAGAAGAAATTCATGTCGAGACACAGAATACACGGAGTGGCAGAGGAGAACCCTGGCACCCGAGATCCTGCAGTGTTTGTAAACTATCGAGGACTCATGCCTAGAGGACTATGTGTTAGGAATACTGAATGAAGTCCCACATACCGAGGGATCCGATTTCAGCTGATAAAACACACAGAAAGCATCTGTGGGGGACAGATGGACAGTGTCTGTTGTTCTGCACCATTCATTCCAGAGCTTAGCACAGCCGACCTCTTTCCAGACTCCTGAAGTCATAACAAAGGACGACAAAAATGCTGTGGGGAAAAAAATGTTCGTAATTTGTCATCTGGTGTTTGCCACTCATTACCCCGGCATTTAGAGCTGAAACAGTCATTCAAAACCATCTAACTTGGGGGCTGGAGAGACAGCTCAGGTCAAGCGCTGTCTACAATTCCAGCTCTAGAGGATCTGATGCCCTGCTCTAGCCTAGACTCTTGAACAAACCACACACAGACATATACACATAATTAAACTTTTAAAAAATCTCTAGCTGGCCGGGCGGTGGTGGCGCACGCCTTTAATCCCAGCACTCGGGAGGCAGAGGCAGGCGGATCTCTGTGAGTTCGAGGCCAGGCTGGACCGACAGCCTCCAAAATAATCAGAGAAACCCTGTCTCGTAAAAACCAAAAAAAAAAAATCTCTAACTGAGTGGTTCTCAACCCTTGTAATGCTGCAACCCTTTAACACAGTTCCTCATGTTATGACGACCCCCCACCATAAAATTATTTCATTGCTACTTCATAACTGTACTTTTCTGTTATGAATTATGTAATATCTGATATGCAATCCTGTGAAGTAGTCATTTGACTCCTAAAGGGGGGCATGATCCACAGGGTGAGAACCACTGGTCTAGTTGGCCCACTTTGGAGCAAAGACAACTTGAGGCCAAGGAATGAAAAGCCTGCGCTTCCCAAACGACAATACAACCAGGACTAGAGACACAGCCTGTGCACGGACTTCATACCAGTCTCACGTCTCAACACTCTTCTAAAGCACTGGACCTCAAAAACGAAAAATAAAGGCAGGGCATTAGTGGCACACGCTTTTAATCCCAGCATTCAGGAGGCAGAGGCAGGCGGGTCTCTGAGTTCAAGGTCAGCCTGGTCTACAGAGAGTTCTAGGACAACCAGGGCTACACAGAGAAACTTTGTCCCAACCAATCAATCAATCAATCTTGGGCCAGCAGACCTTCACATAATGGGTGAACAGCTACCTACTGCTTACTTACACAATCTCTAAGAACCATGGCTACCTTACAAGGGCAAGGGCTCAGAGCTCACAAGCCCACTGAAATCATAAAGGCCTCCACCTGTACTGGCACGCAGCCCAGCACTGCTCCTACTAAACTCACACCACTCTACCCTGAACCTACCAGGTCAATAAAGGCATTCACAGACCTTAGAACTGAAGTGCTCCAAAACGTCTGCAACTATCACTAGGCCACTAGACACCCCAACAGACTGGAGAATGGTGCCTTGGACTGTAATTCTGAAGCTAAGCATATTTCCTTTAAATCTCATTTATGTTTATTACAGAGATGGAAAGAGCATGCAATCTACTTTACTTGAAATAAAATTACGGACGTTCTAAGACAGGGCTTCACATAGCCTTGAACCTTCTTCACGATCCTGTCCACTCCCTCTGCCTCCTGAGTGCTCAGACTGCCCAATTTATATGGTGCGGGGGATTGAACCCAAGGTCTTGCGCACAGTAGGCAAGCACTTTGCCACCTGAGGCACATGCCCAGAGCTGTTGTGATGTTTTGTTTTGAGACAGGGTTTCTCAGTGCAACAGTTCTAGCAGTCCTAGAACTCATCCTGTAGACCAGGCTGTCCTCGAGCTCACAGTGGTCCTCATGCCTCTCTGCCTCCCAAGTGCTGGGGTTAAAGGTGTGCGCCACTACCGCCCGGCATGTTGTGATCCTTCTAAAAATATCAACACGTGGAATTACATGGAAACGAGTGCCCTCCTAGTCGATTCTCTCAACAGCACGTGTAGTCTTGGTGCCGGAACTTACCTGATGCGTTACTTCCTACTGCAATTATGAACTTGGAGCAGGACTGCTTTTCCAGCAGTGCAACCTCCAGAGAGGTTTTTGTCTGTCTTTGAAGAAGCCGCACCTCCCTGACAACAAGAAGCAAAACTGAAGTAAACAAACATGGCTACAGCTACCACCACACTGTGAGAGGTAAGTGAGAGGCTAGGACAAGCTGATGTCACAAATGTCAGCTAGACACAGATGTCAGCTAGATGCTACACAGAAACGGATGCGTACGTGGATGGGCAGAGGAGAAACACATGGGTGGGCAGACGCGTTATTTACTTGGACACACATATACACACATGGGTGGATGGATAAATGGGTGGGTGGTAGAAGATGACAGTTGGATGGGTGGACGGATGGACGGTGTTAGATGAGAGCGTCCTGATGAGTGGGTAAGATACACTCTTTTTATAGAATACACACTACAATCCTAAGGAAAAGCGCAGACTCTGGGAACTACTGCTCAACGACAATCAATGGGTAAAACCACTGCCAACAAACTTGATCCCGCCCGCCTGACACACCCGTTGCCAGCACCCCCATGAGCCAGACTGAGCCCGAGGAGACTTGGAACGCAATCCCAACAGTCCTGCCGGCGTGTGGTCACCCAGGAGGTGACCAAGACTCCAAACATTTAGTTGAGGAGCGTCCATGTTAAATGACTGCAGGGGGACACCACCAGACACACCAGCAGCTCGCAGCAGGAGTGAGAGATGAGACCGGGGCTGCTGGAAACTGAACTGCCCTGCACAAGAGGCTGCATCAGACACAAGCCACCGGGAAAATCTGGCGAATTGGACTGCGGCTGAAAATTTGTTATTAGCATCCTGAGGGTTGGGGAGGTAGGTGCTCAGTCGCCAACACAAGCTTGACCACCCAAGTTCTGACCGCTGAACCCACCTAGGAGACCGCGGAGGACTAGGGCAACGGGAGGATCCCTTTGGCCCGGGTGCCGGCCAGTGTTCGGGGAGAGGAGGGAAGCGCCACAGGACACGCAGCCTCAGCCTGTGTCCCCGCACACGCGCACACACGCTCACGCACACACGCACACGCACACACGCACACACACAGGCACCACGCAGTAGACGAATGCGGATGGAGACAGCACGCTTAGGGGCAGGCAGCGGGCGCAGCCGTAACTGGAACTGCGTACGCGCGGTGGGAAGAGGACACCAATGTGCTAAAACCTCGCTTCTGTGTGTCTGGGAATGGTGCTGGAACACACGGGGCCTCCGGCTGACACGCAGTGCAACCTCACGGGGTGGGTGGGGTGGATGGATGCAGGGCGAGAGCGACGTGTGGGAGCCGGTGCCCCGGCGTGAACGCGGCGCGCTCGCCCTGCCCGGCCCGGCAGGGAGGCCTTCCCGGAGCCTGACCTCTTCCGCGCCAGCTGCCGCCGGACCTCCCGGTCCTCCGGCGTGTCCCGCCTGTCCTGCTCTTCCTCCTCTTCCTCCTCCTCGGTCCCGGCTCGGCAGGGCGCCTTCACCACCTCACCGAAGAACGTGGCCGCCATGGCGCCTCGGCACCGCGCCGCCAGACGGCGCCTGCGCGCCCGTCCCTGGCCACGCCCCCCGGGACTCAATCCGCGGGCCGCCACGCCCCCCACGACCACGACTCGCTCCCGCGCAGGGCCACGCCCCCAAGGTCCTGCAGCTTCCGGTCCGCCGGGGGGAACCCTGGGCTGTGCGGAGCCCAGGACTTGGGGGACCGCGAGCTGGAGGAGCGGAAGCCGGCTCAGCCTCTTCCCCGGCGGGCCTGACCCTCCCGGGCGCCTCCCTTGGCCCTGGCTAACCCGGGTCATTGCCCGCTCCACATGCAAGAGGATCCGCAGAGCACGAGTGAAAATAGTAGGCTCCACTCTTAAAACCCTGGCCGCTTTTAACTCACATTCAGTGTTTTCTATGTCTGTGACCTTACGTTGGCAAGCAAAATGTTTGATTCTGGTTGGTGTCCTGGAAGACAAAAAGCTTCACCGAATTGTTCCCACGAGAGAAAAGCGGACAGCTGTGAGGGAGGCGAAAGGAAACTTCCCTCGGTGAGAAATAAACACACATTCTAGATTTACATGTGTATTTACTGCATTGCATGCATGCACTGCCCACCCAACCTTTGGGTAAATACTTGGTAATCACAGGGATCTTTTAAAATAATCAAAATTCTCAGATAGTTGCTTAAAATCTCACAATGTAGAAAAACAATTCCCAAAGTCTACTGCAAACAAGTGTGTCCGTTGTAACATACACACCCTAAAAAAAAAAAACCCCTCACTTAATAAGAAGCAGATTAATGCCAAATAGAACATTTTATATGTAGCTATAGCACACATACAAGATTACCTCTATGGTGTCTTAAGACACAAAGCCTCAAGAATTAGTTGGCCATACGTGAACTACAGCATAAGAAGTAAAAAAGATGAATCTGGTGCATAGCTTTCTCCTGTTATCTTTCTTAAGCTGTTATTTTGCCGGGGAGATATTCAACTTCTCAATCACATCATAAAGAAACCATTAACAGAAATCTGAAACATGGTGGTAAGCCATATAGACGCGGTGGCTCATCGGCCGTGCTTTAAATTTCAAAGGCAATTTTACAAGAGCAGTAAGTTTTTTTTAAAAAAAGCTTACTCCATGCAGTCACAATAAAGACACCAAACACTCTAAAGGGTAAATAAAAATATGTTCCAATTAAATAAATGCAAAACCAGAGCGGGGTTCCATTACGAAAAGCTGGACAGGATAGGATGGCGACAGAAATTAGTCCTAAGACAGCAAATCGTAAATTCAACCTTCAGTCCACAGTCAGCATTCACATGTCTCCATTACCACTGAAGCATTTCTGTTTCCTGGCATTTCTTGAGGACTAATGTACCCAGTAAGTAATTTCTATGACATTTGTGACTGGACATTTAAACATTTCATTTAAAGCTCAAAAATAAATAAATAGAAAAGTCAAACCCAAGCACCTAAAAATAGCAGTTCATTAGAAATTCTTCCCTTGCTAGCCTGTGCTAGTCGAAACATACTGGAGATTATTTCAAATTAAGGTACAAAATTAACACGATTTAAGCAGACATGCAACCACAAATGAGATTCTACAGTCATCTAGACACTTAGGCCATACATGTAAGTAGAAAATGCGCATTACTGTTAATGAAAAAATACAAACCCCTACGCTCCACTTTTTCTTTTTTTTTCCTTTTTGATTCACACATGCTAATTATGTTTATGGTTACAGCTATTTTTTTAATTGGGAAAACAAACTGAAAACAGTCTCCCCAGTGACTCGTTAAGAAGACTTGTCAGTACATTCACAGGTCATATCTGGTGACCTTAATGTCAACAAATAGCCATGAACAAGAAACTAAAGTCCACACTGTAGGCAAAGCATTTGTAGCACAACGACCTGATTCTCACACTAACTAGCAACGGCCACATGGAGGCCAATTCCTGCCACTGGCTTGTTGGTGAAACTGTAATGAACTTGCGGTGTTCAAAATTTCTTTTTTGGAAGGGGGGGGTGTTCAAGACAGGGTTTCTCTATGTAACAGCTCAGACTGGAACTTGCTTTTGTAGACCAGACAGATCTCGAACTCACAGGAATCCACCTGCCTCTGACTCCCAAGTGCTGAGATTAAAGGTCTGGCTCTAATTTCTAGCTCTTTAAGGTGCAATAGAGAATGTAACTGCATCACCTAAAGAGATACCTGTTTGAGTCTTATTCTATTTTTCTGACTTAAAAGTCCAGCCTCTTCAATCTTTGCTGCTACGTATAAGAAATAATAGTAATAGTCACTTTCAGAGCTTTCTTAGAAAAATATAGTCCCTGAATTAGTTATAGAAGGTGGTTATCATTCAGTATGAATTCCAAGACATTAATGACTGTCTTCCCAACACTCCTCTTCAGAAGTCAGTAACATCCCAGCATTGACTTCCCCCACCCCCTTCTGGGTTTGGTCCCCGGAGGATGTACATTACAGGGATTAGGTTCAGGTAACCAGCACTCAAACAGGTGCATTGAAGCCTCCTTTGGAAATGGCTTAAATTTCAAACTCTGAGGGTTAACCTTTACAGTGAGCATCAGGGTTCAGATTCGGATGGCTTATCAGTTTCCCCCACATGTCCCATACACTGGCTTCCTCTAAACAATCGAGGTATGTCACGCCTTTGCTTTACAGAAAGGGCGCTTCTGCCTGCCTTGTGACTACTTAACCCACACCTACCACCTCCCGGGAACACCCTCTGCTGTGCTGTGTAGGGCCGACTGGAAGCCTTCATCCCACTTAGACCCAGAGTAGCGATGGTTAGAAAATTGTTCCAAAGGTGCGGGACGGCTCAGGGCTGGGAGTGGACTGCAGCTGCGGGCACTGGAGGGGCTGGCATTCCTTCCCAGGTTCCCTTTCTATCTCAGTCATGGATGGGCTTTTCTTTTCCAGGATCTGAACCGCCTAAGAGAAAACACTTTGCTACTATCTTCTGGGTCTTTTTCATTCTCTGCATGTATGGTTGCATCGTCCTCTTTATAGACACTCCGTAGCCTTTTCTTAGCCACGGCAGAAGCTTGTCGACAGGGCAGTTTCCTGCTGCTCTTCCTAATCCAGACATGCTCTGCTCCTGAGACTGTTTCTTTTAGATTACTCGTTATCTTTACTTTATTGGCGGCGGTGGCAGCACGTGTGCGGGGGGCTTTCTCGGGTACCGTTTTTGCTTTCAGGGTGCCACTACGCATCTGCGCTGCATCCTTCTCATTATACACACATGGCCTCGCTTTTGTATTGGGCTTTCTGCCTTTACAAACAGATTCTGAAAAATGAGTGAAAATTCGTATGAATACAAAAATCTTGTCATAGGACTGTGCTATGTATACTTCTCAACAACAGTCCTGAATGATTCTCAGACTTGATTATGAACAGTTAAAAAGCTGGCTTGACGTACAGCGTGACTTCCATTTCCTTCCCTGTGAGGACCAGTCCCATTCCCAGTATCAGCTTGCACAAATGACGAGTACCTTCAGCTTCATAAAGGTACTCACCTGGCACTACTTTCAAACGTCTAGATTGAGAGGGTTAAACCATGTGTTTCAATTTCCAGGCTTCATTTCTAACCCTCCTTCAAACCATGTTGAGATAGTTAATGCCTCTGACTTAAATCGCCACCCTTGGGGAGACCCACCACCCTGACATCTGACTTCAAGGGCTACAGGTGCACTCAAGACCAGGGTTTTCTTTATTCAAGTATTTCAGTGGCTGAGTTGGTTACAAAAACAAACTAACAAACTGCACTGACTCTATGAAGTTTAGTATGGCCTCCATCCTAATTTATTTGCAATATTAAGAAAATGCTTTACACAGTTGGGAAGACTGAAGCTCACACTTCTGAACTAGCTTATGGCAGATGAAGCCTTTCACACGTGCGTGCGTGTCTGTCTTAACTCACAAGCACTGCAGACTCAGGGAAGGATTCTATTGAGAAAGTGCATTTTGATGAGCTAAATGTTGTACAGGGGTTTATCAGAACCTGAGCTGGGCAGGAAGCTCACTGAAGAGACAGACCCTTTCTCGCAGACCTGGGCAGCCTGCAAAGGTGGGTGGGGAGCAGAGCTGTCTGCCAGACAGGGCAGCAAAGTATCAAAGGCGCTTCAAATTCCAAGTGCTGTGTTGCTTGGGCGTGCCTGCCGTCAGCTAGGGATTAGGGCTCTGATGACTAGCCTTGCAGTCATGAAAAATCAAACCTAAAAGGTTGGCCAAACAGCCCAGGTGGGAATGTGATGGCAGAGAAATGCAGACTGTAAAAACTGAGGTAACAGGCAGGCATCAAGAGAAGTGATTTGGCAGGGTTTGTTAATAAATACAAAACTACAGCCTTTTGGCCCCATACTGTTATGAAGTCAGCTTGGCCTGACTGTCCAAGTCACCAACCACTTTCTGGCCTCCACAGACAGTGTGCACATGGTACAGAACAGACAGACAGACAGACAGACACACACACACACACACACACACACACTCAGCTGTGGTAGGGGACATCTGTGTAATGCAAAATGAGGAAAAGTAGAGGCCTTAAGGCTCTGTCTACGAGACAGACATCAAAGCTTTGCTTTCTCCACATCCACAAACTCTTGCAAAATAGACATTTCCCTCAAAGCAACTTGGAGCTTCCTCATGTAATGAGTGCTTTCACTAAGCTGGTGTGACACACAACCCCAAGAGCATGCTCTTTAACTGGACTCTGTGGAAAGTATTTTTACCTTCAGAGGACTGGCTTAGAAATTGAAAAGTTACAAGCTGGAGTCTCTAACAATCAATATCAAATCCAAAACCCAGGTTGAGCAAATGCTAGTATATAAATATATATGCAAGTGCAGTTTTAACATATAGCAAAATTAAGGGGAAACACACACCCTCATAAGAATTCTACTAGTATCAGTCAACTACATCACCTGCATACTAAGAAAATTGAGACAACTGGTTCATTGCCCATCACTACTAAAAATCTCTTCATAAGAAAATGACTTAGTTGCAGTAGTTAGTTCTCCAAAGGTGTGATGGAAGAACCTATACAGTTTGTGAATGGAAAATATAAACTCTTAAAGAGATATTTCAATGTTTCTTTCCAATCCAAGAGGGGGAAAGCTAAGGGATGTCCAACTCAAAATGGAAGTTATCTGTCCTGTGTGTCACTGGTGTTCCTGGTGGCTGCGATTGGTGGACAGTGAACCCACAGTGAGTTCCCCACAGCTGTAAACTTTTACCTCTCCAGCAAGTCTCTAATCAAAACCTGCTACAGCTGGAGACTACTCTCTTGACTGCACTTTTCACCCTTCCAAAGCAGGAGCTTCCAGAAACACCCAGGAAATGGCCATTTCCCTAGACAATGATTCAAGTCAGTGTCCTGTGGTTAGGCCCTACTTCCCATTCTGTAGGAAGGCTGTGGTGGTGCGGTGGTTTCTTCTGCAGCGGGACGAGAGATGGCCTGAAACAACTGAGCGAGCTCATTCCGCGCTTTAGTGATTTCAGGGACCAACACAACTTGGCTTTTCTTTGCAACTACGTCTGAGCTAGCTCATCATCACACAGCTGTGCCTCATTCTTTGAAAACTGGTAATGTCATCATTGGTGATGGTTATTTTTCCAGATGTCTCTCAGCATTACAAACTGCCTGTCAGAGGAGGATCAAGTATCACAGACAGATAAAGGACTTCCACTCATGAAAAGCAAGGCTGACTCAAGCTCAGAGCTGCCGGTTCACTACCAGCACTGTAGGCCACAGCTGAGTGCTGGGAAACACCAACAGAGGTCAGGGGAAGCTGCAAGGGAGGCAAGCTTCCTCGGGGTTTAAAGACCCCTAGCTTTAACTTGAGAAAATGTTTTAAAATCTCATTTTAAGCCTACTATGAGCAAGGCCCCGAGTTGCATCCCAGGTACTGTTGTTTTTTAAAGATCTGCCCATTGGAACTTTAACCACAAGACAAGTCCCTGTGGTGACTGTTAAGAGTACTGCAGGTGAACCATAGCATAAAACCCAAGGATAGATTTATACTTAGAAATTAAAAACCCTTTAAAACAGGGATGAAAACAGATGATGTCTAAACTACCTTGTGTGAATAAGACGGAGGTGGTGCTGCCAGAGTCCATGCAGTCTACAGCTGAACATGTTAAAATCAGGACAGTTAAGACCACCACTTCTCTGGCAACTCAAAGGCTTTATAATAATAACCTGTGTGTGACAGTTAAACCTTTAATCCCAGCACTGGGGAGGCAAAGGCAAATCGATTTATCTGTGTTCCAGGCCAGTCAGTACTACGTATTTTAAGACAATTGTGTCTCTAAAAGTAAAGGGCTGCAGAAAAGACTCAGTTAAGAGCACTGGTTGCTCTTCTGGAGGACCTAGACTCAATTCCCAGAACCCACAGCGCTGCTCACAACCATCTGTAATAGCTCCAGTCCCTGAGAATCTGATACCCACCCTCCTCTGGCACACTTGGTGCAGACAAACATGCAGGCAAAACACATACATATTAAATAACTGAAAACTTAATATAAAAATTAAAGGCCATAATAACAAATAAAATTGTCTTTTAAAATATCCTCAGGAAGCGTAGAAACTAATCACGTCTTGCCACACTATCTAGACACACTGTCAACAACAGAAGCAGTGAGACTGTAGGAGCCAAGACTTTGGGACTCTGACCAACAAATTCACGAAGGTAAGCCTTGAGGAGAAGACGCCAGTTAAGGAGGTAATTTTCCTACCAATGTGATACAAGCTTTGCAGATTATACAAGAAACTGTTAAACAAAAGCTCTTTAATTCTGAAAATTCCTGGGTGTCCTTAGGAACACTTGTAAGAATTTTAAAAAGATGTAAGAAAAGACGCTGGGCAGTGGTGGCGCTCGCCTTTAATCCCAGCACAAGGGAGGCAGAGGCAGGCGGATCTCTGAGTCGGAGATCAGCCTGGTCTACAGTTGCTAGTTCCAGGACAGCCTACAAAGCCACAGAGAAACCCTGTCTCAAAAAAAACAAAAAACAAAAACAGCCCCCAGCATTATATTTTTTACTCTTCAGTCCTTCCATTACTGATAGTGTGAGCTCTATGGAAAATTCACACTCAGTAGCCTAGTTATATAGATCTAGTCCACACTGTCTCGTTTGTCCTCCTGCTCTAACAAATTTGGTGTGGTCCGTATGCTACAAAGCACTGGGCCCACAGCTTGAAACCATTACAGTGCTGGTTGGTGTCTCTGCTTTATTGTTTCCTGCTCTCCATAGCCAAAGATGAGGGTCTAACTCCAGGAGTCACCAGCAGCAGGCAGGCTTACACGGCTCCGTCACACTCCAGCACACTAGGGGAAAACTCAAGGATGCGGTCACAATTGCAAGGTATCAGAAACGCACTGGCCTATTGGACCTGGTTACTTCAGCCATTAAAGGGGAAAGCAACTAGGCAATTTTGAACCTACGAATGTTCCTAGCAGAATCAATACAATGGACTGGGAAGGAAAACAAAAGCAATCACATGCATCTTTAATGTTTTGCATTCTACTGATTTACAAACCTCACAAGTCTTTTTTTTTTTTCAGTTGACACAATCAAGTTCAACTCATACTGGCAAAAGAGACTAAGATCCAATTCAATTTTTATACCATACAGTACAGTGATTTAGGAAATAGACTACCACAGAAACTGGGAGTATAGTGTGAACCAATCATTACCCTAAAAAGTCATCAAGGAGGGCAAAGGCTTAGTGGCACACCTTACTGTTTAGACAGTGTGACCTTCCTTCTGGTGGCATTGTTTTATAAATGTTCTGCATTGTTCTCCCAGGTAGTGAAGTGCTTTTTAAAAACGTCTTACTCAAAACCAACTTCCCCTGTAGGTGCAACTTCGTCACACAGAAGCAGCCTTTGTGCTGTAACTTGGAGCTGACCATTAACTGCTGTACCACAATTTCCAGGATCACACTAACTTCAGGCATTATTTGATCAGAAGTTTTCCACTTTATAAAAAATAAAACAAGGACCATCCTAGGAATTACCTGAAAATGGGATACATTTTCTTTTTATTTATAAATTACTACACATTGTCAGTACACCTTTTAAAAATAAGATAAGGGGGGAGGGGATCCTTTTAAATCTTTCTTAGTATGTTTGATGATATTAATCTTTCAAAAGAAGTAAAAAAGTCAAAACTAAATACTTCAAACTTTAAAAAAATCGTAAGTGAATAAAATCATAGGACTCTGGACATCTAGAACTAGAGGGGAAAGGCTACTTTTGCATATATACCACTACAGACTTCAAGTGCTACACAAGCTAGAGCACTGACTGCTGGACCAGCTCACATTCACCTTGTAACTGCTCAAAAGGGCGGGCTGGCCCTAAGCATTAAAGTACATCTGTGCGTTAAATCCCTGCGTGCCCCAAACACCTAGTGCTCAGTGTAAACATTTCAACTATCGTTTATTACTCATCCTTACTGGTACTTAGGAGTGTGTCACATATTCAAAGTTAATGTCAGAAATAGCACCATAACCAAAAAGAAAAAACGGAAAAAAAAAACAACAAAAAATACTTCCTCCAAAGCCCTCATGTCTGACACCAGATCCTCTTCTGTTCTCTGAGGGATTTAGTCTGATGAAACCACAACACTGTTTCTACACAATTGGACAAAAAGAAAGGGGTGGTAGTGGGGTGAGGGGGCCGTTTAGAAAGAACTGTTTGACTAGCCAATCAACAACCAGTTAAAAATCACTCTAAAACTGAGAATAGTTCTGTGTATAAAACCCAAACTCTCTAAAAGAATTTATGTACTCATGAGTACACTACATGTCTATTTATGGATTCTGGGTGCCTTTTTGCAGATAATGGTAAGCATGAAGCTAAAATCCTAAGGGATCTAACAGGAATCAAATGTATCTCAGGTCAACAGTCAAAGACAACAGAGACCTTACATCTACTAAGATCTCTATGGAAAGCATCTTACCTCCCACTGTGTTGTGGAAAGTTCTCTACCCTGAGAAACAGTACCTACCAACCACCACTGGAAACGTCCAAACCCTTCTATCTCCTGCATAAAAACAGAGGGGTCCTGCCTACCATGTCAAATGAAATCGACACTATATTCTCTATTAGAGGCTCTTCCTTACCTGCCACCTCAGAGAAATCACCTGAAGGTGTGTAAGCCATATAACATTCCTTTCCGCTCATGGAAACTCAAGGGGGAAACCACTGGGAAGAGCTACCTACAGTAGACCAAAAACAAGCCACACCAAAGAAAAGAACCTGGCTCAAAAATAACAACACTACGGTACCCGGGATGGTGTTTCAACTTTCAAATGACTTCAAAAGTCACTGTGCCCCAAAACTTGAGTTCCTTGTGTTAGATAGAGGTCACTAGTAAAGATACACTCAGGTGTCCCAGCAAAGGATGCTTACAATGCACTTGGCATGGATGGAGAATGACATGGAACGGTTTTCCTACATAGGTAAGATTCACAATTGCACTCTTAACTCTAGTTTTGACAGAGGAAAATCTACATAGAACTGAAATCCCATTAGCCCTGTGCTCTTATTAAAGAACACTTTCCCTAAATCTAAGGCACACAAACTTCTCTACTTCAGAGTAGGATTATGGAAGAGCAAGAATTTGGCAAATCCTAAAGGAAAGTAAGTCTTGGACGAAACCAAGTAACAATCTAAAAGAAAACACTCTAACTATGCTCTCAACTTAGACCTTTAAAATATGCACTCCAAACATATAAGATTTACCAGCACTTTATAAATTCAAGTTTATAAACATTAAAGTCATTGGGTTTTCCTTAAAAAGAGAAAACTAAGACCCAACAAGCATTTGGAAAGGAAAGTGGAAGCTATGTTAATAAAAATAACCAGATGTGGGTATAATGTATTCTACTCAAGTCTCCAGGGAAATTTAAAAAAAAAAAAAAAAAGTGGTAGGTGCCTTGCCTACTAATCATGGTTACACTTGCCATGATTATAATGTCAGTATGCACATAATATTTATCAAGATTTTGTAAACATAGGTCACATGAATTTTTCTCCTACTACATGGCAGGGGTTTAGAAACTACCACCTCTGGACAAATTCAGAAAATAACTGTGTGACACTGTTATTACAAATTAATGCTCATTGGTTTGGCTAACCAAGTTGTCTAGTGTTTCATGTGTCTCCCAACTCTCGCTGTACGTACTCAATACTGTCAAAGTAGATCTGCCCCCAAAATGAAGCATATTTTGGCACCTCTGCTGAATGCTGCTTCAAAACCAGCAAGTGCAAATAAAAATAACAGTCATGATTTAGTCACATTCACAAACTTTTCATAGAAAAATATAAATATATTCCCTGAATTGTAAGCCAGCTTTCACAATACATTCCAGTCAGTCAGGTGAGCACGCTGGCTCTCAAGGTCATAAGGTGCGGTCACTGAGTTCTAGTGCATTCTCTATGCTTCTGTCATCTTCCCCATCATGGTACCTCACCGTTCTCCTACCCTGGTTTCTCGTTCTTATTTTTGAGCGCCGAACAACTCTTTTAGCATTTGCATAGTCCAAATCCTCCCAGTCATTGTCATCCACATTTAACCTAGGACATTTACTCTGTCTTTGATGTCTTGCACTTTTAGACAGGTTGGATGTAAAGGTTTTACCTTTTCTAACCACTTTTGTTTTCCCTTTCCTTTTTTTTCTCCTTTGGGTTTTTGTGTTATCAGTACAGTCAATATCAGATTCGGTTACTGATCCCAAGTCATCAGACTTGGGACTGGAGTCAGGCACACACACTGAACTCTCTGTTTGTCCAGGCATGTCCTCATGGTCTAACTCAAGATGCACTCTCCTCTTCACCCCAGCCTCTGCTGACACCTGTAGACTGTGAGTCACTTGTGCTGTCCTGTTGAAAGGGGCTTTTCCATACGTCCTGAGTCTTCTACCATTCCACCTTCGCAATCCATAATTCAGGTCTTCTTCAAAGTTATTCTCTGTGGTAGCTTTTTGGGCCAACACTGACTCAGAAGACAAGCTGATCTCACCGTCTGGGGTGTGGCTTGTGGGGTCTTCCCGAGAAGGTCCAGCAGAGGAGCTTCGGTTTTTAGGAGGCATGCTTGTGCCCACACTGTCGGTGTGTCTGTTCAGTGTGCTCCCTGTATGCTCAGAACTGGAACCCCCTTCGGAATCCAAGTCTGCACTCACAGACTGAGGGGCATCTGTGGTGCTGCCATGGGGTGCAGACTCGGGGAGCTTGCTACTGCAGGCGTGCTGTGCCTCTGCCACTTCACAGTGTGCAAGCTTCTCACCACCACTCGGTGTCTTCTTTGCTGTGGCACAAGCAAATCTGGTGGGCCTTTTCCTTCTCCTTCTGCTTCGAGTACACACGGTTTCCAAGGCAGCATTTTCTGCATCACTTGTGAACTTGATTTTATCAGCAGCCACACTGGCACTTCGAGTAACCCTCAGGAGACTGGTCTTGTCTTTGGGTGACTTCTTCGTCACCTGTAGACTGCTTTCCGAGTCACTGGAACAGACCCTTTTCCGGGAAACTTTTCTGCTTGGTCCATTTTCTCGAGATAGAGAATCTAAAAATTAAAGAGTATTTTTTTAACCTTTGATGCAAGTAACTATTTCTAAAGTAAGTAATTAAAGGTTTAACATAAGACGATTTAAATGCTGAATTCTATCACAGTGTGAGGTTCTGTTAAATGGCAGGAAATGGGTTAGTCCTTCCTTACCAGTGATCACCTCTCCTGAGTGCAGCAGATCCCCACCAATGACAATGTGAACAGGCTGCCATCATTACAACCCCTGAACCAACCCAACCCGTTCCTCCTTCTCAAGCAGTGTGTGCCCACGTGCCTATCTGATACAATGCCCCATTTCCAATTCAAAGTAACATCTTTCATAGAATAGTTAAGGCCCAGACTGTTTAGTGACTAACAGTGGTTGCGCACAGCAAGTGTGAGAACGGAAAGGATGAACAAAAGGCTAGTACACAATCAGGAAACATAGCTACTAACAAGAAATGTACAAGAGGGGAACAGTCTATGAGCCAAAGGAGGAGGGGAAATTAGTGGATGTGAGCCGAGAATTACCATTCACATTGCTGAGCAATTTCTCTTTCACTGTGCCGACATCGGAGTCTGCGTCAGTCTCAGATTCACCGCTCAAGAGACGCTGAGGGACAGGAATGGCTTCCCTCTTCGAGGCGGCAGAAACTGAGTTCCCTTCTACAGTGTGACCGCTCCTGCTCTCCCCTCCTTGTTCCTCACAGTCTTCTGAGTCGCTCAAGATCTTCGCCTTCTTAAACAGATGCACATTCTTACATAACGGGCTGCTCCCTGGTTCAGAGTCAGTTTCCTCAGAGACGCTCTCTGCCCCAAGTTTCTGCCCAGAGGCTGAAGGGGCGGCAGTGCCGCTGTGCCCATTATCTGACTCGTGACATTTGGAGTCTTCCTCAGAAGACTCTACTGGAAGGAACTTAGTTTTGCCTGCTGCCAGCGTATGGGATGAGCAGCCATTAGCATGCCAGTTCTTCCGGGCTGCTCGCAAGTCACTGTCTGAGTCACTGACACTGTCCTGGGCAGAACGAGGACCAGACATCAACAGATTCTGGTCTTTCAGTTCTTCTGTCTCTGACTTAAGGCTCTGGTCATCAGAATTGTGTAGCAACTTTTTCCTAGCTGCAGCCGACGCACTGCGATGTGGCAGCTTCCGGCCAGAGCACAGGCTCTCAGAGCTGGAGTTGCCTTCTGCGTCGCTCATTAACTTTATCTTGCTGGCTGCAACAGCAGCACACTTCCGGAGGACTTTTTTGTTCCCAGTTTTGCCTCTCAGATTTCCCTCCGTCTCCCCTGAATTGTTATCAGAGTCACTTAAGTACACTCTCTTCCGGGTAGCTTTTCTGCCACATCCATTTTCTAAAGAAACACAACCTGGAAACAATGTGAGAAGATTAGGAACTTTTTTCTTATTCTGGACAACCATACTACATACGTATCTTTACTAATATCTGCCCCAGCTTCCTAAGGTTACACTAAACCTACTAATTTTTCAAATGTTTTTACAAGGAGTGTCACATGTTGATGATTTTAGATATATCAGATCTAGGTGAATTCATTATATCAACCAACGATGATTAGGTCATCAAGGGCTCTCACTGACCAGCTTTTCTCTGCGCAGCTCTTGTTCTGGTCACCCTGAGACTGCTGCCTCTCAACAAGCCAGTGCGCAAGGAGCACTGTGGAGCTCTGGAACTCCCTTTGCTCTCCTCGGAACTATTTGAAGCTGAAGAGGATGAAGAGGTAGCTATGAAATCTTCCATTTCACTTTCTAAAAATAAAATACATATATAAGACACAGTCTCCACATAATCCAGCATTTGTTTCATAACCCAAAATATCATCATCTAATTCACACTAAAACTAGACTCTTGGGGCTGGAGAGATGGTAACAGATAAGAGCACTTGTTGCTCTTTCAGAAGACTCCAAGTTCAGAGTCCCCAGCACCTACAGGGCAGCTCTTCACAATACCCTGTAATTCCAGTTCCAGGGGATCTGATGCCCTCTCTTCTGGCCTCTGTGGGTACCAGACACATGAATACACACAGAGAAAATAAACACACACACAAAAAAAAACTTTTTAAAATTAAAACTACTCTTAAAAGACTCTGAATGTTTGCCAATAATGCTGTGAAGAGAAATGACTTGAGAAGAATATGTTGTATTTGAGAAATGAACATCGGCGTTCCAAATTAAGTCACACTTGTATCTTCAAAAACTGACCACCACACTCTGGGCAAGATTCAGAAAACAATTTAAAAGCAAGCTTCCATTTCAGACATAATTAGCCCACTAAGTATTATGCCTGTTGTAACATCAAGAGGTTTCCATGCTAGAAGGTACAATCATTCTGGGTCCTTTGATCTCAAAGGCACCAACAGCTTCCTGACAATACAATTCTGACACAAATCCAGGTCACAAAAGGGCATAAACAGTCAGAGAAAGGAATACTTTAACAAAATAATTATTTCCACTGTAGTACATGGGTGGCATGAGCATGAAACAGTGCACAGCCTTGTTTTATGTCAACTTGACACACAATAGTCATTGGGAAAAGGAGCCATCAACTGAGAAACGGTTCCCAGCAGACTGGGCTGTGGGCAGGACTGGGCGATTTTCTCAACTGATGGCTGAAGTGTAAGGCTATGGGTCTCATGGCCCTGGGCTCTATGAGAGAGCAGGGTAACAAAGCCATGAGGCACAAGCCAGTGACAGCGCCCTCCATGGCCTCTGCTTTGGTTCTTGCCATCAGGTTCCTGCCTTGAGTCCCTAAGTTGACTTCCCTCAGAGATGGAGGTGACCTAAGAGTTCTAAGCCAGATAAACATTTTTGTCCCCAAGCTGCTTTTGTGTTTTTAATCAAAGCAACAGAAACCCTCACATAAGCTGGATGTGGTGGCATGGGCCCTTAACACAAGTACTTAGGAGGCAGGGACAAGCCCTTGCTGTCTGGGAACTCACTCTATAGACCAAGTTGGCCTCGAACTCAGAGATTCTCCTGACTCTGCCTCCTGAGTGATAAGATTGAAGGCGTGCACCACCACCCCCACCACCTGGCTATGAAAATGAGGTGGCCTTTTTGAAGGCTCTATTGTGGCAGGGTGCCTGGGAGAAAAACTCTAGCCTGGCATGATGGGGGAAGTGCTTCTATGTGTATGTAGTCTTATTGGTTGATAAATAAAGCACTGTTGGCCAATAGGGAAGCAAGATAGGTAGGACTAGGAATCAAGGAGGATTCTGGGAAATGTAGTCAAGAGTGGAGAATTGCCATTCGATCCTGGGAGGAGAGGACACATCAGGATGGTGTCCTCAGAAAGATGATTCCTTATAAAAATATATATTAGTAATTATGGGCCAATAATTAAGTCAGAGCACACAGCCAACAGCTTTATATTAATACAGCGTCCTGTGTGTTCATTTGGGACTGACACGTCTCAGGGACCAGGATGGTGGGAGAATGTACTTTACCTATGGCACCCAACATGGGGCACGAACCCAAGACCCTGAGATTAAGTCTCATGCTCTACCCACTGAGCTGGATTTGGCTCTCCTCCTCTAAATCAAAGCATGTTAAAATAAAATTCAGAGTTTCTGTATTATATCAAGGAGCCAATTAATGTAAGACAAAAGAAAACAAAATCTAGGGACTGTCATTTGTCTATACTTGGTTCTTTCTCTGAAAATCTAATTTCCCTGCTATTTACTATCTTCCTTACTGTTACCTTTCCTGGTATGCATACATACAAACATTGAAATTTCCTTGTTGACATTAATGTTCGAGTTTTCCACAAAGAACAAAGAATTTCCTAACAGCAATCTTCAAACACTTCGGAAAGAAAATGGGCCCAATTCAAGGATTTCACCTGATCCAACTTGATGCATCTGAACTGTAAGTACCACCTTGTAACTGGCTTGGGACCACATCGCTCTACACAACTCCAGGCTAATTAACCGATATGGTGTACCTTCTACAATCTGGCCAGAGCCTCAGACCAGAGCTTCAATCAATATTACAACTTCAGTCAAGAACTTCAATCAAGCACCTCCTGCCAAACAGACTGGGTACAAATGCTGTAGCTAGTCCACTCCAGATTTTTCACTACACTAACATTTTCTTCCTACAGGATCCCATGAGGTTATCGTCATCCCATTTCAGCAGGAAGTAATTCTGAGAATACTACGCCCCCTTTCCCTACTGTTGACATTACAGGATAATTTACACCTGTTAGGGTTAGTTTTCAATTATTTAGGGTTGGGATTGGAAGGAGGTATTCAGACTTGGGCATCTCTTTCAGATAAGCTTAGGGTTTAGAAGGGATAGCTATGCTTAGGATACGATATAGGCAGATTATAATTTAATCACCTTCTATGTATATATACTTTATGTTTGAGACAATTTAGTTTGTTTCAAGTATAAATCTTTTCTTTAGACTGAAAGGGGAATTGTAGTCATTGGGCATGGTCACAGGTACCTGGGGAAGGCAGAGATAAAGGTAAAGGAAGGAGGAGTCACTTTCTCTCTTGGGGTTTCTGTCGAGGTCAGAGACCAACAGAACACTGACCTCAGTTCTCGGCTTCTCGTGTAAGTGATTTCTCCCTAATAAAATAACATACAACAACCCTGTCCTGACAATCCTCCACATCACTGACAGAGGTGGGATTCTTGTCTTTTTGTTTTTTTGCAAGACAGGGTTTCTCTGTGTAGCCCTGGCTGTCCTGGAACTCACTTTGTAGGCCAGGTTGGCCTCAAACTCAGAGATCTGCCTTGCTCCATCTCCTGAGTGCTGGGATTAAAGGTGTGTGCCACCAACACCTGACCTATGACATTAACATGCCATCTTAAGGGAACAAATGAGGGGAAAAAATGTGTTTGTCAAGTTGACAAGGAGCCAATTGTTAAACAGAAGCTAGAGTCATTTAGGAAGGAACCTCACCTGAGAATATCACCCTATTAGATTGGCCTGCAATACCACAGCAAAAGAAATCCTGCCAGGCGTTGATGGCGCACCCCTGTAATCTTAGCACTCGGAAGGCAGAGGCAGGCAGATCTCTGTGAGTTCAAGACCAGCCTGGTCTACAAGAGCTAGTTCCAGGACAGCCTCCAAAGCCACAGAGAAACCCGAGAGAGAGAGAGAGAGAGAGAGAGGAGAGAGAGAGAGAGAGAGAGAGAGAGAGAGAGAGAGAGAGAGAGAGAGAGAGAGAGAGAGAGAGAGAGAGAGAGAGAGAGAGAGAGAGAGAGAGAGAGAGAAAGAGAGAAAGAAAGAAATCCTAAGAGAGACAGGGTATCCCAGTTTCCTATTCTTACACACTTGGAGACTTGACTCTGTGAATGTGGCCATGACTGTCACTGTGGAGGCAGACTTTGGGGTCTGACACACGCTCAAGCCACACTCAAGTGTTTCATATCACTTCCTGCTGCCTGTTAGTCAAGATCTGAGAACTCTCGGTGCTTTCTCTAGCACTGAGTCTGTCTGTATACTCCCTTGCATCCTATCATGACGACAATGGACTAAACCTCTAAAACTGTAAGCCACCTCCACAATTAAATGTTCTCCTTTAGAGTTGATGTGGTCACAGTGTCTCTTCACAGCAGTAAGATAACAACATTCTGTAGAGTGTACCAGCTTGACCTTCTCCACAGACCACTTCCTTCCCCAACAATCTGTGGATGTGTTTCTCAATACCACGAGTAGTAGCACTAGATGTAATACTTGATACTGCAAGTGTGGAAACGCATAAATTTTGACAGCAATATATTCTCATCACACAAAACCCAGTGCAATGCAGATGTAACAAGGCAGGCTCACTGCACAGTGCTATACATGGATGACATCTTTTCAGATTCATTACCAAAACAGCAACAGCATAAGCAGATGACAATATATTACTGGGTTATCAGTGCTCAAATGAATATGTGTAATTTTGATTCTCTTCTCATTTAAAACGTACTTTGTGAGCACAGATCTTAGCAAAAACACAGCAACATTCAAGAAGTACATTAACTCCATCTCCTCCCTGGGGTCAACACTGTGTATTGTGCTGCTTCTAACGCACACTAGTAAGCAGCACTGCACACTAGGATGACCAAAGCCCCGTGAGTCCAACTCCTCACCTGACAGCTCAGAACCAGTCCTCAGAGTCTCCGGTCTATTTCTTCTCGCTCGTTCAAATGACTGCACTGAATCTGAAGAATCCCCAGAAGTAAAGCCTGAAGAGGCACGAGTGCTTGTCCTGAGGGTTGCAGACAAAGGTGCCCGACTTGAGGTAGACTGGGAGGGAGGACACGTCAACTGTGGAATTACTCTTGTCTGAGATTTGAACCGCTTCTGTTTGATATTTCTGGTAAAAGGTATGAACAACAGAAACAATTATTAATAAAAACATAAAAATATAAATTGCCAGAGAATGCCCAGATAAAAATAAAAGTATATTGTTTCTTAACCTGACAAAAATACAAAAACAAAGTATTCACTATTAATGGTATTCAATATGACTATTATAAATATTCCTTATTCTAAATTTGACGTGTTTATTCAACTTTAGATAAATGATGAAATGATTCAATTAAACAGACTACACCTAAGTACGCACTCTGTTAAGACAAACCTGGGTAATATTCACTGAGAGATTATGGCAGTCCCAAAGAAGGAAAGGGAAAGGGGGCAGGAAAAAAAAATTTAAAGAAACAGTGCATAAAAACTTTTCAAATTTGGCCGGGCGGTGTTGGCGCACACCTTTAATCCCAGCACTCGGAAGGCAGAGGCAGGCGGATCTCTGTGTGTTCGAGGCCAGGCTGCCCCGACAGCCTCCAGAACAATACAGAGAAACCCTGTCTCGTAAAAAAAAAAAAACCCTTTTCAAATTTGATAAAAAATTACACTTCATAACCACAGAACTGGATAAACACACAAGTAATAGTAATATAAACTCAAGAACTCCAAACCTATTCATCTGGTGGGTTAAAAAAGAAAAAGAAAGCCACCCTGGAAGCAGCAAATGGCGACTAACGTACACAGAGGCTCAGCAAGATCAGCAGCCAGCATGGTGGGCAGGTGGGTGACAAGAGCTCACTACACGTCCAATTATTCTTCTGGGTTATAAAGAGGGTTAGCAGCCAAGAGCACTGCCTGCTCTTCCAAGGAACCCAGGTTCAATTCTCAACACCAACATGGCAGTTCACAACCCTCTGTAACACCAGTCCCAGGATATCTGATTCCATCCTAGCCTCCAGGGGCACCAGACACACATGAAATGTACATACTTAACTATCCACGTAAAGTAAAAATGCCCATTCACATAAAAAAAAACTTCAAAACAAATATTTAAAAATTGCCTTCAACAATGAAGATGAAATTATGACACTACCAAGAACACAAAGAGAGAGAAGTACCCTGCTGGTTCATCAGCCTTCTATGAGGCGTGGCAAACCACCACCACCACCAGGGTAACTCACACCTACACTTTTATAACTGGACACTGAAATAGTCAATATAAAATGCAGGATCAAGATGCTAAAGTTAAGTACATAGTCAGGCAATGGTGGCGCACACCTTTAATCCCAGCACTCTGGAGGCAGAGGCAGGTGGATCTCTGTGACTTCCAGGACAATCAGGGCTACACACAGAGAAACTCCATCTTGAAGAAAGAAAAAAAGAAGCTATATAAAAGTTGAGAGTGTGGATCGGTACTCAAAAAGATGAATTAAAAACACCTTAAATAGGGCTGGAGAGATGACTCAGAGTTTAAGAGCAATGGCTGCTCTTTAGAGGTCCTGAGTTCAATTCCCAGCACCCACATGGTGGCTCACAACCACTTATAATGAGATCTGGTGCCCTCTTCTGGCCTGCAGGCAGAGCACTATATACATGATAAACAAATCTTTAAAAAAACACCTTAAATTAAAACTCAATTACATGCAATGTCACGCCCACTTACCTTACACTGGTGTCAACCTGAATGCCACCATTACAGCTTTGCCTTTGCTTAAATCTTTGGCTTCGTCGAAGTTTCTCCTTGAATTTTTGGCCAATTTTAAAATCAAAGGAGATTTTTTTCATTTTTTCTTCAAACAAAGCAGACAATCTCAAAGTCATACTATAAATCTACAAGGATACAAAAAAAAAAAGCAGAATTACAAAATCACTCTGTCACAGGGTTTCACTTGTAATCAGTGCAATGTGTGGCCATGACTGGAGGAATACCTTCTCTCCTTCCAACCCACCACACAGAGGCATCTGCAAGATGTGGGGACAGCTGCTGGTGAACAGAGCAACTCTCCAGCCCACACCCCAGACCAATTTTTTTTTTCCACACTTTAACACTAGTCCCAGCCAGTTCCAAAATACACATTTCTCCTTACGCTAATTTGGAAGTCAGTTCTAACGCTGCTAATGTGTGTTTGGATCTAGGAAACAAAAGCATTTTTACAACAATCTTTTTGCAATTTGACTGGAATACCACCTAAATCTAAATATGAATAATAATCAAAAGGATATTTTGCACGCCATACAAGAAATATATCCTCAACTCTCATGTATTTCACACGGCACATCACTCACTATGTAAAGATGACAGTCAGTTCTTGGTCCTCCTGCCTCTGCTTCTGACGCACGGGACCTGACCCAGGTCTTCATGCACGCTAGGTGCACACTCCACAACCGAGGTAAATCCCAGGCCCAGCAAATTCAATCATTATCAAATCACTAACATGAAACCAAACTGATCTAAACTGTGTGATTTTCAGAGGAGCCCTTCAAACATCCACCTAAAATTCAAAAATGAGTGTACAGGTCTAACATGCAAAAGTTTAGTGCCAGGCTGAGGAGTGGCTTGGTCAATAAAATACACCCTTTGAAAGCATACAAACCCGAGTTCAAGTTCCATAATCCACATTTGAAAAGGGGGAGGGGGCAGAAGTGGTGGAACAGTCTGGTACTCCTAGGGAGACAGACATGAATCCCTGAGGCTACCTGGCTAGCAGGCCTACACTACTACTTGACAAGTCAGTCAGAAATTCTTGTCTTGAAAATTTTCTTATCTTGTTTTACATTTGTCTATGTTTTGACAGAAAAGAAAATGATACTCAGAAGACAACCTACAGGGGTTAGCTCTCTCCTTCCACTAGGTGGGCTCTGGAAGTGAAACTCAGGTCGCCGGACTCGACAGCTAACAAACACCCTCTCCTGGCAAGCAACTCCCCAGCACTCTGTCTCAAAATGTCTTTTTATTTTTAAAAGTGAATGGCACCAGATGGTGGTGGCGCACGCCTTTAATCCCAGCACTCAGGAGGCAGAGGCAGGTGGATCTCTGTGAGTTCAAGGCCAGCCTGGTCTACAGAGCGAGTTCCAGGACAGTCTCCAAAACAATACAGAGAAACCCTGTCTCGAAAAACCAAAAAAAATTTCTGAATTCACACCACTCTGAATAGCAGCATCATGTAATCTCATGTCATTTTGCAACAATCCATTTGGAATACGAATCATCTTCATGTCCACAATATCCATACTGTATACATTATCAAATTAAGATTATATTCATGTAACTCTTATTACATTACTATAACTGTGCTACTTACTGGTAGATACAAGTAATCATTTACCGTGTCTAATTTATAAATTAAATTTCATCACTATCTTCACCAGCTACCTCTATATTCACATGCAGCACTTTTAAGATTTAAAACCATTCTTTGTTTTGTTTTGTTTTTCGAGGCAGGGTTTCTCTGTATTATTTTGGAGCCTGTCCTGGAACTCGCTTGGTCTCGAACTCACAGAGATCCACCTGCCTCTGCCTCCCAAGCGCTGGGATTAAAGGCGTGTACCACCACGGCCCCGCCTAAAACCATTCTTATGTGGGCTTTGGCAGTAGCTTTGTCTAAGACAGAGGTCTTTGTTTATCCAGTTATCGTACATGTTCTAAATGCTACTAGGAAGTAGAAAAACACACAGATCATGCATACTTTGCTAAAATAAAGCAAAGAAAAAGAATTACCTTTGATCTTTTGTTGGGTGTATACGCCTTTGCATTGCTAAATATTAATCGGATGTCTTTGCAAAATTCCACAGGGCTATCATAATTCCCAGCTTCCAGAGTTTCCCTTACTGTTCCAAAATCCATTGGAGTGTCTATAATATCTCGGTAATCCTGTTTTAAAAATAACAATTCACAGATGAACTTCATACTCTCAAAGAGTGAACCCATAGGGGCTGGGAGATGGCTCAACAGTAAGTGCCCCGGCAGCTCCTGCAGATGACCCAGTTTCCTAGCACCCACATAGTGGCTCACACCCACCGCTAACTCCAGTCCCACGTATCCGACAAAGTACACTAATAGACACGCAAATATAACACACACAAAATACCCATACACGGGGCTGGAAAGATGTCTCAGAGATCAAGAGACATTCTGGCTGCTCTTCCAGAGAACCTGAGTTCAATTCCCAGCAACCACATGGTGGCTCCCAACCATCTGTCATGAGATCTGGTGCAGAACACTGCATACATAATAATCTTTTGAAAAAATACCCATACACTCTAATTTTTTAGAAGTAAACATCTAGACCAAGACTTCTAAAATTCAAAGTAACAGAAGAAGGGTAAAAATTGAAAGACCTAAGGATTTAAAGGTAGCTCCATAAAGACAGGAAAGAAAGGCAGGGTAGGAAGTAGCATGATCACTGTTTACCTGTCTGTCCTGTTTAGTCCTCTTTACTGTTTCAAGTGAGTGAGCTTTTGAGCCTGTATGTAGGAATGGGCACCATATGCACGTCTGCTCTCTGCAGAGGGCACTGGGTAACTTGGGGCTAGAGTTGCAGATGGTTGTGAGATGCTTTATGGGTGCCAAAAATTTGTGTAAGGGCAGCCAAGATCTAACCAATGAACCATCTATTTCTAGCTCCAGTAGTTAGTGTCTTAATTTTGTGCCTACAGTGATGCCCACATACAGGCCTCCCATTACAGCAGACCACACTGTGCAACTGTGTCTAAGTTCTTAAACAAGCTGCCACATCTACTACAACTAACAGTACATCAACATGAATAAAGCCTACCACCTTACTCTCTTGGGTGCAATCTGGTTCTACAACCCCACTCTCTTCTCCACAAAGAAAGTGCCAACAGTTCATGCAAGGAAACTTACTGGGTACTCAACCAAGTCCACTGGCTGTCTGAAGGGCTCAGAATCCTCACACTGAAAAATCAAGATGAGCAAGGCCTTGCACTGCCTCCTCCAGTCGTTCTCAACACAGCTAGCGGCTCTGTTGCTCCTTTTTTTCCAGCTGTGGATCTGAAAGCATATTTGTAGGTTATTTCTGCCTGGGTAGGAAATGGGGAGAGAAGCACATACACGTTATGGTATATGACACCGACTTTAAAAAAAAAAAGTAATTGGCATCTTTCTGTGTTCTATAGAAGTTGTGGCTGGTTTTTGTTTTTCTCCCCAAACTTGTTATCTGGAAAAAGCTTATCTACAAAAATCAATCATGTTTTACCATGTTCTAGACAGTTCTCTAAAATGAAAATTTTAAGACAAACATACTTTAAGAAAATTCTAATGAGAAAAAATACAGTGAAATTAGCTATGAACAGTGTTGCAATGAGCATAGCACACACTAACAAAGGATTCTGCCACACCTGCCTATCTCCCTCTTCCGCCTTCCCTCCCTCACACTCATTTGAAAATGAGGTGGAAAGAATGACACCTCAATCAAAAATGTCACAGAGCCCAGGACTGCTGTCACATGGAAAAAGGCACCTTACACAGACCAATGTGACCAAAACAAGTCAAGTCAGTCAGAGACATAAACACCCATGGTCTGGTTTGAAGTGAGCTTCATATAAAACTTCCACTCCATGCACATGGCAACAGCTGAATTGTGGAACAGGCTATGTCACTGGCAACAGCAGACACAGAAAAGAAATGGACATGGGAAAACAAACACTGGGCAGTTCAGTCGGAAACGAAGCTACATGAAATGACAAACCAGACAAACAACCGCACGTCTAGCTCTTCAGTGGTAATGAGGGCAATCATTTTAAGAATGACTGAGTATCTGACTTGTTGGGTTGACTGATTTTTTGTTGTTTGTCTGCCTGTTTGGTTTTTTTGAGATAGGGTCTTACTGCGTAGTTTTGGCTGGCCTAGAACTTACTATGTAAGCCAAGGTGTCCTCAAACTCAAGAGTTCTTCTGCCTCTGCCTCTTGAGAGTACTGCTCAACATTATAAGGTGTGTGTCACCACACCCAGATGATACTTATTTTTTTTAAAACCTGAAACTTATGGAGCATCTAGGTGACAATTTAAAGATCATGTGTTACAGTATCTACCCATTCTGTTAGGAATAGTCTGCTCATTAATTTACTACATAAGCACTGACGATGCTGGTGACACACATTAGAATTCAATCTTCTAACTTAGTCCCATGTACTGTCCCCTTCCTCCTTAAAACCTCATCTTTTTAACAAATCTCACCAAACCTTAGCGAATCTACTGTGCCCTAAAAAATAAAAAAGAAAGAAAGAAAGAAAGAAAATCGCACCATTGTTGCTTCTCTATTCCAAGAAAACAGCACTATATGTACCTGGGCTCCACCATCATATGAAAAACACTCTTCTTCTCAAGCATTCACTGCACATTAAAATGCAACTACCCGAGACTTACCTTATTGCCCAAGCCATTTTCACCCACTATGGCTGCAACTGCTGATCTACCTTACAATCACACCAAATCCTTAGGCTGGGTGCTCCCAAGAAAATGGATTGACATACAAACAAGGCTAATGCCCTCAAGAGCCCACAAACATGTACACCCCATTTCCTTTTTGGGTGGGAGGTGCACATCTATCTTACTCCCTAACTGAGAAACGAGCTTCAACAACAACTTTCAACTAAGCACTGCTGAAGTGACCAGAATTTAGTGAATTCCCCTTTTCTCTTATAAGGCAAACTAATTCATCTCATAAAATATCCAGTACCATCACCTAACTTTCAGGACAGAGGCTATAACCCAAGTGAACATTTGGTTTTGAACACAGGACACACAATCCAGTTAGCCATGCAGATTGACTTACCCTTCTCCTTCCAGAAGACGTTTTAGGGAGGTCACTATCGTCCTAGGATAAACCAGAGCACCTTACTATGGAATTCTCACGAGCAATCATCATCGATATCACTTAACCACGAGCATTCTCATCAAGGGCCCTATTTTCATAGCTAACTGGAATATACCACAAGAACTGGTCTTAGATGACCTACATTTTCTACTCTCACTGTGAATTTACCATCTGACATTGACACATCATTATACAGGGAAAACTTCATACCAAATCATCTGCATTCTGATCCTCGTTTTCAGATGTGTTAGACAGCTCTGATATATTTGTACAATCTTGATTCCTAAAAGTTAAAATTTTCATAATTAGTCATTCAATTCACATTCAAAACAGCTCCCCAGCCTACGCACACTCAACTTTACAAATGACACGAGATTTTAACCAGTCCTCTGTGAAAATAATGCTCTTTACTATTCTAATTTAGAATGAGGACAACTTCAAGTGTGTTCAAACTCAAGTTGATATTATAGAAAGTGATACTCTAAGTGGTCTCTCCAGGCTACACAAACACTTTTCCTAGGTATTACCACAGTAATATTGATGATATAGCAAATACCAGGAAAGAAGATTTAACATTGTCAGTGAATATACAAAAAAAAGGCAAAAACAGGCATGTTGTTTCCTGAGGCAGAGAAAAAAATTCTGGGAGGACCTACAACATCTAAACCCTAAGACTTAGGACAGAAATGATCTAGGAATGCTGACAGGAACGAAGTATTGCTCCATTTTAGCTAGATGCTAACTATAGCACTATTGTTTGTTGGGTTACCTGTCCACACACAATGGATGGCATCTCTAAAACCCGTGAGGGAGGAACTCAGGTCTTAATTTCCATGTCAGTTTTCATAGAATTCCAAATAAATTTGCAAGGAAAGCAAATGTACAGAATATTTATACATGTCTGCTTTCACAGGGTACAATTAAAAATGGATTACAATTCAGCCTATTCATTAGAAGATGCCTGGAAACCCTAAACAGTCTACAAAATTAAGTGACCAACATTCAGAAAAATGATAGTCAAGAAAAATGTAAGAGGAGACTAAGACAATAAAGTAAACAAGCACTGAAATGAGGAAATCAGTCTAGATTCGATCCTGAAACACAAGGATACTGGTGTACAAACTAATAAAATAAACTTTGTATCTAGACACATTGTATCCAGGTTAGTTAACACTTTACAAGTATACAATAGTTAAACAGCAGGCCAGGCTCACAAGTAACTGGATAACAGGCCCAGGGTAATACAAATGAAGAGATGGCTCCACAGTTACCAGTAGGGACTGCTGCTGCAGAGGAACTGGGTTCAATTTCCAGCACCTGCAGAGTGAACTCATAACCATCTCCAATTCCAAGGGACCCAATGTTTTCAACTCTGCTGATGTCATCAGACCCCAGGCATACACATGATTCATAAATATACACGTAGATGAAACACTCACAGACATGAAACTTTTAATTACTGCAAATTTTTAAATGTTTAACAGTGGGAATAGAGAGATGGCTCAGTGGTTGTTCTTCCCAAGGTAACGATCTGTAACTCTAGGCACACAGAGATCCAATACCCTCTTCTGGCCTCTATGGGCACCAGACACACAAGTATTAGGAGAACATATATACAAGTAGGCAAAATACCCATACACTTAATGAAGTATTAAAAACTAAAACTGGGGTGGGTGGGGGTGCTGGAGCCATGGCTCACAGATTAAGAGCACTGGCTGCTTGTCTCAAGGTCCTGAGTTCAATTCCCAGCAACCAGATGGTGGCTCACAACCATCTGTAATGAGATCTGGTGCCCTCTTCTAGCCTGCAGGCATACATGCAGACAGAACACTACACATAATAAATAAATCTTAAAAAACATAAAAACTGTCCCAGCACTCGGGAGGCAGAGGCAGGCAGATCTCTGTGAGTTCGAGGCCAGGCTGGTCCGACAGCCTCCAAAACAGAGAAACCCTGTCTCGTAAAACCATAAATAAATAAATAAAACTGAGTTGGTCACATTCCTTTACTGAAATTACAATCACAAGTATGCGCAAAGGAATGCTGCCTCAAATAAAACATCAAATGGGAAGAATTCAGACTAAGAATGAGAAGCTATGAGGCTATTAAAGTACAGTATGTTGAAAGTCACTTTTCTACCACACATGAGATCACTTACTTAATAAATTTCAGAAGCTGGTCCGTTATTTTTTTAGCTGATCTTGCAATTACACTTTCAGGTTCGTTAAATGTTCTTGCATTATGCTCTATATAACGGACTTCCCAAATCAATGCAGATAATCGCCTTCAAAAGAAAATTAACTTATTGATTAAAAAGTGAAAATAATTGAAACCTAAAGCTAGCCTATTCAATGAATGAGACATATCTTCAACACAACATTAGTATAAAAGGTTGTAATAAATAACCTAATAATCTCAACTCAGCCAGTCATTACAATTAGTAATTGTAGTAAATGGCCTAAATCTTACTCTCTTCCCTCCTCCCTCCCTCCCTCCCTCTCTAAAACGACCTTTTCTTTCCATCATGCTATCACTACATTTGAAGCTGTTAAAACCCAACGAATGAGACTGGGAAGGTGGTTCTTTAGGTACAACGGCTTGCTTGATATACAGCCATGAAGACCTGATTATGTTGTACAGCAACCATGTGAAAATAACGTGAGCATAAAGAGTATCTTTAACTCCACCACTGAGAAGATAAGATCCCAAGAGCTCACTGGGCAGTCAGCTTACCAAGATCCATAAAAGACTCAGTATGAAGGGAGTAAGGCACAGAGCGACACCACAGATACCCTGAACATCTCAGACATGAACAGACAACAAATCCCCTGTACTGATACTTTGTGTTTTAACAAAGTTTGCCTGAAGATCAGAATGCAGAGCTAACCACTAGTTAGCCATAGAGGCCAGGCAGTGGTGGCTCACACCTTTAATCCCAGTACTTGGGAGGTGGAGACAGGAAGGGACATAGCTGAGTGGAGAGAGGAATGCAATGCGGGAGGACAGGAGCTCATTGCAGCCTGAGGAGCAGTCAGTTTGAGGATGCAGTCTGAGGACAGGATAGCCCCTTGGGTCTCAGCATTGGTAGAAGTACAAACTAGTGTCTGGCTGCTCTGCTTCTCAGATCTTTCAGCATTTATCCCTATACCTGGCTCTGTGTTTTTATTATTAGATCAATTAGAATTCATGTTATGCCACCCCCCACACACACACAAAAAATGTTTGAGTCAGTTTCATGACAAACTGGTTTCTATTTCAAACACATGACTAGATATATGAACTATCATTGTGGAATAGTCATTATGTTCCACAGTAATTTCATCAATGGAATTATAAAATATGAAATACCATTAATTACTGCAAAAACAATCACAAAGAAGTGATTTTAAAATTAACAATGATCTAAAAGCCAAAAACAAAAAGTTGATAACCCTGGGAACAAGTCCAAATACTAACTCATGAAAATTACTTTTAAATGTATCAGTTGCTGCTGCAACAGTTGAAGAGTACCGACTGCTCTTCCAGAGGACAGAGGATCAATTCCCAGCCCCCACACAGCAGCTCACCAACTCTCTGTAACTCCAATTTCAGGGAATCTCACACCCTCACACCAATGAACAAAAATAAAATAAAATAAAAACATGGCAATTAGTAGTTAACTCCGAGAAAGGGAGGCAAAATCCAAACCAGCCTAACTGGGGCTACCTTAAGATGAGCACGTTAAAGGGTATAGGCCACTTTCGTTTTATTCCAAAGCAGGCTTTATACCACTCAGCAGTACACACCTAAAGCTCCACCTGCATCATCGTAAAAATGGACTGCATTGTTTGCATGAGCCTTCTCCATTTTCCATTCATAATTATTAATGAAGTTATAACTGGACTACAGAGAAAGTTCAACGGTTAACAGCACTTGCTGCTCTTGCAGAAGACTGGGATTCAGCTCCAGGAGATAAACTCCCACTTCTAGCCTCCAAGGAAAACACATGGACATATGCACACGCATATACACACATACACATAAATAAAAACAAAGCTTATAAAAAAATAAAGTTCTAGTAACCCATGCATTTAAAAAGAATGACACACAAATAAACAGTATCTAGTTAATGAAATTTCTAACACACACACACACTCACTCTCTCACAGAGGAATGATGCCTGGTCTGTCACCTCATGACTGACTACCCAACACGTACACAAAGACATAAGAAGCACAAAACAGGAAATTATATTCACCAGCACCCAAAATTTTAACCATAAGCAATCTGCACCCCTTTCTGATGCTGGTTACAAAGACCAAGAGCTCTTCATGGTATTTTTAAAGTACTCTACTAACCTGTAAAATCGATTAATAAGTCTCATTCGAATTGTATAAAGATCTGTTGGATAAGCAACCACTGTGCAGTATTTTGGATATGTACACAGATCCACCGGGCCTGCAAAAGCTGCTGCTATATCTGTGAGAAAAGACAAAATTCTTTTTTTTTTAAATCAAAATTTCCATTTATTTTAGGTACTAACAAGTTTCCCCTCCCTTCCCTCTTCCCATTCCCTCCTTCCACCTCCCATCCACACCCACTTCCCCCATCCACTCGTCCATTCAGAAAGGGGCAGGCCTCCTATGGGAGGAGAAGAAAAAACTCTAAGCTTTTAAACAGTAAGTTCATTACCTATAGAAAATATTTAGCTACAAAAGCATTCCCGAGAGAGCTCCATTTAATGTGACAAGAGGAATTGAATGAAGAACATAACCTAAATTATACATTTGATGTTTTTACAGAAAACATAATAACGAAATTTTCAGTCTTATGAAACTTACCAAGGTTTAAAAGTTGATCTATGCCACTGATGATGCGTTCACACTCCTCGTCTCTTGATTTCTGGCCCCATTCACCATCTTGTGGTTTGTAGAGCAATTTCTCTAGCTCATCTGAAGTGACAGAGATGCTTGCTCCCAACTCTTCTGGTGGATCAACTGTGAATTCCATTTAAAAAAAATTACAAAGGAAAGAGATATGGAAACACAAGTTTAATTGAAAAAGATCGTGAATTAAACGATCTCTACAGGCAAAAAAAAGACCTCAACTCAACTCTTCAACATTCTAAGTTATTCACTAAGATTTCAAAACTTCCTGAAGTGAGACATAAAAAGTAAATTAGATCCTGGTAGAGTCTGAATAGAGACCCTCTTTTCATAGCTTCGCACTACTCCTTCAAAATGTAGTTCCTACAGAACAATATCCCTCATGAACATTGATGCAAACAATTCTCAAAATGCTGCCAAATCGAATCCAAGAACACACCAGAAAAATCATTCACCATGATCAAGTAGGCTTAATCCCAGGGATGCAGGGATGGTTCAACACACGAAAATCTATCAATGTAATCCACCATATAAACAAACAGAAAAAGAAAAACCACATAATCATCTCACTAGCTGCTGAGAATGTCTGTGACAAAATCCAACACCACTTCATGATAAAAGTCCTGGAGAAATCAGGGATAACAGGAACATACCTAAACATACCCCACATCTGATACAGGGCTGATTTCCAAAATATACAAAGAACTCAAGAAGCTAGTCACCAAAACACCAAATAATCCAATAAAAAGTAGGGTACACAACTAACTAGAGAATTCTCAAGAGGAATCTAAAATGGCTGACAGACACTTGAGTGCTCAACATCCTTAAGTCACCAGGGAAATGCAAATCAAAACAACTCTGAGATACCATCCTACTCCTGTCAGAATGGCTAAAATAAAAAGCTCCAATGACAGTTTATGCTGGAGAGGATGTGGAGAAAGGGGAACACTCTCCACTGGTGATGGCAGTGCAAACTTTTATAGCCACTTGGGAAATCAGTATGTCGGTTCCTCAGAAAAATCAGAATCAGTCTATCACAAGATCCAGCAATTCCACTCTTAGGCAAATACCCAAAAGATGCACATTCATACAACAAGGACATCTGTTTAACCATGTTCATAGCAGCATTATTTGTAATAGCTAGAACCTGGAAGCAACCTAGATACCCCTCAACTGAAGAGTGGATAGAAAAAAATGTGGGACATTTACACAATGGAGTACTACTCAGCGAAAAAAAAACAAAAACAATGGAATCTTGAAATTTGCAGGCAAATGGATGGCACTAGAAGAAATCATCCTGAGTGAGGTAACCCAGTCACAAAAAGAGAAACATGGTATGTACTCATTCATATATGGATTTTAGATATGGATCAGGGGATGCCAGCCTACAATTCCACTGCCAGAGAGTCTGGCAAACAGGGAGGATCCTAAGAGAGACATACATGGTACCCCAGAGAAGGGGAATAGGACAAGATCTCCTGAGCAGATTGGGAGCATGGGGGGAGGGGGGAGGGAGTTAGGAGAAAGAGAAAGGGAGAAGAGGAGGGGAGAGGAGGCCATGGGGAAGCAGGAAGATCGAGTCAGGGGAAGAATAGAGGAGAGCAAGAAAAGAGATACCATAATAGAGGAAGCCATTATAGGTTTCAAGAAAAATCTGGCACTAGGGAAATGTCCAGCGATCTACAAGGATGAATCCAACTAACTAAGCAATAGTGGAGAGGCTACCTTAAATGCCCTTCCCTGATAATATGATTGATGACTACCTTATATGCCATCCTAGAGCCTTTATCCAGTAGCTGATGGAAGTAGACGTGGACACTCACAGTTAAACACTGAGCCCAACTCCTGGAATTCAGTTGCAGAGAGGGAGGAGTGATGAGCAAACGGGTCAAGACCAGGTTGGAAAAACTCACAGAAACAGTTGACCTGAACAAGGGGGGAACTCATAGACCCCAGACTGATAGCTGGGAAACCAGCATAGGACTGTTCCAGACCCCCTAAACGTGGATGTCAGTTAGGAGGCCTAGGCAGTCTATGGGGCCTCTGGTAGTGTATCAGTATTTATCCCTAGTATACAAATGGACTTTGGGAGCCCATTCCACATAAAGGGATGCTCTCTCAGCCTAGACACATGGGGGTGGGCCTAAGCCTTGCTCCAAATGATGTGACAGACTTTGAAGATTCTCCTAAGGAGAGCTTCACCCTCCCTGAGGAGCAGAAAGGGGATGGGCTAGGGGGTTAGTAGGGGCAGGGGACGAGAGGAGGGGAGGGATTGACATGAAAACAAGCTTGTTTGTAATTCAAATTAAGAAAAAAAAAAAAAAAAAAGTAAAGTTCCAGGAACCACTGAATGAAATCTGAATAGAAGAACTATACAAAGAAACAGATGATGCTCTTCAAGAGCAAGTTCCAGAACAATCAAAGTCACACAGAGAAACCCTGTCTCAAAAAAAGAAAAAGAAAAAGAAAAAGAAAAACCAGGATGAGGGGTGGGGCTGGAGAGATGGCTCAGAGGTTAAGAGCACTGGCTGCTCTTCCAGAGGTCCTGGTTCAATTCCCAGCAACCACGTGGTAGCTCACAACCATCTGTGGTGCCTTCTTCTGGCATTCAGGCCATCCATGCAGGTAGATATACATATCTTTACAAAATAATAAAACGAAAACTGAGCCAGACAGTGGGTGGTGGCCTCACCTTTAATCCCAGAACTCAGGAGGTAGAGACAGGTGGATCTCTAAGTTCAAGGCCAGACTGGCTGGTCTACAGAGCCAGTTCCAGTACAGCCAGGGCTATCTTTTGCATAAGCAATGTTGTTTTATGGAGCACTATTCAAGTGGGAGTGAATCGCAATATTATGAAAAACATTCCAACAATTTCTAATCTGAAGGTGGAATTCAGTAAAGCTATGGGGCTGTGGAATAACCCTTCTGTACACTGTGTGAATATGAGTCGCTGTGACTGATTTAATAAACAAGCTGACTGGCCAATAGATGAACAGGTAGGAGAGCCAAACTGAGACTATGATGGGATGGGAAGGGCAGAGTCAGACAAGTCTCCAGCCAGGCGGAGAATGAGTGAGACATACAAAATGGGGTTGAGGTAAAAGCCAGGAACCTCCGGGGTAGCACTTAGATTAATAAAAATTGGTTAAGTTAGCAGGGCATTGGTGGCGCACACCTTTAATCCCAGCACTCGGGAACCAGAGGCAGGCGGACCTCTGTGAGTTCAAGGCCAGCCTGGTCTACAGAGCAAGTTCCAGGAACCACCCCCCCCCCCCCCCAGCTGCCAAAAAATTTTTTTGGTTAAGTTATAAGAGCCAAACATTTGTAATTAGTATAAGGCTCAGTGTTGGGAGCAGGCAGTCAGGACAGGAAAACTCTGCCAAAAATACTTAAAATTCCATTAATGTTTTACGAAGCATCAGTTACTCAGTTTCTTTTAAGTTCTGAACTTCTTACTCTTGCTCCAATTCTGGGATGAAAAGCTCTAACATGCTCATTCATGCAATAAACGTACTAAAATTCCAAAACCCAGGATTTATCAAAAGAAAAGCTCTCACAGCAAATCAAAGTACATGCCAGGAAATAACTGTCTTGTAACAAGAAGTGTCAGGGTCATGAAAGACAGAGGAATACGGATACTGAGAGAGTGTAGTTTAAAGGATGCTATGACAGCAATTATAGTCAGCATGTCCAAGGAGAGTACTAGGACAAGACAAAGTCAAAGTACACCATGAGTGAGTACTGTGTCAGCAGTAACATTCTGACTGTAACAGGTGCCCTGACCAGGGAGATAAAATGACACTGAAAATTCTTCATAACATTTGTGAGTCTGAAATTATTTTAGAACCAAGACTTTGTAATTATCATAAAACAGTGATAATGAAAGTAGACATTCATTGATGTTCTTGAACATGACAAAGAAGAGTCCCTGTGACTAGAAGATGGCAACCCACTGCTGTTTTAAGCTATACTTCTATGACTATTAGTGTTATGTCTGCTTGTGTCCGTTGACAACTCTCAAAGTTAACTGGTGACCTCAGCATGAAGGGCTGGATTTACACAAGTGCTTTCACTGGCTCAGAATGTCCCTTTAAAAAAAGCAGTTATAAACAGCAGTTTAGAGGACTCTATGCATGTACAGCTTTAGAAAATCACCATCAGGGTAGGAGGGACCAAGGTCAGGGTAGGCTGACCAGGAAGACTGAGTGCAAGAGAAGACAGGGCAGGAGTATGCTTGTCACCTTCACATACAGCATGCTGTCTTTTCTGACCAGTAGACACTACTGTGAGTTAGTAAACACAAAAGAATAGCAAGGTAGACAGTTACTAGTGATTTCACGTTATTAAAACTAGGGAGGTTTTGGAAAGACAGGTAGGTCTTTTTAAGCTGTTTACTTATTAATGATAAGGTAGTGAAAAAGGTGTCAACTGTATCTTCCTGCACTGTCATAAAGCAGAGCAATAAGGAGCATTCCAGCACAGCCGTGTGGCAGAAGGAACAGCATTTCAAATTACAGCAGTGTCCAGAGCACAGATCAGCAGGCAGACAGCCACGTGTGTGCCTCTGATGGCTGAGCAGACAAAACAAGGTAGGAAAAGAAAGGACACGTGTGCTGGAGGTACGTGTGACACCTACAGTGAACACGGACTCCAAGACCCAAAGAAAACAAGACAAACAGGCATCAAACTGTCTTCTTTCAGCAAAGCTCTGAGACTGCGGCAACTTTAGGACATTTATAAACAGATACAAACGTGTCCTACTATGTACACAAGCAAGAGAGAAAATTGGGAAGATACATAGTCTCATAACTTATGACAAATATATACCATTGTCAGGAATTGGTTCCATGTCCCATGGGCTAAGCTTTTCAATTTCAGTATTGTCCCACCTGTTTAACAAAGAACAGGAAACACTTGTTAGCTTCCCCAAAAACAAACTACAGAATAGCAAGACATCAATTACAAGAGGAATATCAAAATTAGCCACATCGCAGGAATTACATTTCCAACATTAAAAAATTGAGAAAGGCTGGGTGGTTGTGGCACACACCTTTAGTCCCAACATTTGAGTCAGGGGCAGGTCAGTTTCTGAGCTTGAGGCCAGCTTGGTCTACAAAAGGGATTCCAGGACAGCCAGAGGCTGTTACACAGAGAAACCATATCTCAACCCCCCCCCAAATCCAAACAATCAAAAAAAGAAAAAAGTACAGCCAGGTATGGTGGTATACATCTTTAATTTCAGCACTTGGGAGGCAGAGGCAGGCAAATCTTTATGAGTTTGAGGGCCAGCCTGGTCTACACAGCAAGTTCTAGCACAGCCAGGACACAGACAGACCCTATCTTATAAAAGAGAGAAAAGTAAGGCTTAAGAGATGGCCCAGTGTTTAGGGACACTGGCAGTTCTTTCCAGAGGACGAATGTTCAATTCCCAGCACCCACACAGCAGCTCACCACTACCTGTAACTCTAATTCAAAGGATCTCACACCCTCTTCTGGCCTCCAGGGTAACAGGCATGTATATGGTGCATGAAAGCAAAATACCCACACACATAAAAGTATTTGTAAGTTTTACAAAAGCATCAGAACTTAAGAGTAAGGAAGAACACCCAGACAGTGTTAAAGCTTGAATGACAGATTTTTTTCATCCTATAGCCAGCTAGTGGAAAGGTGAAGGTTTTTCTAAATATAATTAATCAAACAGTATCAATGCTGAGCTGTCAAGAGTATCAGACAACAGCAAACAACAGGTATGTTTCAGGTTCAGAGACATTCTGGCTCAATGGTGTAAAATACAGTGGCCCAAAAGCATGTTGGTCACATGAAATCTGGAACAGAAAAAACTTTTCTCTATATACAAACCTAACGACGTAACACTGGAAGTGACTGTCAGGGTACTGTGGTTGATACGGCTCTTGACTCAACACAGTTCCAAACCACCAAGCATCATCAATAATAGATCGAAATCTGTCACCTAGAAGAGAAATGATAAGTGTGAGGCATGCATTTGCTAGCATTACCTATGAAATACCATAATATACAAAAAAGAGAAACCAAGCACAAAGTTTAAGAAAATCCAAAATCCTCAGGGCTATGGTATATCAGAGTGGGTGTTAAGGGCCCTGTGTTCAACCAACATTTGAGGAAAGGGAAGCTGACATTCTTTACTGTGTGCATAGCACTAAAATACTCAACAAGTGTTATGAAATATTAAAAGAATTGCACAAAGATTATAGCAGCTATGATGAATCTTATGGTTTCAGCTGTCACTACAAAACACAACATAAAAAAAAGTGTGTTCTAAGTCCTTAAAAAAAAAACAAAAAACACATGATCAAGAGGCTCTGGAGCCAGAGGGATGGGTTAATGGACAAAGGCACTGCCTAAGTTCAGTGACCCAGGACCCTGGTGACAGAAGGAAGAGCACAGACTTCCAAGTCCTGACCTTCACATGAGCCACACGGTATGTTCCAACCACATACACTCTTAAATACACAAAATAAATTTTAAAAGACAGAATTAAAAATCAGGTCTGAAAATACAAGCATTAAAAATTTATTATTTAAAAGAACTACATAGCCTCTAACCAATCCTACTATCTTACAATAATTCAACAGGAAGACCTTTGTGAAGGGCTTTCACAGTGGGTTCCTCTACAAATCTGTCCAAGGAAAGAAACGGTCTGGACTCCATCTCTGTGGCCTAGCTAAGCATCCACTCCTATCTCCCCACACACACAATGACTAAATATTAAAGTTTTAACTTGCAGTAATGCTTCTAGACTATCAAGATTTAAATGATGTAAATGTATCCTACAACAGCAAAATCTGACTTGACTTCAATGAATAGCATCCAATTCATCTATGAGCTCTACATACAGAAAACTAACACAGCATTTCCCAAACAACAAAGACCCCTCTGTGAGTTCAAAGTCAGCCTGGTCCACAATATTCCTGGCCAGCCAGGACCACAGTGAGACCCTGTCTCGAAAACTAACTTTTTAAAAATAAATAATGTAAAAATCTTAATGTAAGATAAGGTTCAGTGTAAAAATGAGATCAATCAACTTCCTCCATATACTAAATTACAAAGGAAAACAAATTATAAGTTTTGAAAGCTTCCTAAATTCTCATTACTACTGTTTGGGGGGAAGGGGGTGTCAGAGCACAATTCCAGGAGTCACTCTCTCATGTACCATGTTGATTCATCCCAGGGACTACACTCCAGCTGTCAGGCTGGGATACAGGAAAGCATCTTTACCCACTCAGCCATCTTGCTGATCCAAATGCTTCTATTTTTGTTTTTAAGATGTTTTTTAAACAGAGTGGTGAGAGGGGAACACCACACTCAAACAACACGCACACAGGTGCCCTTGGATCAGAGGCACAGGCAGTCATGAGCTAGCTCATGGGCGGGTGCTGGGAATTGCACAAGTATCCTTAGTGGCTGGGCCATCTTTCCAGACTGTCTACTTCTTGAAGACCAGTGTCCTCAAGATGTCCACTTGCCTCTGTCTCCAGAATAGTGGGATTAAGGACATCTATCACCAATGCCCAGCCCTGTAATTATTTTTTAAACCATCAGACTGTTTTAAACAAGTGGTTCTCAACCTTCCTAATGATTTGACCCTTTAATAGTTTCTCATTTTGTAGTACCCTCCAACCCATAAAGTGATTTTCATTGTTACTTGCCAACTATAATTTTGCTATTGTTAAGAACTGTAATGTGGCTGCACTTGAGAGGCAGAGGCAGGTGGGTTCAAGGCCAACCTTGTCTACTGATAGAGTTCCAAGACAACCAAGGCTACACACAGAAACCCTGCAGTGGGGAATGAAGCATAATGTTAAATATTTAATGTGCAATGTCTGTGAAAGGGTCATCTGGCCCCAAAGAGGTCGTAACCTACAGGTTGAGAACTTTTGTTTTAATTCATATAAAAGCATAACTTATCCGAGTACTACAATGAAGATAAATATACACAGTCAAGTGTGGTGTCGTGTGCATTTAATCACAGCACTCACGAAGCAGAAGCAAGGCAAGTAGATTTCTGTGAGTTCTAGGCCAGCCAGAGCTCCACAGTAAAACTCTGACTCTAAAATAATAACAACAACAACAATAATGAATAACAAAACAGCGATTTCCAAACATGCACACCATAAGCAATATTGCATGGCTAAAATGTCTACATGGAATAGGTACCAATTAGCACAAGTACTAAGACAATATATTTAAAGGTCACTTATGCTTCTAGAAAGTATTTGTTTGTATAAACAGTAATTAAAAGTGATACATCCAAGAGCAAATCAATAGTTTTTAGGACTACATACAATTCAGTAAGGACACTTACAAGGCTGCCAGTTTCTCTGTCTTGCTTCATCATAAAATTGACGCAACACAAGAAAATCGATAACATCTGGCATATCGTGGTACCTAAAAGAAAAAGATTGCCACAGTGGAAAGCAAAAATATTCAAGACACAGGCATTTTGTTGTTTCAAACTCTTATGTGCACGTGCACACATAAGGGTGGAGTGCAGAGGTCGAGCCTGAGTGTCATCCCCAAATGTCACCCATCTATTCTTCAACAGGCTCTGCTACTGATCTACAGCTCGCCCAGCAGGCTGGACTCGCTGACCAGTGTACACCCAGGCCTGTCTACCCACATTTACAGAAGACAGGGGGATAGAGATGGCTCAGTCAGCAAAGGAGCGTCCAGTAAGGACTGATTGCCAGTGTCCACATATAAGCCATAACCCTAACACTATGAAGGCAGAGACAGGCAGGCTCCTAGGAGTTGCTGGCTGGCCAGCACCCGAATGGTGAGTTCCAGCTTTAGTGAGTCTCCAAACAGCACAACTTGAATCAGCACATCGAACACTCCCATGTGACCAATGTCCTGCATGGGCTCTAACCCTCTACCTGTGTGAGCATTGTGAAAACCACCCCAGTAGCAGACCCCCTGCCTGCTGCTGCCTGGCAGACCTAACCAGAGTGCTTGACATGCATGATGCAGCTAAAAGGGAAGGCCTACTAATCAGCAAGATGTAAGTAATTCCCCAGAAATATAATACATACCTAATGGAGAAAGATTTATCTGTAAGTCTGCCAGTTGCTGGATCTATACATGCTAGTTTGAGGCAACAAAGGGTAGGTGGTCCAACCTCATATCTTATTCCAACTATTTTGACCAACTCTTGATCCTGTAACAGACATTTAGAAATTTTCTTTTCTTTTTTGAAGTCAATTTATCACTACTGCAATTCTCTATGTACTACTGCTAGACAAGCCAGCTCCTAACCTGGGATTCCAAACATGTAAGTGTAATTTGCCATTGACTGCCATCGTCATTCCCACTCCCCAGAGGACAGACGCACACCTCACACAATGAGCAGTGCACTCACTGCAAGTTAGGTGGTTCAGGATCAGCACAAGGTAACCAGTTAATAATCTGACAATTTATTGACTTGTACTTTCAATTTCATTTTCTTTTTGCATGTTTTGTTTTGTGTGCACTTTGTTTGTGTGTAAAGATCAAAGCCACACGTATAGGAGTAGGTTCTCTCATTCAACCATGTGGAACATAGGGACTGAACTCTGGCCCTCAAGCATGGCTCTCTCACCCACTGAATCATACATGTCTTTTGCTTTAACAGTCTACTCTAACGATGCACTAGACTCTAACTGACCTACCCTGAGATCCATTTTCCTCCATGGTTCCTTATTAGGGTTTAGTTCATAAATGTTATTTCTTCTGACAGCTTCAATGTATGCTTCATGGCCCTGGCGAAAGTAGATCACCTGTAGAGGGAAAGTGTTTTTACTAGGAAAAGCCACTGAGCAGCAAGAGTTTTGTTTTCATACGCACTCTTGAAGGTTTCTGTTCTCACCTCATCACCCATCTGAGGAACAAAAGGAGACTTGCGAAGTGTAGTGTCGGTTATCCAAACAGGAGGGTGAAACTCATATAAATGTTCTGTATTTGCAAGCTCTGGTGGAGTCATCCTTCGCAAACTCTACCAAGAGAAGACAACGAAGCTTGGTAGAAAGGGCAACAAATGCTATTTAACTGGCAAATAAATGCTTCACTATTCAGAGTCAATTTTGTTTGGTTCAATACACAAGAATACATTGCTTTTAGAAAAATTATGAAATGTGCCTGGCTCTAATCCTCCACTTACCTATAGCTTCTAAAGTCACTGCGGAGCGACCTAAACCTAGCCTAGGACACCCTCATCCTCCGGGCCCTTATGTCACACTCAATGTCTTCTAGGCACTAGTGTGAGATGTCCTTCATATGCTGTGAATGCGCTGCTTTTATTGGTTGATGAATAAAACTGTTTTAACCAATGACCATGCAGAATACAGCTAGGCAGGAAATTCAAACAGAAAGAAGACAGTCAGTCAGAGACGCCATTGTCCGCCAAAGGAGTAACATGCTAGAGCATTACTGACAAGCCACAGCCTGGTGGCAATACAGAGATGACTAGAAATGGATAAATTTATAAGAGCTAACCAGTAATGGGTCCGAGCCATTGGCGGAACAATTACACTTTAATATTAAGCCTTATACTTTCATAAAAGGTTGCAGGGACCCGGTGGGCAGGAGAGAAACTGGTTGGGTGGAACCAGACCAGACAGAAAAACCTCAAACTATAAGGCACAGCCTAGGACTCCCTCATGCCTCTGCCCCATTCAATCGTCTCCTAGGCACGAACCATTCTACTCAAGACTCCACTCTGAGTTTGAACAGCCTGGTAACAATAATTAGGAATCACCTTTTGTGTTTTAAGAATTTTGAAATAGGTTTTATGAATCCCAAAATGGGATTCCTGTGTTTCAGAAGAAAACTACATTCCTGACCCACCAAAATAAGAAATGAGAAATACTCATTAAAATGGCAAGAACCAAGTGGTGGTGGTGTAAGGATTCAGGCATTATGCTGACCTGACCCTGTCACCTGGCAGAATGCACGCAGGCAGTGCCCTGGTCAGTCCAGGGTTCCATAGAGGTGCAAAGGACCCCTTTAAGAGAGAGACCCCACCCACTTATGCTCTCTTTCCCCCCCTGTTCCCATGGGGCAGATAGGACTTTTCCTGTCTCCCTCTTCTCTTCTGGCCTCTATCTCTGTGTCTCTTCTCCTCCCCCCCCCACCCCAGAAGAAAACTTCTCATTAAGATCTATCTGCCTGGTGTTTGTCCCTCCGCCTAGGTCAATCTTGCCCACAATAGAATCCGACCAGGTCCCCCATGTGCATTATCATAGCAGGTGGCACACACCTCTAATCCCAGAGGCAGCAGGCGATCTTTGAGTTCCAGACCAGCCTGCTCTACAGAGCTAGTTCCAGGACAGCCAGGCTACACAGAGAAACTGTCTTGAGAAAACAAAAAACACCGAACAAACAAGAGGCAGGCGAAATATGCAAACCCCCCTCAAATTTATTCCTGGTAGCAAAGTTGGGTTAAGTTCTAAAACTACAGTGATACTACTCATAACAGCGGGACCTTACTTCTTCCAACACCTTTCTCTTTACTCCTTTTCAACAGACCCCAAGACATCAACAATTATAAAAGGAAAACCTTAAAAACGATTTTTTTTTTACAAAAATAAAACTCAAGAAAAGTTGAACGAGCCAGGCTACAGCAGGGAAGCAATAGAGAAGTGTTTTAATGGCTATAATAAGGTTTAACAAGCAGGGCAACTCTGCAAAGTCAGGGTACCTAATGCATCATTACATGTGTCACTGAAGACCAGTGCAGAGTTTACCCTGGTGTGAGGTTTGAGGGCCTGGGTTCAATCCCAGCACCAAGAGAAAAGAAAAATACAGAAAAAGAAATGCAAACAAACAAAAAACAGGAAAAAAAGGAAGAAAAAAACCCTTGATGTAGAAGACAACACTGCATAAAAGCAGAGGCATGCATGTTTTTAAAGGTCTATTTTTCTTACCTCCCTTTTAGGTTTGCTTTCTTTCTTTCTTTTCCTCCTTCTTTTTGGAGGAGATGTGTTCTCCGCAGACATTTCGTCCTCTGAACTACTGCAGAATCGGGTTACTCGACGGCGACAAGACATCCTTAAAGGAGGCTGCAAGTTGATTCCTGTGTCAGCTGTCCAATCAGAGTATCGAGAGGAAGAGTCACTGCAAAAACAGGATGTTGTAAGAATGTGAGTATTAAGAGTTCCAGTACAGGCTCCAAAAAACCATACAGAGAAACTCTGTCTCGAAAAACCAAAAAGAATGTGAGTACTAACAGCAAGCTCACAGCAGAGCCCTGATGAAGTGAGGGAGTAAGCATGGAGGGAAATGAAGAGCCTAGGTTTACCTTGAACACCCTGCTCACAGTGCCAGCAAAGACCAATAGACCACAGAGCACAGCAAAGACAGAGAAACAAATCTTCACTAGGGCTACAAAGATGGCTCCTTCGGATGCTTTTCCAGGACCAGGGTTCAATTCCCAGAACCTACATGGTGGCTCACAACTGCCAGGGACTTCGGTTCCAGGGGACCTAATGCCATCTTCTGACCTCTTTAGGCTATAGACACATACATGTGCACAGGCATACATTCAGGCAAAACATTCATACACATAAAATAAGTAGGAAGGAAGGAAGATCGATTCACCAACAATGGGAAGAAGGTTAGCACATGGAAAGTTTTAACAGACAACTCAGGCTAACTCCCAAAGGAACTTTTTATGTTTTGTGGCACGAGGGATTTAACTCATGGCCTTGTTCATGACAGGCAATTACTGTACCATCAGAGCTACATCCCCAGCCCTTTTCTTTTATTAAGTACCCTCTAAATGAGAGCTGATGAAAGTCAAGTCTACAGCCAAGTGATAACTTCCCTCCCAGAAAGCTAAGCATAGTCACTGAAAACATTACAGAGAACCTGAAGAGTCCCAGCACCTCCAAGAGGCTGGTGGGTTCCAATTCACAAACTCCACCTTGCATCACAGACCACTCATGGAGACATCATCAAGTGAGCCCAAGGGAAGCAACTCGACCCTGAAGAGAAAGTGACGGACTCTTCCAAGAAGCTGACCAAGCCTCTCTTGACAGGCTAGAAGTGCAGCAAAGGGTCAACAATAGCTACACTGCGAGTTAGGAAAATCCAAGTAAAGTAGCCTGTAACAGAAGCTTCACGACACAGCACGGGACAAATGCGAGCTCCGCTGCATCTCTCAAGAGCTTCACAATGCAATCAGTTTTTGCTTTTCTCCAAGACAGGGTTTCTTTATTTAACAGCCCTGGTTGTCCTGGAACTGGGTTTGTAGAGCAGGCTGGCCTCGAACTCACAGAGATCCATCCATCTGCCTCTGCCTCCCTGGTGCTGAAAGGAGTGCGCCACCACTGGCCAGCTATAATTAGTATTTTTATGTCTTGGGTGCTCCACAATTCAAAGAAAATCCCCCAACCCAGGGAAGATCACAAACACAGAAAATTCTTAAAGGAATAATGCATGACTTGTGCTCTGGGACACTACCAACATCCCAGTCACAGCAGAGCAAAGGACAAGAAATGAGGTAGAGAACACCACAGAAAAAGACAACAGAGGCCAGATGATCTATGCACTATGGACATGGGGAAACTTCTGGGCATGGCTAAAGAGTTTGTGTAGATGAAAGCACTATGAGAGCCTAAGATTAAGTTAGTGTCTTCAATATGCATCACTAAGCACATGGGAGAAAGCATTCCAGGGCATCCCACACAGACCAGGGCCAGTCTCCCGTTTTCTTTGGGCTGCAAACTTGCTGGCCCCAGGGCAATGACTGCACTCTTTCAGAGGATGACAGGAGCCCATACCTTGAACTCTCGCTGTCACTCTCACTTCTTCTATCGCTTCTCCACTCATCGTCCCCTGAAGAACAAGAGCCTCCACTCGGGTCACAGGACGTCTCCTGGATTGTGAAGGGAAAGGGTATTCTGATGCCACAAGCCCTGGTCCAAGTGCTGAGTCACCCATCCCAACAAGACCAGGACACCCAAGAAACTTCAACCATTAGTAGAAATGTAAAACTTGATAAAACGTAAAACAAGCCATTTTTACTAAACAATGAAGGGCTTTTTGAGAGGAGGTCTCATAGTTCAGGTTGGCCTCTAAACTCACTATGTAGCAGTGAACAGCTTTGAATTCCTGACACTCGTGGAATCACAGGTGTGCATCTCCAGGACTGGCTTCTATTTATTTTTACTTTATGTGCATTGGTGTTTTGCCATGGGTGATTGATCCCCTGGAACTGGAGTTACAAACAATTGTCAGCTGCCAGGTGGGTGATGGGAACTGACCCTTGAGTCCTGTGGAAGAGCAGTCAGCGCTTTTAACCACTGAGCCATCTCTCCAGCCCCAGGGGCCTGGCTGCCAAATCCTTACTTTTTTTTTTTTCAATCAAGGTATTTTCCAAAGAGGATTTGTGAGGGTGACAGTGACCACAGTCAGGGAAATGATGGACTGTGATCTGGGCTCTGCTTTGCACTCCAGCTGTTTTGAGGTGTACATGGTATATCTATCTGACAGTTGTTTGCTTTCAACCCTTAAGATGAAATGGTCAGTAGCTTTCCATACTGCAACTTCCTAGTATATATCCTTACTAATGAAGTGACTTAGATGTTTTCCCACTTTGAAAAAGAATTATTTTTCTTACTACTCCATTTCAACAGCTCTTTACTTACATAGAATGTAAGGATTCCTGCATTATACTGTCCTGCCTGTCACCGGGCAGAATGCATTCAGGCAGTACTCTGGTCAGCCTAGGGTTCCATGCAAAGGACCTGTTTAAAAGACAGATCCCTGCCCACTTATCACTCTCTTGCTCTCTTTCTGCTCTTTCGGGCCCTTCTCTCTCTCCGCTCTCTTCTCTTTCTGCTCCTGTCTCCCTCCTCTCTTCTGTCCTCCCTCTCTGCGTCTCCACCTCTTTTCTCCCCTTTCTAAAAAACTTCTCACTCAAGCTATCTGCCTGGTGTGTTCCCTCTCCCCCCCCGCCTCGGTCACCCTGGACAGCCATTGAACCTGCCATGGTTCCCCACGAAGGACCCCCTTCAAGCTTTATCCTAGCACTGGAGCAAAAGAACAACATTGAATGAAAGTTTTTCTCAAGTATTTTTCCCACTGTGTGGTTTCGTCTTTTTCTCATAATATAACAGTTATCTTTTTGGGAACAATTATGAAATTTCAATTTAGTTGAAGTTACCAATTTGAAGACTGCATGTATAATAATATTCCCGGCAAAGACACCTATATTTCATCTTCAGCTTCTCCAAATTTTGAACTCTTATATTTACACTTAGTTTGTGACTCATTTTAAGCTGTTTTTCCCTCCTCCCTACAGACAGGGTCTCAGCCTTAAGGGTCAAAATACAGACCTGCACCACCAGATGCAGGTTGGGATGCATGAGAAAAGACAGCTGCAGAGAGATTTTGTGAGTGCGTATGCCCATGAGAACTCACTCAAGCACTGAGCTATCTCTCATGGACATCAGCTGGCAATGATATGTTTGAGAACATGTTGTTTCCCTGACTTTTGACTGTTCTTCCCAATAACTACACTATAACAGCCTCTATCAGTCCTTTAACCACGCTCCTCAGCAATTGTATGTCAGCTGTCCTGTGTTTTTCTTCTCTCCATATAATTTACTTAAAAAAAACAAAAAACAAAAAGAAGTTTGCCACTATCTACAAAAGTAACTTACTGGGATTCTGACTAGAATCCTACTGAATATGAAGACGGTGACACATCTCGACAAGGACGTGAACCAACAGGTATGCTCCTTTGTTGCTAAAGAGAATGCAAACGAGTGTAGCCACTTTGAGACTGTCAATCTGTTGCACAGCTCAACAGACTCTTCACATAATCCCTGGTTTTCAGAGACGCTCCTGAGGTAACTGCTTAAAAAAGTTCCCAACAACTTACACAGAGATGCTCACAGTCTGCATGCATAATTGTCAAAACTCCAACACCAAGACAACACCTTCAGACAATGGGATACGGAACTATAGTAAAACAAATGAGCTATCTATCAAGCTAGGAGAAAGCATGAGAATGTGTCAGAGCATGCTACAAAAGGACAGTCAGAACTACACAGAGAAACCCTGTCTTGAACTATTGGGGGGGGGGGAATAATGATAATTAATTCAAGATGGGTGAAAAGGCTCAGGGACAAAGGCTCGCCTGGCTGCCAGGCTTGATGACCTGAGTTGGACCCCAGAGCTCACGTGTTGTAAGCAGAGGACTATCTTTTATAGGTGTCTGACTTCTACAACACACCATGGCATGCTTACACCTCCATCTACACACAAAATAAATAATGTAAAAATAGTGAGAGGGAGGGTCAAGATAGGGTTTCTCTGTGTAACAGCCCTACTTATCTTAGAACTACCTCTGTAGACCAACCAGGCTCGCCTCCAATTCAGAGTTCTGCCGGCCTCCACCTCCCGAGTGCTGAGATTAAAAGCATGTACCTCACTACCTGGCTTAATAGTATTCACAGAAAAAAGAAAAAGTAACAGAATTAAGACAAACTCAGCAGACTCTGTTGGCACAGGACTGCCAATCATGTGCGAGACAGAACTCTCAATGCAAGGCCTGCCAGTAAGATCTATCTAGAAAGACCCTCCTAAAGATCAAAAGGTTTCACAAGTGCTGCGAGTTGACCTACTATTCTGCCTATATTCAATCACTACTAACACCAGAACATAAGAACATGTGTGCAGATGTTGGTGGCGCACGCCTTTAATCCCAGCACTCGGGAGGCAGAGGCAGGCGGATCTCTGTGAGTTCAAGGTCAGCCTGGTCTACAGAGAGAGTTCCAGGACAGCCTCCAAAACAATACAGAGAAACCCTGTCTCGAAAAACCAAAAACCAAAAAAAAAAAAAAAAAAAAAAAAAAACACGTGGCCATGCAAGAGTTAGACAAATCCATGTGTATGACAATCTTCATAAAGTCCTTGTACTCACATGTCTAATAGAACCTGAAGATTCATTTCCAGAAGACAATTCACACCGGCCAGTATTTCTTCTACCATAATTTGCATATTTACGTCTACAAGTCCGTTGTCTTGACTGGGACACCAAAACCACTGAATTTGACTAAAACAAAGAAATATGAGCATTATCAACAAAATGTATGAAGTTAACTATGAATGGTTTTGAAGAGGAGACAAAGATTATTTAATCCAAGTTATTTTTCACTTTTAGTTCCTTCAAGTGCTTTAAAAAGACACTCACCTTTTTCATACTACCTTGTAGGTCACCATGAATGACATAAAGCCAAAATGAACAGGATGTAAATAAACTGGTAAAAGCAGACTTAGCAAGCCCAACCCTCAATAAGGTTCAATCCCCAGCATCCCATAGACCTGGGGTGCTTGCACATGCCTGTGTATTGCCAGCACTCAAGAGACAGGGGGAAGAAGGTTAGAAGCTCATGGTATCTTTGGCAACACAGTGATAAAAAAATAACAAAAACTAAAACCCTGAAGCTTAAAATATATACATTACATACATATGCATAAAACGTATATATATGTATATATTAGAATCACTACTCAACCCTAAACTTATCACAATCTCATTATCTAACAGTTACAGAAACAATCTTTAAGCAGTAACAAGTATTTCTAATGTTTGCATCATAAATATGAAGAGCTGTGGTACAGGCAATGGAGGCAAGAGCATAAGAAACTCTAGGCTGAAGAGCTGGCTCAGTGGTTATAAACATGCCCTGATCTTCCAAAGGAAGACAGCTTGACTCCCCCAGCACCCACGCCAGCATGGGACCACCACCTGAACTGCAGGTGGTCCAGGTGATCAAAACCTTTTAATCTCCACAGGCAAACACACACACACAGAAAAAAAAAAAAAGTTGTCAGAAGTTTAAGGTAACCCTTGGTTAAACAGCTTTTTAAGACAGAGTTCACGTTCCCACACCCCCAATCAAAAAGAGAAAAAAAAAAATTCCAGCAATCAAGCTTTAGAGGGGCACAAGCCATTTCAACATCTAAGACAGTGCATAATTGGGACTTCAAGAGCACACAGACCTACAAGGCAGCTATACAAGCTATGACGGTTGGCTACCTCACAAAGAAAGCAAACAGCAGATGGGAAAACAGGAAGAGATCTTGGTGTACTGTCTGTCTTTAGACATTATCAACAGGGATTCATCCTTTAATGCTACAGAACCGTGTATTAAGAATTAACAGTTCTATGTTGGCTTTACACAACCAACCACAGACCTTTTAGAAATAACACTGAATGTTAATTTTTCACAGGAGAAGCAGGGTACCTTTTGTGAGAGCTGGAAAGACTTCTTTTTCCTCCCTATCACATATAGGTTTCTCTCCTCTTCACCTCTTTCGATGCGAAAATCTTCCAACCGCCTACAAAATTAAGTATGTGGTGACAGAGGCTCTTGGACTGATATAAATAGTCAATCACTACAGCTCTAAAAACCATTCAGTTCCCCACCGAGGGATGGAGGGCATGCCTTTAATCCCAGCACTCAGGAGGCAAAAGCAGGCGGATCTCTGTGAGTTCGAGGCCAGCCTGGTCTACTGATCCGAGTTCCAGGACAGCCTCTAAAGCTACAGAGAAACCCTGTTTTGAAAAAAAACAAAACAAAAATTATCGTTCAGTTCATAAACCACTAAAGGACATATGAAACGATTAAACTTAGAAGAATCACATAGCTAGGCACAGTGCCTCTCTCCATCACTTGGAGGCTGGGAAGAACATCCCCTCAAAAGCTCATGCCAACAAACAAAAGCTCAGTGATCCCTAGCCACACTAAATACAACAGTAGTCAGTCTGCAATAGCATTTGTCTTCTCTGTTGAAAAGACTCGATTCTAATTTGAACACTGCTGAAACAATTGACTTGATGTTTTTAATGTCTAAATGTAAGAAAGGCTAGTGTCTTAACCATGCTGCCTATGTAACAACTTACAACGGACAAAACTGATTTCTAAGGAAAACTTAAAACAAATGGTAGAAGGAAGGCTTAACTTTTTTTTTAATGGGTATGAGTGTTTTGCCTATATTTATCCACGTGTACCACATCTGATCACCTGGAAATAGATATGCAGGTGGTTGTAAACCATCATGAGAGTGCTGGGAATCTAACCCAGGTCCCTCTAGAAAAACAGCTAGTGCTGTTTTGTATTCCTTAAAAATCTGAATTAAAGGAGAAAGACAATAAATTCTTTTAAAGGTAAAGAAAAAGAATTAAGGATCTGTGCAGTTTTTTACAGACCTACGTTACAACTGCATCATCAAGAATGTTAAGAGGAAACCTCCTTTACAAGTACCCATTACACAGTAAATGAAGAGACCCTGATCACATTATCACCTAATCAATGAATCTAGCCACAACACATCAATAGGTGCTGACATAATAAAAACAGATTAGATGTTATATGTGCCTTACAACATAATTTACAAAAAAGAATATGTACAACATTTGAGACAGCTGGCAAGTTCAACTGAACACACCTTTGATTAGGTGGAAGAACTGTTCATGTCTAAAGATGCGGTAGAGAAGATAACACTTGACTTACAGAACACATGCTAAATCATCTAAGCACTGTCTTTTTATTTCTAAATAACACTGAAGGGGTATTCAAAGATCAAACAAAACTATAACAACAGAGTTCACTACATAGCAATGCTGGGAAATTAAACTGAATTCTCTCCATGATGGGAGAAGTCCTATGTATATGTCAATAAACCACTGTTGACCAACAGGGAACCAAGATAGGTGGGACTAGGAATCCAGGAGGACTCTGGGTAAGGGAAACACAGGAGAAACAAAGTCAAGATGTAACGCCATGGGGTAGGAAGCCAGTAAGCTAGCCAGTAAGAAATAAGCAAGGCCAACAGCTTCATAATTAATACAGCCTCCTGTGTGTTTATTTGGGACTGATGCGGCTCTGGAACCAGGCTGGCGGGAAGGTTTCCCTTTACATCTCCACAATTAAAATACGTGCTAATCCATTACTGAAATATACCTAAATGGTTATTCCCCATTAATGTATATGGAACACAAGTTGTGTAGATAACTACATTAAAACATTCTCATAACAGTAAAGAATGCATCGTTCTACAGACCTGAATATGCCTGGTGGTGCCTCTGGCACAACCACTCTCCGCTTCCAAGCCTGCAGGTCTCGCTCTGTGGCAATCTGACTTCGGGGAGCATTCTGATGCATTTGACGAACTCCTTCAACCTGCCCGCTCCGGCGGAGACCAATGTTTGGAGGAGACTGGATGTCTAAACTCAGTCTTCTAAAACCTAAGGAAAATTATCAGACACCTAATTAATAAATAAACTTTATACACATGAAGTGCTGTGGCCAATGCCTGAGACCACTGGGAGAGGAACTTGACAGGTAACCAATGGCAAAGACAGCACTGAAACTGTCAGCTAAGAAGCCATAAGCAGACAGCCTCCTAAAGCTAAGAGTGGTATGCTGTAGTATGAGGCCTTATCTGAACAAAAGAACACATCTCACATACAAACATGTATATTAAAAATCACTGGCTAGCAAGGCCTATTAATATACAGCTTTAATCCCAGCACTCAGGAGACAGAGGCAGTTGGATCTCTATGAGTTCAAGGCCAGTATGGTCTACAGAGTGAGTTCCAGGTAGGGCTACACAAAGAAAACCTGTCTGGAAAAATCAAAAGGAGGAAAGGGGAGGGGGGGTAGAAGAGGGAGGAGAAGGGAGGAGAGGAAGAGAGAGGGAAGGAGGAGGGAGGAGGGGGAGGGAGGAAAGAGGAAGGAGGGAGGGAGCGGGGACCAAGTCCACTATCATTCCATTTTTTGAGTAACAAAGTAATTTTCAGAACGCTAGGTGTGAAAACATGTAGCTTGTGGGTTTTTGCATACCAGCAATGACTCTCCTTCTCCTTATTTCAACACCCTTGTGTTAAGCATTTACTTGTACTTACTCCCTCTCCGAGGAGTCTCTTCCCCATTCGAGAGTCCATTTGCAATCACATCCTGATCCACTCCCAGTCTCTGGTCTTGCTGCTGCTGCAACTGCCGGATCATCCCATCAAGAATGTTGGATTCGGGGCTGGCTTCACCACTGTCATTGGTCTGCAGGCTTATAATCTGTTCAATCACCTCCCCATCACCTACAAAAATCATCCACAATCTGAAACACTAACAGCTTTGCTAAACACATCAGCAGGGCTGGGCGTGAGCTCAGTGGTGCAGCACCAGCAAAGAGCCTGGATTCCAGGAACCGTAAAAAAAGGCAAACAAAGCCAAGCACTACAAATAAAGCGCTTTCCAAAAAAATAACCTGGCAGGAAAATACCCTACACACAACAGGTGAGTCATTAACTCAGAAAAAGGATTAAAAGCATAAAGACGGGAGTACTAAATCACAAAACTCCTGCAGAGTTCCTGTAACTCTGTTGCAAACACTGTGCTGCACTGAAAGCTGACATCTAGGCCTTGCGTCTGGAACAACCCATGGCCTGGGTGGTGGCCCAAGGACTAGACAGAAGCCGTCACATTTCTTCTGTCTCAGGAAAAGGAATATGGCCTTTGGGTCTTGCCCCAGGTCCGGACAGAAAGGTCCCAAGGTGGGTAGTAGTGAAGAGTGGGGTGTTTTTCTTTGTGGTGCTCTTTTCTAGTCCAGGCTCTTCTGAGGATTAGGCAAGTGATGAAATCACTGCTACACAAAGCCCGGGGCACCAGTAATTATTACATCAAGCACACAACCATGTTGTAGAGTATCTGTGTTTTTCAAACAATGCCTTTCAGAGGTTGGTGGTGAGTGTGTTAAGGGAAAAGGGTAAGACCTTGTCTCAAAATCAAAGACTGAGAAAATAACACACAGTCTGTAACACAAAGTGCTTGCCTGCATGTGTAACAGTCATCGAGACCTCAAGTCAATCCCAAAACTAAAGGTACAAAGTCAAAAAGTCACCGAGAACAGAAAATACTAATAAATAAGGGGAATATGACAAGCCCCAACTCATACTAATGAGGTCAGCCTGGTCTGCAGAGCTAGTTCCAGGACAGCCAGAGCTGCACAGAGAAACCCTGTCGCAAAAAACCTAACAGGCCGGGCGGTGGTGGCGCATGCATTTAATCCCAGCACTCAGGAGGCAGAGGCAGTCGGATCTCTCTGAGTTCGAGGCCAGCCTTGTCTTCAAAAAGAGTTCCAGGATAGAAAAAAAGAAACAAAACAAAACAAAACAAAAAAAAAAAAAAAAAAAAAACAACCTTACAGCCAGGCAGTGGCACCCTACTTTAATCCCAGCACTCACTCAGGGAGGCAGAAGGCAGTGGGTCTCTGTGAGTATGGGGCCAGACTGGTCTACAAAGTGAGTTTCAGGACAGGCAGTCAGTGCTGTTACACAGAGAAACTCTGTCTTGAAAAACAAAAACAAAATTTTAAAAAGAAACAACAAACAAAAAAATAAAACCACAAATCCTGAAAATATTAACATTTGGGTATCTAAAAGTATCAGAATTACTTGTTTTATCCTTTGAATTTTTCCAAAGTTTAAAATAAAAATGTTTACCTTTATGTATTTATGTGTTCAGACATGCAAGTGAGTACAGGTGCCTACAGAAGCCAGAGGCATCAGACCTTCTTAAGAGCACACCACAGAGTGAATAAGAAAATCAGGATAAATGGGTAAGTAGGTTCTCTCTTTCCACCATGTGAGCAATCAGTATAAAAATCAGGTTTACCTACTGAGCCATGTCTCCAACCCTCAAAAAACACCAGGTAAACCAGGGTATAGTGGTCCATGCCTGAATCTCAGCACTCCTACTGAATCAGGAGGATAGCTCCAGTTTCAAGTCCAGCCTACTTCACTTAGAAATTACAGACAAGCCAGAGATACATAGAAAAACCAGAGATACAGACAAGCCAGACACACAGAGAAAGACTGAATTTGTACTTACTTGTGGCCACATAGCCTAGCTGTGGAACCAAATGTTCATCTGCAGAGTTTTCACGACCTGGTACTAATCTCTGGTACTTGGTTGGATGAGGGTTTCCATCTACATCTACCAGGAATGGTGGGGGCATAAGATGTGGTGCCTGTTGTGTCTGCTCATCTAAGACATAGTTATTGGAATCTCTTATCAGTGGTCGGTAGTCAGTATGGAAAAACATTTGATCAGGAATCTATGAAAGATCATGGAATGACATTTTGAGATTTTTATTTGTTACAGACAATAATACTAAAGGTACTTAAAAAATTAGAAACAACTATTTTCAGACTAACTCTCCTAACTATTCATCTTATATTCTACGAGAAAGCATTAAAAATGACCTTTTCATATGGTTTGCTGCATCCAAAACCAAAGATTAGAAGATGCCCGTGAGAGTCTGTACAGGCAAAATGTTGTCCGTCCTGTGAAAACTTACAGTCAAACACGGCTCCATGTCCTTGTCCTTCGATCTAGGAAAGCCAGGATAAAGGAACATTAGGCACATCAACAAGGCGTTTTCGCTCTGCGTGTATGACTGTGTGCTTACATTTACGCTACATGCTCATGGGGGCCAGCACAGGCCAGAAGGGACAGAGGAGCACCTAGAGCAAGGTGCAGGCAGCTGTCAGCACAGCCTAAGCACCAGAAAACACCAAACCCAGTTCTTGTGTGAGAGCATTGGGTGAGCCATATCTGCAGCCACTATAGTGCAATCAGTATAAAGGTTTCAGATTTACTTTGTATGTGTGGGTAGTTTGCCTCCGTGTGTGTATGTAAACCAAACCCAAGTCCTCAGACAAACCTACAAGCTCTTAACAGCTGAGCTGTCTCTCCAGCCCTGAACAAACAATTTTGCTATATAAAGCTCTTTAACATGGGTAACTGTCTACAATGTATTCAAAATACTCTTTCTTTTGCATCCAGGTCTTTGCATGTGCCAAGCAAGCATTCTGTCTCTCACAAACATATAAAATTAAAATCTCAAAAAAACTCCCAGGCCACTCAAATGGGCAGTGAGGTAAGGATGCCCCAACATATAAGTGATGGGGGAAGTTCTGTGTATATGTCAATATGTTGGCCAATAGGGAACCAAGATAGGTGGGACTAGGAGTCCAGGAGGACTCTGGGTAGGAGAAACACAGAGAGTCAAGATATAACGCCATGGGGTAAGAAACATGGAACTATTCTCCAGTAAGAGAAATACTTAGATTAACAATTATGGAGTAATTACTTAAGTCAGAGCTAGCCAGTAAGAAACAAGCAAGGCCAACAGCTTCATAATTAATACAGCATCCTGTGTGTTTATTTGGGACTGATGAGGCTCTGGAACCAGGCTGGCGGGAAGGCTTCTCTCAAGGAAAAGGTTTCCCTTTACATGTAAGACCAATTACGTTTTGTTTAGAGAGTATTTAAATATATACTGTTTGAAGTTTGGAATTAATATACCTTGGTTTTACTATATTTTTGAATTTAAGTTAAATTCAAAATACAATATACTAGAGTCATCCACAGTGACACACACCTTTAATCTCAACACTCAAGAGGCAGAGGCAGGAGGATCTTGGCGTTCCAGGGCTACATAGTGAAGCCTGTCTCCAAAAACAGAAACAATGTTCTTATTCTTACTAAGTTTCTGTGTCTACCTAAATATTGTATTACTGTTGAATTCTTTTTCCGTGATACAGTGACTTCAAATGGTGTGTGTGTGTGTTGAAATCAGACTAACTTCAACTAGTGGCAATCCTACCTCAGCTCTCCCAAATGCTGAGACTTGCAGGTGTGGGCTACCACGCCTGGCTCAGGTTTGTAGCTGTTATGTATATGAGAGGGGCTGGTTGTATACAGTACCCCGGAGGTGGCTAAAAAGAGAACTTAGGTTCTCTTCAAGAAGAGTTTGCAGTAACCACTGGGCTCTCACCAGATCACCTTACTGAGTTTTAATACTTTTTTTGTGTTTGTAAAGATAGGGTCTTTTTTTTTTTTTTTTGGTTTTACAAGACAGGGTTTCTCTGTATTGTTTTGGAGGCTGTCGGTCCAGCCCGGCCTCGAACTCACAGAGATCCGCCTGCCTCTGCCTTCCGAGTACTGGGATTAAAGGCGTGCGCCACCACCGCCCGGCGAAGATAGGGTCTTACTACATAGCTCTAGGTATCTTAGAACTCACTCTGTAGACCAGGCTGGCCTCAAACGCACAGAGCTCCACCCTGCTTTCCCTCCCCAATGCTGGAATTAAAGGTGTATACTATTAAGCCCAGCCAGTTCAACACATTATTGAAAGTATATATACCTGTGAATTTTAAGACCAGAGGAGGTATCCAAGGCTCAGTTGCTTTTTCCAATAATTGAAATACAGACACAGTTTTCAGAGATGCCTAAATATTGTAGTTTAGTCATGCTATTTGAGTTTAAACTTTTAGTTAATGGTAATAAATAAATTACTATATCTTAAGGTTATTAAATTATTCAGCTGCTGGCAGTGGTGGCAAATGCCTTTAATCCCAGCATTCAGGAGGCAGAGGCAGGCAGAGCTCTGAGTTCCAGGCCAGCCTGGTTCTCAAGAAACAAAAAAGGAGAAAAGGAAAGAATGTTCAGAATACAACTTCACGGTAGCATGAAGATTGTAATGTCAAGCAAGGCATGGCAGCTCACACCTGTATCCCAGAAGCTTCCAGGGTTAACACTGTCCTTAGCCAACAACAGCCTAGAGGCCAGCCTAAGCTCAGACTCAAAAAACAAAGCCCCATCCTCAACACATGATGGTCACAACTGCCCCTAGGAACTCAACACATCCAACCCACAAACACCTACACTCAATATAAATTCAGGTGAGGTCTGACAAAATGATACTCAAGACTAAAAATACAGGGATAAACCCATTAAGTGCAATTGTAAACAAATATTTCAATTGGGGGGGTCAAGACAGGGTTTCTATGTGGTTTTGGAGGCTGTTCTGGAACTCGCTCTTGTAGGCTGGTCTTGAACTCATAGAGATCCACCTGTCTCTGCCTCCTGAGTGCTGGGATTAAAGGCATGCACCACCACTGCCTGGCATGACCATCATTCTTTAACATTCAAACACACTCATCTGAAGTTACAGGGCAGCAAAGAGAAACAACAAAGGCAGGCAGGCAGGCAGGCTACTGAAGAGTGAAGAGAGCAGACAGCTCAGCCATTTAATGGAATGCACAGCAATCTCCAGTGGTTCCTAACCCGAGCAGCAACCCAGCACTATGAAAGGCACTGGGGTGCTAATCTAGACCTAAATTAAACACTGCCTTTTTCTCAACACTATGGTTGTGTTGTAGATTCTACCTACCATAGGAGTCTACTTTGGTTCTAGAATCTAAAAACTGACTCAACTTTAAACAGGATATATACTGACAGGACTGGAGAGATGGCTCAGCTGTTAAGAGCACAAGCTCCTCTTTTAGGAGATCTGAGGTTCAATTCCCAGCAGCAACCACATTGTGACTCACAACCATCTGTTATTTCCAGTTCCAGAGAATCTGCTGCTGTCTTCTGGCCTCCGTGAGCACTGCACACACGTTACACACACCAAATACCCGCGCACATAAAATAACCACAGACAAGCATACATGCAGAAATAAAAAACTAGGTAAAACTTATGAACATCTTTAAGTTTAGAATGTCATGTATATGTGTATGAGGCTATCACACCCTTAGTTAGCTTCTATTACCTCAATTTGTATAAAAGTTGCCGTGGCATGCCAACCAACTTCTGGCTAACTCTCATAATTCAATAAATGCACAAATAAAAAATTCACTTCACTTACCATATTAAAATAATGTTTCATCTTGGTGCCTTTTGTAATATCCCATATAAATATGCTGCCATCGTGTCCTGCAGATAACATAATTCTGGAATCAAAGGGATGTGTCTCCAAAACAAACACTTCATCAGCATGTCCCTTTATTCAACAAAGCCATAATATTAAGGACAGTTTGCAACTTATATGTTGGAAACCAATAAAAAAGTCATACTATATAAAGTCTTAAAAAACATACTAGCAACAGTGATTTATACATATGTATATAAAAATTCCCAGTCATTTGAATCATTTAAATAAAAATGATTTATTCTGTATATTCATAATCAATGTTATCATTTCAAAGAAAGGAGGGGGGAAAGGCTCAGGGTCGCTGACCCTGTGAGTTTGAGGCAAGGCTTTTTTTTTAAACACAGGTTCCAAAGGTTAAACAGAGACCACCTGTCTCAAAAACCAAAACCACAGGTTCAAGGTCTTTCTGAGATATACACCAAGTTGAAAGCCAACCCAGACTTGTCTCAAAACATAAAAAAAAAAACGAGTTTGGTGTGGTGGATTCAGCACATGCATGGGAGGCAGATGAAGACAGATCTGAGTTCAAGGGCCAACCTGGTCTACAGAGTAAGTTCCAGGACAACCAGAGATACAGAGAAACTCTGTCTCCAAGAAAATAAAAGTAGTCAGTAGTGGCGCACGCCTTTAGTCCCAGCCTCAAGAGGCAGAGGCAGGCGGATCTCTGTGAGTTCAAGGGCAGCCTGGTCTACAGAGTGAGTTCTAGGACAGGATCCAAAACTGTCTCAAAAAAATAAAAGTAAAAGAGAAATTAACAAAGTAAAAATTTCTGAATTATCATATTATATTAAAACTACCTACCAGTAGGTTATGCAGCAGCTGTCCAGTGTAAGAGTCCCACACTTTGAGGACATGGTCATTCACAGCTGTGACCACAATGCTATCATCCTGATTCCAAGCTATCATTGTAACTTTGGGTTTCATAAACCTCTCTTCTTCAGAAGACATGTCTCTAACAAAGCAAAGACACTGGGTAAACTCACTTAGAAGGCACACCACACAAGGCACACAGTCCCTCACTAACACAATGTGAACGAGAATCCCAGAAGCAGCTCAGCTAGTGCACTGCTGCTCACACCCAGGCACTAGGTTTGACCCCAGCACACAACACGGGCATGCTGGTGAAAGCCTGTCACTCCACAGGTGGAGTGGAGGAAGGAGAATCCCAAGTTCAAGGTCATCCTCAACTACATCAGCTTAAAGGCCAGTCTAAGCTACACAAGACCTATTCTAGATTAGGGAGCATAGAAACAGTAAGAGAGGAGCTACCTCCATCGCCTTAACTGACGCTGGACATCAGCACAATGTGAGCAGCTCCATTCCCTAGGTGGGGAACCCTGAGACCATGCACGCATTCCTTCTCCCCTGCTCATGCCTGACAGGGCATGTGAGCAGCTGGGTAGAGGTCCCATCATCAGCCCCACAGTGCACTGTCAATTATAAGCCAAATGAACCCTCTTCCTGTAAGCTGCTTTGTGTCAGGGCATTTGATCTAGCAGCACAAAGGAGGCTAGGACAGAAATATAGTAAATTCTAGCCAGGCAGCAGAGGTAAGTAAGCATCATAGCCCTGTAATGCCAGCACCAGGGAGGCAGATAGGATGAGGAGTTCAAGGCCAGTCTTGGCTACATAATTCTAGCCCAGCCTGGGCTACCAGACACCATTCCTCAAAAAAAAAAAAGGGGGGGGGACCTGGCAAGATGGCTCAACAGTGAAGAGTGCTTGCTTCTCTTACAGAGAGATCCCCTGAGGTCTGCTCCAAGCACTCACAACAGGCAGTTCACTGTAACTCCAGCTCCAGCTCTCTCGCCTCCACAGACAAACACAAGCACATCCTCTCCACACCCACCCCATGCCCATCCCCAAATAAAAAAATAAACTTTTTAAAAAATCCTTTTCATTTTGTTACTGTTTTTTGTGTTTGAAGACAGGGTTTCTCTGCATAGCCCTGGCTGTCCTGGAACTCCCGAGGTTGACCTTGAACTCAAGAGATGCCCCCTGCCTCCACCTCCAGAGTGCTGGACTTAAAAGGCATGTGCCAATACTTCACATATATGTCTGTGTGAGGATGCCCTGGCATGGGAGTTAAAGACAGTTGTGAGCTGTCATGTGAGTACTGGGAACTGAACCCAGGTTCTCTGGAAGAGCAGCCACCAGTGCTCCTAACTACTGAGCCACCTCTCCAGCCCCTAAAATCCTATCTTTAGAACGTAAATTTGCAACACTGGAAATATTCAATTTGGTTGGGGTTTTTGTTTTCCCCTCTAAGTTTTAAGTGCAAATCCTTAAAAGAACAATGTAAAATACAAAGTGAAGAATAATTCTGTCCACTTGACTGAAGGACAGTGCCATGTCTGTCTGTCTTATTTTAATAGTTAAGGAGACCAAGGGGCTCTGGCCTAATCACAATGGGTTAATCACAGAATGGATCATAGATGTCATTACTAGAGGTGATACAGGGTGAGAGGTGGGCCTACAGGAGGCAGTAGGTCACTGGGTGTCTGTCCTAGCCTGTTCCCTTGTCCCTCTGGTCTCTGCACAGCACACACTGCTCTGCTTGGCCACATCCTTGCTCCATGATGGGCTGATGCCCGTCAAACACTGTGAACCAAAGTAAATCCTTTCTCCTTTACCCTAGTTTCTGGAGCTTGGTCAAAGTAATAAATATAGAGTTTAATTTCCTGCATTAATTCTGTTAGAAGATTGAAGACTCTTATAATTCATAGTATGAGGGAAGTAGTTAAAACACTCCCACATGCAGAAAAAAACACCACCACAGTTCACCCATGTGTAACAGACACTCTCGGTGACTTACCCTGAGATTCTGGTGGCCATATCCAGCAAGATGCTTCTCCACTCCAACTGTTCAAACCTCCAAATCCGTGCTGTTCCATCTCTGCTACCACTTAAGAACCTTGAAACATTCAGAAAAAAAATCATCTACTCACATGCTTGCTATCAAGGGTTACAACTAACACAAAGTGAAACACAGATTCACAGGCAGCATCTTCAGGAAAAAAGTCTGCGAGTGCTATTCAAGGTCAGACAGTCTACAAAGCTGGATGGGAAACTCTGATTTACTAGCGTTTGCCTGACCCTACAAGGCAGAACACATTACAGACTCAGTTGTTTCACAAATACATAGTGTTTTGGGAAGACAATAAAATGGGGGGGAGGGGGTGCCGAAAGGGGATTAAAGAAAAAAGGTGTGGGAAGATTAGCACCACCAGAAACTCCATCTTAATTAAGCATGTCAGTATTAAATTCTAACTCATAAAAAACTGTGAAATATAAACTATAAAAAACTTAAAACTGAACTTTCAGGCCAGGTGACATAATACAAGCCTTTAATCCCAGCACAAGGGAGGTAAAGGCAGGTGATCTCTGTGAGTTCCAGGCCAACTTGATCCACAGAGTTCCAGGACAGTCAGGGTTACACAGAGAAACAAACGGTCTTGAAAAACCAAAACAAGCAAAAGGGGGGAAAAATGGGGCTGGAGAGATGGCTCCAAGGTTAAAAGCGGACACTGCTCTTCCAGAGGTCCTGAGTTCAACTCTCAGCAACCATATGGTGGCTCACAACCATCTATAATGAGACCTGGAGCCCTCTTCTGGCCTGCACACATACATGCTGGCAGAACACTGTATATACATAATAAATACATCTTTAAAGAAAACAAAACTGTACTTTGGGAAAGGCCAGCCATATCCTACCTGCCAAAAGGCAACTGTAATATGGGTTGTCAAATACTTGCTCATGAGGGCTTTAAGACTTTTTTCTTAATGTACTCAGAAAAAATGTCACTCTTGAAGTTAATTTTTTCAGGAATCACCCTCTAGTTAAGAGCTACCCTTAAGCAACAGCTCTACAGCCTCACACCATGCCCTGCTCCATCGTCCCATCTACTGAAAGCACCTGCAATGCACGGGGGGTTTCCAAAGCCTATGAGATTCCAATGGCAGAAAAAGTTAGGTGTGGGAAGACATTACAGCTCAACAGAAGACTCTCTGCCATGCATGGGGACAAGCTCAATTTTTAGGATTGACCACCATCAACAGGCTCATAAGGTAGCATGTCCATCAAATTAGTGATCATTCCCCATCTGTACCCCACAGATCAAAATTAAACTGGAGATAATAAGGTGAAGCAGAAACTATTTAGTAGCTAGAGCAGTAAGCAGCACATTTTATTTGCCTGAAAACAAATGCAAGCACACACTTACCGGTCACCATTATTACAAAACTGGATGCTATCAACTTTGTCCTAAAGAGGAAAAAGCAAACATGAAAACTATTATATACATAACTTATCAATTCACTGAGCAAGTCTGTGTTCTAGGAAACACTTTTGGGGCCATGTGTGGTAGCACACGCCTTTAATCTCAGCACTTAGGAGGCAAAGGCAGATGAATCTCTGTGAGCTTGAGGTTGGTCTGAACTACATGACAAACTCCAGAACAGCCAGGGTTACATAAATATATTAGTTTACTAGAAAGGAATGGAGTTGGCTGGTAATTATACATGTGTGACACCTATGGAAAGCTTTTCAGAGGTTCACTAAAGAGAAACCACACTCACAGAGAAAGACTGGCATACAAAACTAGAGCTGTGCTTAAAATGATACCTTGACTTACACTGCAAGTAAAGTGATCAAAACAGACGCTAACGAAGCCAAAAGCATGCAGGACTTTATTTATGTACAAAATGAACCATAATCTCTTTTAGCACGACCTGAACCTATCCATTAAGTAAGTTCTGACTAAGGACTGTTTTCCACAAAACCTTATTGTATGGGGGACTAGAGAAGGCTCAGTGGTTAAGAGCAGAAGCTAATTTTTATTGAGGACTAGTGTTTGATTCCCAAGGTACACACAGTATCTCACGACCATGTGAATAGTTCCACAGTCCCAGGGAATATGACACCTTCAGTCCTCAAAGGGCACTATTCACATAACTGATTCATAAACACATACTTAAATGTGTAAAATTACTGGGCACGGATGGGCAGCTGCACACATGAACACAGTGGGTATAACCGTATGCACAAGATCCGTTCAAGTCCAAACCAGACCAAATCCTAGTATGTTGTGGAGCTATGAGCAACTGTTAGTTCACAGGATAAAAAGGTCAGTTTTCTCTGTGAGACTATCCCCTGATAAAGCTGACCCTGATCCAGTGGAAGGCCATACACCCAAGAATATCTGGGCAGAGGAGGTATGGTGGGGGTGAATATTATCAAAATGTGTACAAAACTGTCATAAATACAGAGAGGTAGGCAGATAAGACAATAGAATCTAATTATCACAGCATCTCTATAAGTTAGCAGGGTAGGTCTGAGGACAGCTCATCAGTCAAGAGCAGACTCTGTTCTTTGAGAGGACCTGAGGACAGTTCTCAGAACTTACCCCATGTGGAGCAGACTCACAACAGCAACCCTAGCTCCAGGCATTCAATGCTCCCCCACCCCCCACCTGCCTCCTCTGGCACCTGCCCTCAAGGGGAGGTATACCCCACACCCCAACAACCCACACGTGTATATACACCACTTTTAAAAAGCAGGAAAGGTAAGCAGGGTGGCATACAACTGTTAACACTAGCACTGAATAGGCCAAGGCAAGAGAATGGAGTGTTTGAGAGTAACGTGAACGACAACAAAGAGAAACCAGAGCCGGTCTCAAAAAGCCCAAAGGAGGGAAAAGTTATTTAAAATAAAAGTAATCTGTTAAACAGAAAGAGGAAGAAAATAAACCCTCAGTTTAATTAGTAAAACAAATGAATACATTTACAGCTTTTAAAAAGGGATGCTTACGGTATGGCTCTCAAGTTCGGCGATTTTCTCAGGTACTTCAAACCCCAGAAAATACATTCTGATCACATGATCTGTACTGCCTGTAGCTAAAAACATACCACCTGAAATAAAAATGTTAGAGTTTAAATGTGTAACTTCTAACAAATACACCAACAAAGCATACTTCTATACCTGTAGAAGCTTTCTACTCCAAAATTAGAGTTATTTCTACAAACCCACGCTCCAGCTCACTGAAATAAGCTTGTGAAAAAGCTCACCCACCTGGGAACACTCCCTTATCTCACTCAGGTTCAGTAATGCAGAAAAGCAGTGCTGCCCTGAGCATCAGTCCCTAACAGGCTGTCTCCTGAGCAATTACTTAACTACAGAACACCGGGAACAGTGTCACTTCTTGAGAGAAATGCAATGGGCCTAGTCTATAGATTTTGCCATAAAAGTCTGCTATACAAAAAAAGAATAAGGGGAATAATTTCACCAAGATACTGTGTCAAGTTTAAACGAAAATACGTACTTAGACAGGATATCATAAAATTTTAGCCTACACATGGCCACATGACACCAGAACAACTGGCATGATACCATGAGTCTCTTACGTATCAGTGAACGAGTAGCGTCAGATGTCACAGAGGGAAGACAGAGCCAGGAGGCAGACCTCACTCTGTCACTCTCCTTTGACAAGCCTACACCCATGCAGGTGTCTCTGCTCCCTTGAACCCAGTACTTAGAAATAGACATCAAAAAAAAAAAAAAAAAAAAAAACCACATAGTAAACTCCAGAAAATACTCACAATGACCATCACCAATTATAGCTAATACAATGAACAGAAGTCATGGGTAACTTTTCTGAGTGAGGCTTCAAACACTAACCAAGTGATTTGATAAATGCTATTTTAAATTAAGGAAAAGCAAGCATCAAGTGTTATCTTACCAACACTAAATGAAGAGCACAGCATCTGAACACCAGGTCTTGGCTTTTCTGTGAACTTCAGGGGGCGTGGACTTTAAAAGAAGATGATATGCCTTTAGAATACATGGTAATGTATATATTTAGAGCACTGGAGTTTTATCTATGATTACTGAGTGTGTATGGTATGTGTACTACAGGTACCCACGTCATAGTGCTATCACAGAAGTGGACACTGTGGGATCTGGTATCTAACTCAAATCATCAGTGTTTTAAACTTGACATATTTAACATTACTAACAGTTCCCTGTGCTAGGTATACAGCTCACTGGCAGACTGCTTGCCTAGACAAAGTTTGGGTTTGGTTACAAACACCACATAAATGGGACAAAACCAAATGTTCCATGTCAACATACTTTTAGGTTGATATGACTTCAATGAAAGGCTTTAGCTCATGTAGAACATATACAACAAAATACATCTCAATATGGATCTTTAATTTTCATCAGAAATATATTATAAATTCCAGATACACCAACAGGGCAGCAATAACAAATCTCCCAATTTCATTCAAGACATACTGGTTACGTTTTCTGCCTTAATGTCACAAACCTTTAATCCCAGCACTTAGAAGAAGGGACAAGTAGTTCCCTGTGAGTTAAAGTCAAGCCTGATATACATGGATAGTTTTTGGCCAGCCAGAGCTGTGTAATGAGACCACCTCAAAAATTAAAATACAAGTTTTTTTTCCTTTTCTAGAGATGGAGTGTCTCTGTGTAGCCCTGACTGTCCTAAAACTCTATCTGTAGACCAGGTTGGCCTTGAGCTCAAAGAGATCATCCTGCCTCTGCCTCCTGAGTGCTGGGATTAAAGGAGTTTAATACAAACTGCATAAAATACCAGTTTTTAAATGTAAATGAGCACTTTCATTCCTCAAGCTCACTAAAACATAAGCAGCTTAGCAGCCACTGCTCTCCAATGGTGAAGGTTCCTGAGCCCAGTGCTGCTGTCTAAATCTCTACTATACACCTACCTCTCCATTTCCATCTTGCCTGAATTAGTATCTCTTTGATTTTTCTCACAAAGGTGAGCAGAGAAAGAAATGCTTTAAGCTTTGTTGTTACAGTGAAGCTGATGTACAGCATGAGCAGCAACAGATTACGTTCAGGAGAAAGAGAAAACATCCTTCCAGACCATCGCCACCACATTACAGAAATTACCACATAAGTCACTCACCTGAATTTCAAGGACTGCAAATCCCACTGCCAAAAGCAAACAGTCCCATCAGCACCAGTGGAGACCATGTATCTCTGAGGTCCTTTGGCCATTGGGCTAAACTGAAAGTCAACAACACACATGAATCGCTCGCTGTCTAGAGTTCTCCTTAGTTACAGCTTAGCAGTTTCCAACTTCACATCAACTGACACGTTAACACAGTACAATACACGCTCAAGCAGAGAGGACACACTAGCTCACACGTGATTCTGATCGATTTCACAAGCAAACAAGAACCAGAGTAATTTTGACACAGTCAAGACCCAGTTTTAGGACACTAAAGCATGTCAACCCTGAGCCTCAGAAACTAACACTAGTCAGTGTAACAAGTACGTGGGCACGACAGATGGAAAACCAAAATTAGACCCAGGTACAAGGCATCCTTTGATTGGTTTTAAGGTTTTTTGTTTGTTTGTTTTGTCTGTCCTGGAACTCTCTGTAGACCAGGTCGGCCTCCAACTCACAGAGATCCACCTGCCTCTTCTCCCAGTGCTGGAATCAAAGGGATGCGCCACCACCCAGCTAGTACAAGGCATCTTACATGTGGTAAACGAGGGTGGTGTGGGAGGAGGGTCATGCTTGAGACTACAACACAGAAATACATTTTAAATTCGTCAGCGACTTAAGGATTTTACAAAATAAACAGAGCTAAGGAAAACACAAAGTGCTACTGAAACATCTGAATAGGAAAGATATTTGTGGGCCAGGCGGTGGTGAGAGTCAGAGGCAGGGCCAGCCTGGTCTATGAAGCGAGTTCCAGGCCTGCCAGAGCTGTTTTATATAGAGATACCCGTCTCCTTATTTATTACATCTCAACAACCAGATTTCCATTGTAAAGCCTCAGCCTTTCAAGGTCTCAGTAGTGAAGTCCAGTCTTGGGACTGCTCTTCCAGAGGTCCTAGGTTCAACTCTAGCACCCACAGGTAGCTCACAACCATCTGTAACTGTAGTCCTACAGGAAATAATGTCCTCTAGTGGTGCACAGATACACATGCAGGCAAAACACCCACATACACAAAATAAGTAAATCTTTAACTTTGAGCATTCCATTGCTAGAGAACCTTTTGCTTCTGGGAGTAATTACACCTTGTAATTTATATTTTTCAGAATGTAACTAATAGTAAATGAAAACAGACTATGCAGTTCTTTAAAAGGAGAATACTAAAACCTGTCATTCTTAGATAAGACCAATTTTTCACCCTTTATGGTCTGATTCTCTATCTAGTCTTCCTATAATACCATAAACAACTTTAATCTCAGTAAGCACATGCCAGCCAGGGCTATACTGAGTCCCTGACCTGGGACAAACAAGCAAATGCTGGTCATAATCTCAGAAAACTGAACAATGCTGTCACTGATTTTTAAGGATTTTCTCAACACACCAGTAACCAGAAGCACAGAACCTCATGGAAACCATGAGCCCAGCCCAACGCTCTGACAGCAGGAGGTACAGTCAGCCTGACCCACTCAGCTGGCTGTAAGCACACATGGCCCCACTTAACTAACAAAGCTAGTTCTACGCCACACTCCAGCACAACTCAAATATGTGCCATCAAAGAGCACGTCTCCTCCATTGCTGCTCTACTTCTGGTAGGCTTATCAGATCATAGTAACTGTGACACCTAGCTAGTTTTAATTAATTTTTAAGCAGCATTAGGAAGGTTGAGAACCACTGCTGTCTAGTGACCAACTGTAAGACTTACAAGCTTTGTCTATCTGCATGACAACTAACAATTTTAACATTATAAGCAGTTATTTTATAAAAGGAACTATTAGCCGGGCGGTGGTGGTGCACACCTTTAAACCCAGCACTCGGGAGGCAGAGGCAGGCAGATCTCGGTGAGTTCGAGGACGGGCTGGACCGACAGCCTCCCAAAAAAAAAAAAAAAAAATACAGAGAAACCCTGTCTCGTAAAAACCAAAAATAAAAAGGAACTATTATGTTACAGAATTACAAGTTGAAGCATTTGCAAAAGAACTGACACGGGCAAAATTTGCTTTAGGAACAAGGTGAACTGGTTAGGAAGGGCAGGCCAATAGCTGACAGCCCACAGGGACCCACTACTACTTCCCACTTATTGTAGGAAGACCTTCTTTTCTTTTTTACTAAATCTAATCAACTCATCCAAACCCACAAGTTTTAAACGATTTGTAACAGGCTCTCATCCAATTCAACCATCAACCTGAAAGCAGTTAGTAATCATTCTGGAAGCCGTGTCCTCACAGTGTTTTTCATAATCTGTAGAAATACCTTATCAGCTGAGCTAGAGATGGCTCAGCTGTCAAGAGATCTTAGAGAAGACATGGACTGAATGCTCAACAGGCACACAGCAGCTCACAAGCCACCCTCTGGCCTCCAAGGGTGCTACACACATAATGATGTACAGACACAGAGATGAGTCAAACACCCCCACACATAAAATAAAAATTAATATTAAAAAGTAACAGAATATTCAAGCTTTTAGGCATACAATCACATCATCTTACTAATTAATTACGAAAGTTTTTTGGTTGTTTGGTTTTTTGTTTTTTCTGGTTTTTCGAGACAGGGTTTCTCTGTTGCTTTGGAGCTTGTCCTGGAACTTGCTCAGTCAGTAGACCAGGCTCCTCCTGTCTCTGCTGGGACTAAAGGTGTGTGCCACCACGGCCTGGCTCCGTAGACTAAGTGTCAGTGTGGTGAGGCAGAGAGGTTACCTGCAGGGATGTAATTGACCCCGTGTGTCCTTGCAGCACGGCCACTGGGGCACAGGTCCTCAAGCACCACACCCTGATGATTTTATCACAGCTGCCAGCGGCAAGCAGTGTGTTCTCGTAGTTGACGGCCATGTCTGAAATTTCTGCAGAGTGGCCTCTCAGCGTGGACAGCAAACGTCCGTTGTGTGTGGACCAGATCTTTACCAGACAATCATCTGACCCCTGAGAGAAAGCAGCACCCAAGACAGATGTTAGCACAGCATCACTGGCCCCCCTTTCCAACCAAACTCTGCAGTTACTACTACTATCCCCAGGACACAGAGAAAGGTGTCAGAGTCTCCCAAATTAAGTCCCTGCTGCCCAGTGCCAGCTACAGGAGCAAGCTAGTTCGTTCACCAAGCTACAAAAATCAGTATTGGGACAGACCTAGATTCCTGGAAGCACACACACAGGTAGTGGGGAAGCACCCTGTCCTCAAATAGCAAACAGGAGTCTCCAATTACAAGCCCCAAACCAGACACCGTTCATCATTCAACACAGCTGATTGTTTTTCCAATCTGCTTAAAAAACTATTCTACAAACACTGGAGCAGTCAAATCTTCAAATAACCCCTTGAACTATACAGAATGGTTGTTTCATCATGAACCAGTGATTAATCCACATAAGCATGAGTTATCGATACTCATCTTGGATTTTGCTGGGGAATGATGGGGCACTTTTTAACTGATAAAGATTTCCTTAAGTCTCAAATGGGCTAGAAGAGAAACTGTAGTTGTGTACTTTCTATTATCTGAAAACAAAGAGTACATCACAACAGAACCAGAGAGATAGCTCTGCAGTTAAAGAGTACAGACCCAGCAGGTCTCAAACTCAATGCTTTGGAGTCGACACTCTCAAACCGCCCAGAACTGACTGTGTTGCTCAATAGCAATCACTCGAAGTACGTAGTGAATCTACAAAATCTTAGACCCTGCCTACACCAGATAGAACTCCATGATCAAGATCTCTGTGGCTGGGAAATAACAGCCTCTTCACGTTCTTTAAGATGTACTACAGCACTCCAGGCGGTACCAAACTGAGTTTAAGATGTTAACTCACTGTAAAGATTCTATGTCCTGTCCTATCAAATGCTACACAGTACACAGCAGACAGGTGTCCGAGAATCCTCCTGTGCATCTTTATGTGCTGGTACATAGTTCCTGGGAACGCTGTGCTAAAAGTGGAACACCCTGTGAGCTGTTTTCCTCGATGTATCTCCACTAGGAAATAAAAACAATGGAAATGGTTAAGGGGGAGCCAACATTTAAAAACTAGAAAAGATCCCAAAACAGTATCTAGAGTCTGAGAAACCCAAAGGATTCAGGATTTGTCCTAATTCTACTGCATTATAACATAAGCACTACAATTATTTTTAGTTATTTCTAATTACTTTCAGTCAACAAGAAATTTGAAATTTTATACTTGTTACTACTGTGTAACACTCTACCAGCACTTCCACAACATTTATAAAGTCTTCATGAAATTCAAGAAACAGGTTCTAGGCCTCACAGGCCAACCGCACTCACCAAGACTTGGTGGGGAGCCATAATTCACGGGCATTTCAGGAGGTCTTCCTCTGTGAAGAGCAGCAAAGGCAGAGCCCTTCCATACTGTGTGCCTGCAGTCTTTAAAATGAAGTTTAGATACACATAAAACCTTGAAAGTTAACCCAAAGAAAGATCTTATAGAGTACTTACGTACATTGCAATAAAGGGTTTATTCAAAGTTTTACCAACTACTATGCTTTAACAGCCAAGCCTGGGAGGTTTATCATACTATTTCTGGAGACATCTCAGTACAGCAGCAGTGACACTGACAGCACAGCACTTTACAGTCCACTGAGTGCTTTCCACATACAACAGCCCATGGAGTCCTCACAACAACCCTGTGAGGTAGGTGTGTTCCCACTATGTACACATGAGGTCACTGAGGCTCAACGGCTCCAGGACCTTTAAAGAGATCCACTGCAAATGATTAGTAAGAAGGACTGTAATACCGAGTTCACTGTTTATTTTTCAATGCAAAATACCATACAACATTAAAAATGAGCAGTCTTATCACAACCGATCCCAGTTTTCAAAAGTGGAGAATTTTAGTAAGATATTCTGTACTTATCAATGTATCTAAGAATCTTTGACTTGACTCATTCCATTTAAAATTTGTTTGGCTAGTATTACTGTCTTGAGCTCAGCAGGAAGAATTGGTGAGTTCAAGTTAAATAGCTTCCTACTTTAGGATGGAAGGCAGCTCTCCAGAGATAAGCACTTACACAGTGTGAGTGTGTGTGTGTGTGTGTGTGTGTGTGTGTGAGAGAGAGAGAGAGAGAGAGAGAGAGAGAGAGAGAGAGAGAGAGAGAGAGAGAGAGAGAGAGAGAGAGAGAGAGAGAGAGAGTGAGTGAGTGAGTGAGTGATTAAGTGAGCGACTGGGCAAGGGAGGCAGCCTTCTAAAGCCACATCCCGCCCAGGTCTAGAGGAAACGCTGAGAGAGGGACAGGGAAGAGCACAGGCCTCATGCTCAGCTGCTGAACTAGAACAAAGTGCTTCTTCACAGCTGTAGACAAAGGAGAGGCGTCACACTGAGTCACGCACCGAGCCTCGGGTGCCCACACTCACAGGCATGGCATGTTTTACATGAACGGAAGGCATCCTATGGCACTAGCACAAACACCAGCAGAAACAGTGCGTTCTCTGAAAATCTGTCTGCCGGTTCTCACACAAGCCTCATCACAAACGACACTGAGCTTGAGCGTGACACAAGAAGAAAATGTGCTACCCAAGCAATGGCTGAAAAAACAACTTGCGGATGAAAAGAATTACAAAGTGAGCAGGGGTGTCAAAAAGGAGGGTGGGACAGGTTCCTGATGAGCCACAGTGCTGCAAGGTTATAGGACACTAAGAAACAACTAAGGCTGGCCAGCTGGTCTGGCATGAGACCAAGAAGTAGGGTGTAAACCGGGGGGCGGGTGCGCATGCCTTTAACCCCAGCACTCGGGAGGCAGACGCAAGTGGATCTCTGTGAGTTCAAGACCAGCCTGGCCTACAAGAGCTAGTTCCAGGACAGTCTCCAAAGTCATTGAGAAACCCTGCCTCAAAATACAAAACAAAACAAAAGAAGTAGAGTGTTCTTTCTCAGTCACGCTTTGACTAGTAGAGCATCTAAGAGGTAGCATTACATCAGCAACAGCTCATAACAAAATAAGCACGATGAAATTGAAGTCTGCTAAGGTCACCCACAGGTACACACAAAGCATATCACACACAGGTTCTTAGTCTAAGTCAGCAACATGAAGCCAACAGAAAAAGTATAGCAATTCCAAACAGTTTGCTAGCATATAACTTAGCAAAAAAAAAAAATGGTTAGTAAAAAATAAATAAATAAAAGGAACCATGCAAGTTTACATTTTTGGTGCATGTTTTTCAAGCTGCCACCATAATTTTTTTAAATCACTTCTCCTTATAACAAAGGACTTTCAGAATCTAAATATCAAAAGTAATAACTCTAGTATTTAAAGAGTTTATTAGACACATACAATTACATCCATTGAAGTTATGCGTGAGCTACAAAATGGAAAAGTTAAGAACTCACATTGATAAAACCTCAAACACATCTTAAATTCAAGCTTTGTAGTTTAACATCTATGTCTTTATCAATTCTGAAATGCAGAAGGACCCATTAAACACATGATAAAATTCAAAGATCTACACTAATTGCAGAGAATTTATAGTCCATGGCATTAGTTACATTGTTACCTTCCACAATGCTTACACAACTTCACAATTATAACAAGCTATTAATACAAAGCAGAACACTTCTTCAAATTAAGGTACCTTTTGCTGTACGTAGCAAAGACTGCCTTCCTGCACCAAGCAAAGAAGTGACTCTTGAAATACTGGGTGGGATTTCTTTATCCAGCATGGGGCCGATTCGCTGGCAGATTTGTAACAGGTGGTCAGGAGCCACATGCTTATTGGACAAGACCTGGTTGGAGAGTTAAGTTTTAGTTACAACACAGCTTACAGGAATACTCAAACATTTTTTTGATTTATGATTGCTATGTGAAAATCTGCACTGAAAACTACAAAACATAGGGTTTTTTTTTTTTACAGAATTGACAATTTTATTCTAAAATTCAAATGCAAAGGACAGAGAAAAGGCTATACCCACTTTGAAAAGGAGCAAACAATACTCCGTCTCAATACCTGTTATAGAAGTGTAATCTATAACCAGGATGGTGTCAGAGAACAGACACATCATAGGATGAACTGCACAGAAAGAGACTGACATGTTTCCTAAAGCACTGATCCCTGACAAAGACACAAGTGTCGTCCTGATGCATGGTGCTGGAACAATCAGCTTCTAATGTGCATCTCTGTTGTACTTACATATGGGGATTGCACATGGGCCTGCTGAGCATCAACACTGACCATGTATAAATGAAAACTAAAGGTCTGCTAGAACAAAATGTAAACAGCAGGTAGATCGCCACACATAACAAAAGTGTCACTGAGAAAGTTACATTTACAGAAGCAACAACAAACCAAAGAGGAAACAGGCACTACTGCTAAGAGTCACAGGTCACAGAGAGATGCTGAAGCCCGAAGCACCTGTCTGAGGAGCCTGAATGAGAGCAGCTGGGAACTCAAACACTGCCCAGCACTCAGCTGTCAGGACCCAACTCTGCCTCAGCGACTTGGGCAGACAAAGTCTGCGATCCGGGTGGCAAATGGGCATAAAGACACCCTAGAGTAAAGCAATGGAGCACACTCAAACCACTAGGAGCCACTGCTAGGGTTAAAGACTGGCCAGACACTGTGAGCCCAGCACTTGGGAGGTAGAGGCAGGAGTTCAAGACTACCTAGAGCTATATATGCATGACACTCACCTCAAAAGACAGAGGCAAAAACAAAGACTGTGGAGAAACATTTGAAGGATACATCAAGCGACTAGAGCTTTTGAAAACAGTTCAGCCACTCCAGGCCTAAGCAACAGTATTTAAAACATACTCCTGAAAGTAGGCACGTTATGTTTTTTAATGCTAAGCTATCTGTGTATAACTGTTCTGCCTGCACATCTGTCTGCGTACTATGTGTGTGCCTTCAGGTCAAAAGGGAGTCAGATTTCCAGAGAAGCAGAGTTAGGACAACTGTGAGTCACCATGTGGGTATGGGAACCAAGCCCCAGTGCTCTGCAAAAGCATCAAGCCCTCTTAGCCACTGAGTTATCTCTCCAGGCCCTACATGAGTGATGGTTAACAGCTTCTTTTAAATTAAGGTAAAAACCAATTTCCACTAACAAATCATTAATATGCCAAACAATACCAGTACAAATCATTAATATGCCAAACAATACCAGTATAGTAAGATGCAATAAAAACAAATTAAGGCAAGCACAGTCGTTCACACCTATAATCCCAGCACTTGGAAGGCAGAGGCAGGCAGAACTCAAGCTCCAGGCCAACCAGGGTTAAAGCTGATCATTTTACAAGACCAGGAAAGATGATCCTACACCTCTGCACACATGGACAGCACTGATTAGATTCAGTAGATCATGAAAATTGACGGTAAGAGAAGATGCTGGAGAGGATAATCTAGGGAGTTGGAACATTGTATACATGCATTCAAGTATCAAAGGACAAAGAAACTCATAATACATTGATAGGATATAACGGACAATTGTGCTTAAGAAGGCACAAACCACCTACTGCACTCAGAGCACATCAGAAAAATGATCAGGGTACCAAGAGAGCTCTTCACTATTTTCACTATAGTGGCAACATTCAGCTTTTCTTAGACTGAATGTTAATTGCACCTCAATAACAATAAGCCACAAGAGCAAACACAAAGAGAACTGTTAATTTTAACTCATGAGATGCACTGTTAAATGACATGAATGCTTCTGGAATAAAACTGAATGCTGCCTGGCTAAGGCTTCTTTTCTATTTTTTAAGACAGTTTCACTCCGTATCCTTCCCTGTCTGGCCTGGAACTTGTTAGGCAGATCAAACTGACCTCGAATTTGCAGAGATCCTCTCCCTTCGCCTGCAGGGTTCTGGGATCATAGGCGAGCCACACATTCAACTTCACCCTCATTGGCAATCTGAATCATGATGCCCGGTCACTTCTGGATGACAAATCCCAACTACGCAGGATGAACCCACACTCAGGCAGCAACATTTCAAACTCTGAGACACACTCCTCCAGAGAAACTGACATGTGAAAGTACAGGTCTACACTGACAGGAACTATTGGTTAACAACGGTCTTCTGCTCTTAATCCAAATGTAAAACAGCCTGATTCCAATGAAGGAGTTTTATTTATGAAGAGTAATAGAAAAGGCTATAGAAAATCTCTTTCAAACTTCTCAACTCATCTTCCCTCCCACATGGCAGATACTCCAACAGAAAACTTAAAAAAATACATGAAATCTAAACCGGGTGCATGCTTTTAATCCCAGCACTCAGGAGGCAGAGACAGGTGGATCTCTGTGAGTTAGAGGTCAGCATGGTCTACTGAGCTTCCAAAGCTACAGAGAAACCCTGTCTCCAAAAAAAAAAAAAAAAACAGATTTAAAATAATCTTCATGTGATTTTTTTAATATCATGATTAGCACTTTGTGCTTGAATGTCAGTATGTAAATAACTAAAAACTAGTATAGCTCATTCCTTTATTACACAGGATTGAATTATTCAGTATTAAGAAAAATTACAGCTGAAGTACGTACTTGCTGGGAGCTCAAAACCATCCTAGACTCCATGTAAGACTGTAAGACTCTCAAAACACAAAAGCTTAACAATTAAGAACACCTAAGGCCTTTAATCCCAGCACTCAGGAGGCAGAGGCAGGTGGATCTCTGTGAGTTCGAGACCAGCCTGATCTACAAAGCGAGTTCCAGGACAGCCTCCAAAACAATACAGAGAAACCCTGTCTCGAAAAAACAAAAAACAAAAAAACAAAAAAAACCCTAAGAGCCAGGCAGTGGTGGCGGCCCACGCCTTTAATCCCAGCACTCAAGACGTAGAGGCAGGCAGATCTCAGAGTTTGAGATCAGCCTGGTCTACAGATCGAGTGCCAGGGTTACACAGAGAAACCCTGTCTAGAAGCTAACAGGAGAAGTAACTCATTAAAATCCTGAGTGACATACTCACATTTATTAAGATGGTACTCCAGCACAGAATGAGATTTCCACATTGAAAACCAGTGCTACTGTTTCACAGCCTAGCATGAAAGCCCCCGATGTGCACTGGGCTTTTAGAGTGTTTGGTGTCCTGTATGTAGACAGCCAATACAGTGGCTGTGAGAGAAGTGGGGGAGGGGTGCAAGAGGGACGGCCCTTTGAGCTGCTGCCCTTATTCTAAGTACAATGGACCATGTCTCAAATGACTTGGGACATATGAAGAAGCTTCAAAGCCAAACGTGCCCCCCAAAAGGCCATGCTCAGTTTGGAGGTCTGCTGCCAGTCTACCTGACACACAACAAACCACTCATCTGAGAAGCCCAGAAAATGTATGAGCTGCACAAAAATCCCATGTCTCAACCAACACTGACCGACAGAACCCAACTCACCACGACAACCCAACAACCTCACATCTACAGCAGCATCCTGTGAGCTCAACATACTGGGCTGTGAGTTTGTCCCTGTCAACTCAACTTCCCAACGTGACAGCCAGCTACCACTTTTCCAAGTGTGTAAGCAGTCAGGAGCACTGGCTGCTCTTCTAGAGGACCCAGGTTCAATGCCCTGTACCCACATAGTGGCTCACTGGTGGCTCACATTATCTATTAACTACAGTCCCAGGGCATTTGACACCATCTTCTGAACTCTGTGGGCGCCAAGCCACCTGTAGTACAGACAAACACACATACATAAAACACAGGAGGTATCAGCCGGGTGTGGAGGCACACACCTTTGAATCCCAGCACACTGAGGCTGAGCTGAGGAAGGAAGATGAGAGTTCCAGCCTGGTCTACATAGCAAGACTTTGTCTCAAAATAAATAAATCTAAAAAAGGTTTGGTATTTTTGTTGTTGCTGTTGTTTTGTTTTATTTTTTAAGTACACTGGCATTTGCCTGCATGTATGGCCGTGTCAAGGTGTCAGATCCTGGAATCACAGTTGTGGGCTGTCATGTGGATGCTGGACTTTGAACCAGGGTCCTCTGGAAGAGCAGCCAGTGCCTATAAACTGGGGTGGGAGGGGGGTTTAATGCTGGAGAGATGGCTCAATAGTTAAGAGCACTGACTGCTCTTCCAGAAGTCCCAGGTCCAATTCCCATCACACACAAGGTAGCTAGTTCACAACTGTCTTTAACTCCAGTTCCAAGGGACCCAACATTCATGGCAAAACACCAATGTACATAAAACAGTAATTAAAAAAAAAAAGTCAGGCAATGGTTGTCCAAGCCCAGGCAGGTGGATCTGTGAATTTGAGCCCAGCCAGATCCGAGTTCCAGGACAGCCAGGGCTACACAGAGAAACCCTGTCTCAAGAGAAAAACAAATGCACCAAAAAAAAAAAACCAACAAACAAAAAAACAGTGTAATACAATAGCAATTTAGGATTTGCTGGAAAACACTCTAGGTAAGCCTGGCCAAAAAAAGTAATAAAAAATGCTTCAGTGGCTGGGCGTTGGTGGCGCACACCTTTAATCCCAGCACTCGGGAGGCAGAGGCAGGCGGATCTCTGTGAGTTTGAGGCCGGGCTGGACCGACAGCCTCCAAAACAGAGAAACCCTGTCTCGTAAAACCAAAAAAAAAAAAAAAAAAAAAAAAAAATGCTTCAGTGACTAAAGGTGCCTGCTGCCTAGCCTAACAACTTGAGTATAGACCTAGCACTCACTACTCACATGGTGGAGCAACGGTCCCCCACACTGTCCTCTCAAGTGCAACTCACCCACTCAAATGCATTCCCCCCACACACACCAAATATAGGCAGTCCATAAAATAAATCACAGGAGCAGGAGCAGACCTCCTAGACCCTACTAAGAGAACCAGCTCTCCAAGTTGTCCTCTGACCACCACACCTGCCAGGGCACTCCAGTGACTATCACAGACACAATTCAGCAGTTACAGAACGAACTTGCTCAAAAGGCAACTCAATGTGGTCAGAGAGCACAGCAGTCCAATTAATCACTGGGTAACAGGTAGTTCCGTAGGGTGAGAACAGATAACACTCCAACTAATCACTGGGTAACAGGTAGCTGATGAGTGGGTCAGCATTCCATGTATCTGTTGAAAATTTCCACAGATAGCAATAAAAATGCAATGTCTCAAACGGAAACTCACGTAAACATAGCAAATTGGTAAACTGCAATCTGTTAATATGTAGGGGATAATTCCAATTTTATGTACACTTGAAATAACACAAACTTAAATGCTAAGGGGAAAAAAAAAAAGACTATCTGAAGTCTAGAAGCTTCTAAATATGTGCCCTCCACAAAAACAGTAACAACAATGCTCTAGGGCCAGTGAGAGGCTCCGGGGGAACAGGATTCCCTGGTTCCACTCTCAACTCCCACAGACATTCTGACCCCACCCCCGTATCCCGTTCCCAGCCACCAGGGGTGTAAGGTGGTGGGGGAAGGACACCCAAACCGTAATCAGCAAACGGTTCCCATGACACATCGCCAGCTACTCAGCCACAGAAAACTTACATACCAGTACCTCAACTGGCTTTTCAACAATTCTTACCAGCAAAAGACAAAAGAAAACTCTTTTTTGGACTTCATAATGTGTGGCTACTGCAGTAAGGCAAGCCCTGTGTTTGTTTCTTAATTTCTCACCAGTAGAACTGCAGTGTAGAACCACAGTGTCAACAATAACTCACTCCAGACCTGCTCCCCCACCCCTTCAAAGGCTGTTTTATATTAACAGGAGTAAAACTACGAAACAAACTACTTAAATGTCCCCTAGACTTTCAAAAAGAACACTTGATGGCAGGCAGTGATGGCCCATACCTTTAATTCCAGAGCTTGGGAGGCAGGACAGGCAGAACTCTGTGAATTCGAGGCTAGCCTGGTCTACGGAGTAAGTTCCAGAACAGCCAGGTCTACAGAGAAACAGACACAGACACACATTCCTCACTCCTCCACTCTCCCTCTCTCTCCCCCTTTCCCCTCCTTCCCACTCTCTCCATGGCACCTGGAGATATCTAGGAAGGGGGTGTGGCTGGAGCAATAAATCAAGAGTCCTACCCCTTGTCTGGGGGGAAGGAGTGTGGTAAAACCCTGCCTGTGGGAACAGCACCAGCAGAGGCCTTGGATTCACATCGCAACACACACACACCCACAAGGTTTAATATATCAAATTAGGAAAACACAGTTGGTCCATTAGTTTAGAAAGCTCTAGAAAATATTCACTTAGTAGTCACTTTTAAAGTTTATTGGGCATGTGTACATGTATGCACACACATGCTTGAGAGTGTAAGGCAGAGACCCACGTGAGGAAGTAGGTTCTCTCCCTCCTCCACATGGGTCCCCCAGGATTAAATTCGTGCTGTTAGGATTAGCAGAAAAGTGCTTTAAACTCAAAACCCATCGGCCTGAAGCATCTGCTTTTGAAAATTCATCCTCAAAAGACATATTAAACAAAGCAGCTCCCAATGGCATGGCTCACTCACACTGGGCTCAGCAGAGAACAGGAGGGGAACCTCCAGAGCACTGGGCCAGCACTATGGAGTGTGTGAGTTAAATGCCTAGCCCTGGAAATTCAAACTGTCTGTACAGAGCTGCTCACACTCACGACAAATCCCCTGGCACCCTTAGTAACTACTTTAGGAATACAACCGCACATGGGGAAGCCAGTGTGATGGCACTCTTCTGTAATCCCGGCCCAGGACTGAGGCTTCAATGAAACAAGATTCCAAGCCAAGGCCAAATGACCCTATGTAGCCACAACTCAACTGGGGAGACTCAGAGGACGCTCCCAGAGATCTTCTGTGTACAATATCCTCGATATAGGCTAACAAATGAACCTGAAGGCAAACTTTTCGTCTAAACTTAAAGCTGTCAAAAAAAAAAAGTTTTTTTGGCATGCTTCTCCACGAACCATAAACAAACCCTCAAAACTTTTGTTAACTGGAGAAAACGCAGTTTACACACCACAGAACGCCCAAGCAGGTGTACGGAAGATGATGGAAAAGGAAATAAAAAGCAGCCCACACATTAGCACTCAAGAAAACTTGGAAAGCCTTGGAGGAAGCCAGCAGCAGGCAGACCTGAGTTCAAGGCCAACCTTGGTCTTACCCGCATGAGTTCCAGGCCAGCCAGAGACACACAGTTGACACCCAGTATCAAAAAACAGATGGTCGGATGAATGCCACTTAAAGCCTGTACTGCTCCGTACACAACACGGAGTGTGTGAGCCAACTTTCTAAGACAGTCAACAGACACGGCGGGGCAAAGGGGTCGGGGATTATCCTGACACTGAGAAGGGAAGACCACAGCAGAGGGGGGCCATCCCTCCACCTTCACCGAGGACTATTCCTAGGGAACAAGTGGTCGGAAGACCTGGGCGGAGCAGGAGAGGAGGAAGAGGCCAATGAAAGCTCGGGTTACAAGTCGAGAACGGAGGGCGACCAGAGCGCCCCTCTGAGCGGCTGGCGGTGCCACCTGGAGACCCCCAAACCCGGCCGCCAGCCAGGGGCGCCCCTGCCTGTACCCCGCGCCACCCCCAGGGGCCCTTTCCTGCCAAATTTGCCCCCCTCCAGCCGCCGTCGCGAGCCGTCGGGGTAGGAGGAGGTCAGGCCCGTCGCCTCGGGGCCGCCGGGCCACCGTGGATTCCCCCCCTGAGAGCGGGGGCCGCGGCACGGGAGCAGAGACCCGGCGGGGGACAGGGGGAGGGCGAGCGCGCGCAGGACGCGGACCGGCGGGGCAGGGCAGGGAGGGCTGGCGGTGCTCACCAATTCCTCGTAGCTCCTGTTGTGCTCGTTGCCCTCCCAATCCAACCTCTTCGGCAACAGCTGGAAAGAGACACGAGAGACGCCCGAGTGACTACCGCGGCCGGGGAGGCCGGGCGGGACTAGGACGGGGGACGCGGGGGCGAGGGACGCGGGGGCGGATGACCCACCTGGTACTGCTCCAGCTCCTGCACCAGCACCTGCGGCAGAGACGCTCGGTCAGACCCGGCTGCTGCTCCCGTCCGCCCGCCCGCCCGCCCGCTCCCTCTCCGGGGTGCCCGTCCGCCCGCCCGCCCGCCCGCCCGCTCGCCCGCCCGCTCGCTCGCCCGCACTCACCTGCGCCGCTCGGCGACACGGGCCAGCCGAGAGGTAGCGGGCGATGAGGAAGTACAGCTCTGCGGGGATAAGACAGGGACGGTCAGCGGCGGCCGCGCGGCGCCGGGACAGGGGGGGTGGTGGTGGCGGTGGTGGAGGGAGACGGACGCGCGGCCGCGTCTTACCCGATTCGATGAGAGGCACCGGACGCCGGGCTGGCGAAGGCTCCGCCATGGCGGGGCGGGGCGGGGCGGGGGAGCGAGCGAGCGGGCGGGCTGGCGGGCTGGCGGGCGGGCGAGCGGAGCCTGTAGGCCGCGCCGAGGCCTGAGCGGACCGGCGTCTGCCTCCCCACCCCCCTCCCACCCCCAGCTGCTCAGGCGCGCGCCGCCGCCATGCCGTGCGCGCCGACGCGTCCGCCGCAGGAAGTAGCGCGGGGCGAGACGGGATAGGCGGGCGAAGTAGTCCCTCCGCGCGCGGATGTGGCTGGCGCCCCTGGCTCCGGGGAGGCGGGTCTCCTCCTCGGCGTCCGGCGTGTCGGGGGCGTGAAGCGGCGCGTCCTGCGTCCGGCGAGCCGAGAGAGAGGAGCGCTGGCGGGGAGGGAAAAGCGGGGGCGCGCGTGCGCGCGCGCGACTCGGATCCCTGCGCGCGGTGAGGCGGCCGCCGGCCTTTGTGCGGTGGGGGCGGGGCCAGCCGGGACGCGGGGCGGGGCGGGGGCGGGGCCCGGGAGTGACGGTCACCTGGGCCCGGCCTGGAAGACCCCTAGGCTAGGGAGGAGCCACGCAGAAGGACGGAGGGGTGTGTGGGGAGGGGGAGGGCACCTCGAGCGGCCGAGCTGCCAGCCAGCCAGCGGAGCCTGCGTCCCCGGCTGCCCCCGGCTCGCTCCTCGCTCCCGGGTGGTGCGGATGAGTCGGCGGGACGCAGAGGGACGGTGGGGAGGGGGGGGCTGGGGTCGCGTGTCGTCCGTCCCCCACGGGACCCGGAGTTTGGAGAGTCAGTCCCCTGCGTGACCTCACCGTGTCCTGTGCGCGCGCGGACGGAGCTCTGACGTAGACGGGCGAACAGAACTAAACATGGCCATTGTTGTGTGTCTTGAGGCCAGCGAGCAGGAGAAGACCAGAGCCTGACCCCAGCCGACCCCGACCGTCTGTTCCAAAATAGCGAAGGACAGACGTCTCCCGCGGGAAGGCTGGCGGTGACTCCTTAGTGTTTGCATCCATATAAAGGGTCGAGGGTGGTTTTGCTGAGTCTCTTCCCCCACCCCACCACCACCACCACCACCACCACCACCCGTTTTAGGATGCAGCCACAGGGTACTAGGGGGGCTCCTCCGCTGCCTTTTCTTCCCCCTCCTCCCTGCGATGATCCGCAGAGCGATGACAGTCATTTGTAGGAATCCTGTCTCGTGACCCAGGCATCCTGTCAGCCATCCTCGTGCCTACCGGCGAGCATAACCTCTACCGCCTAAGGAGGCTGAACGGGCGAGCCTCCCAGTGGAGCCTGGCCGGCCGGGCAGAAATCACTACCTGGACCTTGGCCTGGCCGCAACTATCAGGTGTCTGTCTGGTTAAGCAAATTCACTTAACCCCTGCGTCTGAAGTGGCCTCCCCCTGAGGATTCAATGAGCTGATAGGGTTCCCATCGTGTGAGCTGGCTGTGGTTAATTACGTGGAAGACTGAAAGTACACATATTAAACGCACCGATGGCCCACACCTGCTAAAGGAGCAGTGCTCGCTCAGCAAAACACCAAGGGATAAGATAAAGTGTTGCAACAGGTGAACTCCAGCGTTCCGGTCAAAACAGCCTGGTGCCCTTTGGGGAAAATGTGAACTCTCATTATAAAGAGCAACCGTCTTGAAGGAAAGGTACTATGGTCGTTGGAAGCCAAAGAACTCAAGTTTCAGACTGAGGACGTCGCTCGGTGGGCTTGCCTAGGTTTGATCCCGGACACCGCATAAACTGAGAGCACCTACTAATCCCAGCGAAGTTCAAGGACATGAGCTTAAGCTACGTGGCAGATTTGAAGATGGCCCCATTCATGAGATCCTTAAAAACAAGTTTTGTCTGGAGTATCCAGAGTGACTAATAAAAATACTGCTTAGTAAACCTGAGTCAGTGGGTCCCAAAAGGACCATGCACCGGTACTGTAGCCATAAGGATGGAGGGATGAGTTGGGGTGCAGCACCAAATAAACGTATAATCTCAGGTGAAATGTAGCGGCACTTTTGCCACCACCATTGGTAAGGCATACGAGCCATAGTAAAATTGTGAAAAATAGCGGCTCAGTGGTTAAGAGCGTCTACAGCTCTTGCAGACTCAGGCTTGGTTCTCAGCACCCGCATGGTGGCTCCCAGTTCTAGGGGATCCGATGCCCTCTTCCAACCTTTTCAGATACATGCAGGCATAACAGTCGTTCACATAAATTGAAAATTTATTAAAAGCACATAACTTTGCCGGGCAGTGGTGGCTCATGCCTTTAATCCCAGTACTCAGGAGGCAGAGGCAGGCGGATCTCTGTGAGTTTGAGGCCGGGCTGGACCGACAGCCTCCAAAGCAATACAGAGAAACCCTGTCTCGTAAAACCAAAAAAAAAAAAAAAAAAGAAAGCACATAACTTTGGGACACTTTATTTACATTCTGATTCAAATATTCCTTTGCAAAGCTCCCCAAGAGGCAAAGGGGTTGGAGGAGGCGTTACACAAAAGCTTCAACCTTTTTGTTCCTGTGTGCATGTGTGTGAGAACAAATGCCACGCGTGTGCCACACATGTGCGGATACCTGAGAGGACCAGAAGAGGGCATCAGATTCCCAGGAGCTGGATCACAGGCAGTTCCGAGCCACCCCGAGTGGGTCCTGGGAACTGAACTTGGGTCCCTCTGGAAAATAAACTGTCCTTGACTACTGAGCCACCCCTCCAGTTCCTTTAAGTGTTTAGATCGACCGAGAATTATGTATTTCACTTCGCGTCAGTATCATACAGCAAAATGTAGTTCCCAAACGGATGTGAGAGTTTTCTTCCCAAATGCTGGTCATCGTCTGGATAACAATCCCAACCATGGGTAGGCAGCGTGGTAAACCCTCCCATGAGACCACAGACGAGGCCATGAAAGATGAACACTGTGACGACGAACACTGGGATTGGTTCCAGCACCTGCTGAAAAAGGAAGGAAGGCTCAAATAGCCCCGGTGGGAGAGAGACAGTTTACAGGAGTTGGTGTGTTTTCCCCTTACTCACAGGTGCTGAAGAGCGAACTCAGACCATCAGGCCTGGCAGCAAGCAGCTTTACCCACTGAGCCCTCCCTCCTCTCCCCTCCCCCCCCCTCTCTATCACTCTCTCTCACACACACACATACACACACACACACACTCGGATTTTCTAACAAGGCAGAATGTCATCCCCGTTCAACTCAGATTAGAGACCGTGATGATTCGTAGTACGCCGGCCAGGAAGAAGAGGGAACACACCCTCATCCAATAACGCATCGGTCCTACCTGCCAGACAAATCTCTAAACAAGACTAACACTGTGTGTGTCTAACACAAGTGAACGCAGGCTATACTGGAACTGCCCCAAACAGATGGCATAAAGAACTGAATTATCAAAAGATACTTGGTTAGCAACTGAAGAGAAAAAAAAAAACTCCAACAGCAGGTAACGGGGAGAGAGTGCTGCCACCCATCTCTGCTTTGAGATACCATTCTGGAGCCCACTCCTTTCCTACGCAAACACAGCATCAGCTGTACCAGTCTGCCAACTTCAGAGAGAGAGAGAGAGGAGAGAGAGAGAGAGAGAGAGAGAGAGAGAGAGAGAGAGAGAGAGAGAGAGAGAGAGAGAGAGAGAGAGAGAGAGAGGAGAAGAGAAGAGAGCAGAAGCCGGAGAACTGGAGAACAATCCCAGGGCAGTCGCCACCCCAACTGAATCAAGCACCACAGAATCTCCCTCTACCACAGGGAAACAGAGGAGCAGACTACATGAAGTTGCTCAGCCAGTGCATGAGATCAACAACTTGAAAGACCCAGTGACAATCACAAGCATGTTGCTGGTTATCCCATGTTAAGAATGAGGAAGCTGAAGCCGGGCATTGGTGGCGCACACCTTTAATCCCAGCACTCGGGAGGCAGAGGCAGACGGATCTCTGTGAGTTTGAGACCAGCGTGGTCTACAAGAGCTAGTTCCAGGACAGCCTCCAAAGCCACAGAGAAACCTTGTCTCAAAAAACCAAAATAATAATAATAATAATGATGGGGAAGTCCTGTGTATATGTCAATAAAGCACTGTTGGCCAATAGGGAAGCAATTTAGGTGGGACTAGGAGTCCAGGAGGACCCTAGGTAGGAAAACACAGGGAGTCAAGATGTAACCGCCATAGGGGTAAGAAGCCTGGAAGCTTTTCTCCGGTAAGAGAAATACTTAGATTAACAATTATGGGGTAAATACTTAAGTTAGAGCTAGCCAGTAAGAAACAAGCAAGGCCAACAGCTTCAAAACACAGCGTCTTGTGTGTTATTTGGGGACTACAACGCGGCAGAGCCCAGGCAAGTGGTGGGGAAAAACCAAACAGCAGACAAGAAAAAGGTTTCTCTCTACATAATAATAATGAGGAAGCTGAGACCTAGGAAGTTTAAGAATTTCCCTAAGGGGTGAGTGAGCTGGCTCAGGGTAATGGCGATTGCTACCAAGCCTGACAACCTGAGTTCAATCCTCAGGACTCAGACAAAGATGGAAAGAGAAATCCAGCTTCTGAAAGTTGTCCTCTGACCTGCACACTACAAACACACACACTTAATTTCCCTAGGACTGGAGAGACAGCCACAGTTAAGAACACTTGCTGGGCATTCATGAGGACTCTCTAGAGTTCAGATCCCAGCACCCACATGGCAAGTCAGACATCCCAGCTCCAAAGGATCCAGGGACGTACATAAATCCAGATACGGTGGTACATGCCTATAAGCCCAACAACCAGGAGTAGACACAGAAGACCAGAAATTCCAGGGCATCCTTGCCTACGTAGAATGGGATATTTGAGACCTTGTTGCCGGGTTGCCAGCACTCGGGAGGTAGAGGCAGGCGGATCTCTGAGTTCAAGACCAGCCTGGTCAATAGAGTGGGTTCTAGGACAGCCAGGACTGTTAAACACAGAGAAACCCTGTCTTGAAAAAAACAACAACAAAAAAAAACCAGTGGTCTTGAAAAAAAAACACTGTAAGCAAATCTGTCTGACCACAGCAACCGCACATGATAGGTGTTCAGGAAATGAAGGTTCAGAGCTAGAGCACTCACCTAGCATGTGTGCACTCAACCATAAAACTCCCTTACCCCGCCAGCACCCCCAAAAAGAGATGGTAGGTTGAGGG